ATCTGCGAGGGAAGACCGGCGTTCTTTGCGTGCACAGAAAAATTCGTTTGGATTTTTTAAAATATTGAAGTTGCATGAGGAATCTCTTGCGAATATTAATAATAGGTCATGATACTTCTTTCGTCTTATTACTTATTTCTGAAAACTAAGGAGATAAAATTGAATCTTCTTATAAAAATTTATAAGTGATACATGCGATAAACAGATTCTTTAAAAAGATTATTAGGTAATAATATGACGTCCACACGTATCCGATCTAATTATTACAGAGTAGTATATGATCTTAATTATTGTATATATCGATAAACGCGAAGACAAACAATTCTATCGATAGTAAGATAACCGAACGATAGCGCTTATGCAGGAATGAATAATAGCTCGAGAGTAAAAATGATACGGCACCGGAGACTGAATGAATGGTACTGTGATAAACACGTGGGTAAAGAAAAAGGCAAACGAGAAAATTCACGGGCCATTAAAAACGCTCGCAGGTATCTGCCCGTAGATATCTGCGCTCGTGAGAGACTGCCATTCACAGGGTTCTTTCGTTGCCGATGAATGAAGCATTCACGCACTCGCGCGTACTTTCGCCCGCATTCGTGACCTTTACGAATTCGTCGATCGGCAGGCACAATTTAGCTGCTTTTGCCACAAAGGCGGATTTTGTATGATCCGGCGATCACTATTGAGTCCGAATGGTTATTATTCAACATAAAATAATAATACATTTAATTTCTTTATATTACAAAAATAATATAAATATAAAAATGCTAACGAGTGAAAGATTGAACAGAACCTCAGAATAGAACTCGTTAGATCTCTATAGATAGCAACGAAACCATCTCGCAAGCATCTAATTGCCGAAAAACTTTACTATTCTTTAATTCTATTCTTTAAATTAGCTTTAAACTAGCTTCTATATAGTTTTAAAAATAATTTTGTTATATTTTAACTAGCTTTAAATATAATATGAAATTATTTCTGAAATTATGTATAGAAATGAGCTTTCATGCATGCGTTCAATACCAACTTCCTAGAAACTCCGGGCAGCATTCCGTATACATATGTATATCAAACGTGTCTAGCGAGCGAACTTTTCCGAGCGCTTTATTGACATGAATGCGCAGCGCATTATACTGTGCGATATAATGCATTGACGGCACACAACAGCTGCATGCTTTGATAACGGCCACTTCCATGTGACGGCCGGTGACACCGAATCCGAAACGTGCTGGTTATCAACAAAGCTATACGTGCCCTAAATCGCAACGACCCTACATCACGTTTAAGCCAATTTTTTTGTTATTTATCAGAAATCAGAAATGTCTGAACACACGCGATCTTTTTATTCTAAATCTTTTTATTCCATCATGAAAGAAAACATTTGTATCGCGAACTTTTGACTGCTATTTCTATAGCGCGTTTTACCTCTATACCGTTTGATAAAAACTCACTTATCATATAACCGACAGTTATCGTAAAGCAAAATTTGTGTAAATTATACACGAAGGTACTACGAGATACGTAAGTCGCGACAGAAATTATTTAACCATTATCTGCGGTGTCATTTACCTTCGGCGCGACAAAATCAATAGCAAAACGCACGATACCTACTCTGTTGGCAGAACATTTTTATCCCCGGACCAAACAAAGAAATTCCGCGGTGAAACTGGAGTAACGATTGTGCTACAGCTACTTCCAACGCGAACGAATCAAGATGATGTCTGTGTTATTGTACTCGCTCTCTCCACCTCGCGATCCGCTCTTCTGTTATTTCCTCGTAACTTCTCGCGGGTGGAGACGAACCACGATACTCGGAGGTGCGAAAGCGAGCCGGCCTGAAAGATTTATCGCGACTCCTTCGTCGTGTTCGCGGAGAGGGTATCGGGGATCGCAGGCACGTGACCCAGCTATCAATCCGGCGGAAAAGCGAAAGGCGCTCCCGGCCAGAAGCGCAGCCCCCGGTCTCGTGTCCTCTCATTCTGCTGCCGTATATTCTCCTCCTTTCTCGCACCTCGCTCACCACGTGCTCGCCCGAAAACGACGGGCGAATTTCGATCGACGAGTCACCGGTCGAGGATCTCACTCGCGATGAATTATTAAGAAGCGCTTTCCGCGACCGGTGATTCTCGGATGTCGCCGCCTCATTAATTATTTGCCAGTCTCGATGATGCAGCTCCAGCCCGTTGATTAGGCGAACCTTTTCGCGCATCTTCCCGCTGCACGTGTCTCGAATGAAGCTGCGTTGCGCACGTGTGCGTCCTCGCTGCAGGGGGATTATCCGGACGCGCGTACGTTTCTCTGTGGGGTGTCTTTGAAGATCGTATCAGTTTTCTGGCGTTAAACTCGATTCGATCATATTTTCGGTGAGGCCGAGAGCTCGTTGTCTCACGATATCGTGCACGTGGAGCAATAAAGTCGTATTACAAAATCTCTGAATCTAAATTAAATTTCAGTACATGTATCTAATATTGTAATAGGATAAGCTTCTATATTCAATTGGTAAAAAAATATTTATGGATCTCTGTTTTATGAATTTTTTTCAATTTTAGTTTTTATATTTAATGTGTGTATCACTAAATTTATATTTTAGGCAAAAGAATAATTTTTAACTATTTTCTATTGTTTCGTGCACAAGTGCGGAAATGTCTTCGTTTCCGCTTTCTTGATTTCGAATAGTGGAAAGTACACTTGTCATAAAATCACGACTTTTGACGGAATTCGACGGAAAAGGTGCTTGCCTTCGCGATTCGAGTTGTAAAATCTTCGCGAATTTTTCGGGACGACCGAAATCGCGTTCCAAGTGGAAGTAACCTCGCAAATACGACATTCTCGATGGAAAGCAGTCGCGGGGGATCCGTCGGGGGTGGAATGGAGCGTTCGTTAGGATTTAAGGCTGCCATAAATCCGCTCCGGCCATTCCTTAAACCCTCTGCGCGCGAGTGGCGGTCAGCCCGGCTTTTACCAGATTGTATTCCTCGATATCTCCCCTTTGGACCTCACGTTCACGAATTCACCGGGGTCCTTTCTTCGGCGAACTTACGCTTGATCGCGACGATATCCGTCGACGTTGGCGGAATTTTTACGAATTCGATTGTAAACGCGACAGGCCAAGAAAAATCGGCAACCTTCGTACAAATACGAAGGTATGTGCACCAAAAGTATATAACATTATGGATATTAGACGACGTCACAAACATCGTGGTATCATAAATGATACATTGGATTGTATATTGCATTGTAATGGATATTACATTGCGCTATTATGCATTAACACAATGTTCGTTATATAAATTTTCGTCTAATGAGATAACCTATCGTCTATTCAAAAATATTCCAAGAGAAAGAAAGGAGTAATGCTCATTTTGACGAGAAACATAATCTATTGAAATTATTAGAGATTATTATTGATTATTCTAAGATCATTATTTTAAACGCCATTTTTTATTTAGCCAAAATTATTTTTTAATTTTACTTTAAATTATTATTTTTCTCATCAGAATTACCAACGTTTATTTTAATTTCAATATTTACCGTCATTTTGTCTCTTTCTGTTTCTCAAAAATTTACACAATTGTCTCCTAATGAGTAGACGTGTCCAGAGTTCGATATAAATCTAATCACCTGTCTTTTTTCTAAAGCCGATCGCCACCGTTGCAAATCTAAGAGTATTATATATATTATCCCATACCACATCTCCGAAACTTCGTCCTTCCTGGGCTTCCCAGTCGGGACAAACGACAATTTACGGCCGGTCCCGAGATAGCCGCGGTTACCGGCGGGTTAAATCGCGTGAAATACTGCTTTCGGCACATTGGTCCGGTACAATTATTGATGGCACTTGGAGAGCGGCGGCCGGGACTCGCCCGCGATCCGGAAAGGCGCAATCAATGTGGCGTGCGGCGCTTCGATTTAAATTCATGAATAATTCCTACCCCGCTATGCCCCGACGCGACGATCCGAAGATCGACGAGCTTTTTCCGTCGTCGTCTCGCGCATTTTTCCCCGGCTCGTACTCGCGATTCCGGGTTCGCCAGCGAGGATCAGACGCTGCCGCCGCGCCGGTAAATTTCGTCGAGTTCAGATTTACTACGGACCAGAGTTGGGCGTTATCCTAGAAAGAATTGCACGGGATCACCGTTCCCTTTGAATAATTTATTCGGATAACGATTGTCCGTTATTTGCAGTGGCCTATCCGATTAGTTGCTTAACTAAATAATACAGAAATTGCTCGAGTAATATTCGAAAATGTTTTACAAAATGATGTACCAAATGATCACTATTTGGACAATGCACAAATGGTGTTCTTATTTATTTATTATACTTCAATATCTTCGAATAATAGCTATATATAGCTATATACTTTGTTGTTCACGTATAGTCATATTTAACTTTGCTTAAAAAATTATTCCCATTTTTATTTATGGAATATTTGTTAGCAAAATTTGACTTAATATATAATTACGCCCCGAGTTTTTGTCGTCGCAAAAAATTTGACCAATTGTTTCGATCGGTTCTCTCCCAATCGAGTAAATGAAAAGCACGAATGATTTGACGATGATTTATTAATCATGCCGCTCGTCGCACGTTACCACGAATAAATTATGACGAGTGCGCGCTGATTAATTACAAGTCAATTAACGTTTCCATCCTCCCTCCGGCGAAACGAACAACGAATAACACGGCAACTGGCGTGCCCGTTGCGCGACGCTGCGAACACTTTATTAAATCCGCCATTAATTAATCACACTCGCGCCGGCGATACCTTTCCACGACGCGCGATTGCTCGTATCGACGTCATTATTGCCGATTCATTATTCACGACTGTCGCAACGACGCCGATTTTTTCAGAGCGGCGCGGCGCGGCGCGCGACGCTGAATTTTGCATCGTCCGCGTCGTTCCATCGTCGCGTTAATTACCATCCTTTTCTCTCCCTCTCGCTTTTTTTCCGTCTATCAAGTACTGTCATTAATAAATGTCAACGTTCGAATTGTTGCAGAGGGAGGCCACGCAACGAGATGTGGAACGAGAACGCCGGCAGCGAATGGAGGCCGAAGCTCGAGTACGCGAGGCTACGGCTGAGGCTGAAAGAGCACGCTCGAGAGTCCATCATCTTCAGAGAGAACTGGCCAGGTGAGAGATTTCAGAGTTTAGCTGTTTCCGAAAGAGAACACGACGAAAGTAGTGAAGATAAGAATCTCACTTCCCTCTGATTTTCCTCGACATAAATCTTCAATATATTCAATATATTCAATATATTCTTTCCTTTTTCTATACATTTTACGTCTTCTTAGGATACTTAGACAATTTTTCTATCAGAACGGATTTAAGGAATCACTCAGTTTAATCTATAATAATTTTTCCTAGATGACTTATACTTATTAGATCGATGTTTAATTGACTGAAATTTCGAACATGTTTATAACTCGACTAACTTAACTTTTTTCTTGTTAAAAATTATACATATATGATATAAACTTTAAAATTAATACCAAAAAATGTGATTTTTTTTAGAAAGATACACGCGTCTGAAGTCTCATTCTTTCTTCCTGATTTTTTTTACGCGAGTGACGCAAATAGAAAGCGAAAGGGGATCGCGACTTCAAATCGGCTTACGAAGTTTCCGCCAATAATTCGAGACCGTCGTGTATAGCACGCGAAATCGATTTCTTCCCGTTCTTTCGCAGCCTCTCCGCTTCGTGAAAATCGCTTATTTCATTCGCGGCCGTGCAGACGGCATTTTATTTCCTGTGCGCGATACATAAGTATAAAAGTACCGGTGTGTAACGTATAAATAATGAGACCGCGCGCGTTTCCCACGCAATAACCAACGAATCCAATGGTAAATCATCGATATTGGCCCTCGTTCATAACGTCCTCCGATTCGCCCATCTAAATAGCAATCTCCTTATGCCTTTGTCGCCCTCCCCTGCTCCGATTTAATATCGAAACATCGTCGCGATACCGCGCGTCTGGAATGAAAAAGGGCTCTTGATACCGTCGATTAACGAGATTCTTAAACGAAAAATATTTCTTCGTTCTGAAAGCTATTAACGATATGAAAATATGCTTTCGCCATATGTTTCAAAGACGGTCTTGCACATTGAGAAACATTTCTATTTTTTGTCAACAGTTATTTTGTTAGATACGCTATTTTAATATTTTATACAAATGCTTTAATTTAAGAACGTCAAGTTTAGGAACTAGAAATTTATGGACTAGAAAGCTACAGATTAAAAAATTACAGATTGCTTTCCGAAAAGATCTCTAAATGTATTAAATTTTGCGATGTGCATGTTTCATTGATTCGGTATAAAAGGAGAAGAATCTCGTCTCATATAGCTTCGTTCAAAGAAATATTTTTCAAATAAATACTTCTATTAATCTCGATAAAGTATTCGAATTGATTTCGTCAAATCCTTACGGAGAAACGTTGTTAGCGAACATAAATGGATTTCTTTATCGTCGAGACCATATATGTATACGCGGATTATTTGCCGAATAATTTGATAGATTGGCGCACATTGATCACGAAGGAAGGCTTTCGTGTACATTTCTGTCAAAACCAACGATTCGTTTCGCCAAGTGCACGATAGGAAAGCCCTTCAAACGCGGTCCTTTGACTCGATACCATCGAACGAAAAAAAAAAGAGGAATCTTCTTTTTCCCGGGAATCAATAACACGCCGTAGAAATTAAACTGGCGGACCGACGGCCGGGCTTATCAATTCGACTGGCTGTAAAAATCGTGGACCATTTCAATGTAGAATATTGCAAAACAACTATAGTCGTTCAGACTTGCATACGAATAGTCGAACTAAAATATCAACGGCGCTCTCATTTCATAACTCTATCAGTTATTTAAAAATTCTCGAAATGAAATGAAACGTAGGCATGTAATAATTTCGGGATTAAAAACGTAAGATTAGTGAGTGGAATAAAATAAACATATAGGATTACCGTGACGGGATTTCGGGATCTTCGCGTGATCTACGTGGGGCTCTTATTCGTTCTGTACACGCGGCTCTCAGGGAAAAATGGCCCGTCCACCGGTCGAGCGCACCACGCAACACGCATGAGCGATGCGTGTACGGCAAATTGATATCCCTGTTTTACAGCGTGCAACGTGACATGATGCATTATAACCAGCCGGATACGTCGGCATGACGGTTCTCTACGCTGTCGTGAATGAATAATCACGCGTTGCACAGTGCGACGCGTCTGCTCGCTTCCTTTTTGTGTCTCTTACGTCACTCCTTATGTCCGATTTAATCTCGATAAACATTAAATATCGCCGAATCTCAATTTTAATATTATTAAGGCGTTTTATTAGTTTCATATAATTTAATATATTTTCATACATATTCTGAGTATATATGTTATTTGCAGATATTCACTTAAGATAGATGCTTTTTGAATCGTTTGACATGCATTACGAGGAAATGTTTGCCTATATGTAACATCAAAATGAAAAGATATCTCTCACTAAAAATTATAAACGCAATATATTGTCGCAGATCGACAGCTTTTCTCATGAATTTTTGCCTTTCTTCCTATCGCCGACATAAATCAGGACCCAAGTGTTTTCTTCTCTACGGTAGTCCGCCGAAAGCACTTTTCGATAAGAGCGCCGGATTTAAAGGGCCGGACCGGCCGGGCCGGACGATACTTAAAATTCCGGGCTTCGGCATCTCGAAACGGGCACTACGACCGCTCAATTAAACGTGATCTTTTGTTCCCACGGTGCAATGCGTTCCCTGCGTGGAATCTAGCCGCGATCGCGGGGAATTAAAAATGCGGCCCTCGTACTGGAAGCGGCTTTTTACGAGCGGCCCGTGAGAGTGAGAGCGCGGCATTATTTTTACGCGGTCGGACACGAAATTGAATTTTCCAAGCTCTTTCGCCCTTTCGGTACGTCGCTACAGAGAATCCTATTAACCACACGTAGGAACAATGCAACCTAAATAGCTGTACGTACATGCGAGGGAGGAAGGGAATGGAAAGTAAGAGAGAATTGTTCGCGTGGCGCACAACACGTACGTCGGCGTCGCGTCGGTTCTTCGCTTCTCGGATTTTCTCGGATTTTCCCTCGCGCGGACAGGCAATTTGAAAATGCATTTATTCGGTCGGCATTTCTTCGATAAATTGTTAGAATAAGTAATAAGGTAGTCAGGAAAGCATTACGTCGAGTAAATTGTATATTCAGCAACATCGAAGTGAATAATTAAATATTGAGAGTCAGTATTTTAATCAAAATTTAAAGATTGACGAAGATGATAATTAAAAACATTGATTAAAGAAATTTGTAAAATATAAAATTATAGTTTGCATAAAATTTGTAGCTTTTGTCTTGTACAGGCTCATATAAATGTCGATCGAAGATTTGTGACGAGACTCCAAATCCGAACGATACATAGTAAAATATAAAAAAATAAAATTTCAATCGTGGCAGATATGAATCCGAGGAGAAAGACTCGTATTGCAATTCGAAACGCAGCATTTTGCTAAAGTATTAAACGACGTAAAAGCGGACGTGAAGATGCAGCTACGCGAAGATCGATGCGCAAACGCGTGTTATTTCGCGGATATGAAAGCGAGCCGTTTTCGGAGCGCTTGCCGGAAATTAATCTTCGTCCCGCGCACAATCGTGCCGCCGAACTCCACATCCGTTCCACCGGCGGCGTCGATGACATTGTTACACGGCGTATCCCCCCGTGCACGTATGGAACGAATGTTGATTCGTGACCGATGAAGTTTCGACGCGACGGCGACGCGTTAACGAACGCGAAATCGACGTGTCCCCGGCGCGATACGCGCGTAAAACCGGCGAACGTAACAATTTCCATATGATAATGACATCGATGCACAAAGGGTGCATCATGTGAACGCGCCATGCGCGCGATTGAACGCCGATACGCTGTTTATTCTGCCGACTCTGAGTTTGCAAAGCTCACGCGTGCGTGCGTCGAGACGTGCGTGCCGCTGCCACTCACGCGACTACCAATATGTGTAAATAGTAATTACAATTACGCAATCAGAGAAACCGTCGCGTCGCCCTAACGGAGATTTGTTCTCGGAAATGGAATATGTAAATTTTGTGTAAAATCTTTCTTTTTTGATTTTTTTTGATACATAAGAATAAATATTACTGAAATTTATCATTAAAGATACCGACGGCTCTAATGGATAAATTTGGAATTCTTGTTGTATCTTTGATAAAAATTGGATAATATTTTGAAAAAAAATTAGTCCGCGTAGATGCTCTTGAATGGCTATGCGGCATTAACGAGCATCTTTCCGCCTGCGATTCGAGCACAGTACCCCAAAATCATCGTAATCGAATTTGCCGAGCAACAGTTGTAAATCATGAGGACCGGCTTGCTCGTGCCATGTGTTTCGAACGAAAACAGAGAGAAGTAGAAAAGCGGAGGAGAAAGTGAGGGCGAGGGAGCGCTGCTTGGGGGAGCTATACCCCGTTTTAAGGGTGCAGCAATTGCGAGCGTTACTTCGACGATCGATCGTGCTCTCGCACGGTCTTTCGTACTTCCTCGCCTAACTAAAAATGTAAAACAGCAAACAGTAACGAAATAAGTCCCCGCGCTTCCACAAGTTTTCTAAATACAATGATTATATTCAACACAATTAATTTAACAACATTAATAATTATTCGTTAATAAAAATAGTAATTATAACTATAGTGATAACTAACTAATAGATATTTTAATATCGTCAAAAAATATCCGTGCGTTTATTTCCATCTGTAATAAAAATATTTTTAAACAGCATTCAAGAATAATTATGCCATGAAAGCTTCAAATATAATATCCTGTTTATTCTTTTGACAATGAGTCGAGATCATTGAGATTCTGAATCAAGATTTCAAAAATTCTAATAACAATTGAAACATACAACACATTTTTTATTTCATAATTTTTTTAATACGTTTAAGGGGATGCTGGAGACAGGTCTGTTTTACCACGAAATTTTCAGACACACAAATCTTTTGATTGATTTCACCGAATTACAAATTTTTTGTCCAGAATTAAAGTATGGACGATAACGAAGACGGCAGGCACCAATTGCGTATGAAAAACGAAAAAAAATTAGAAAATTACATTTTTATTTTTGATTCTGCGGTCGACTCATGACAACATTTGCTGCAGATAAAAGTTTTAGACTATGTACGTATACAAAAACCTTGCAGCCGTCACGGAAATACAATAAAGAAGAATCCTGTGCTTGCAGAAATGAGCTGCGAGCTTTAGTATAAGAGAAAAGTATGTTAGAAAATTTCATATGCACATGTTACGCGTCTCCCCGATTTCAGCCAAAAACTCTGCGCTCTGTATGTATGTGTAAGAATCGGTGAGCACTTCTTTATCGACGCTGGTCGAGTTTGCCTGCGCTCTGTATGTATATGTAAGAATCGGTGAGCACTTCTTTATCGACGCTGATCGAGTTCGCCCGTGACTCCAGCATCCCCTTAAGTTATTATAGATTTAATACATATAAATCTCTGAAGTCCATATAGTTAAGATAAAATATCTGTTGGAATATACACATATATATTAAAGATATTTCTGTAAGATATATGTATTAAATTCCTTATCGTATATTTAGTTATCCAATTAGCGAGATCGCGATTTCTCCGCGCGCGAGCCCTGAATTTACCTTTATTAAATGTCAACGGAGTACAATCGAATTGAAACTCGTAACTGGCTCGAAAGTTACTTCGCCAAGGACATATAAGCAACGATATCTGTCCTGTGGGGGGCCGCGCCGATGGGAAGACGGAGGGTGTTGCCAGGCGCTGCGGCAACCTCTCGCTCGAAAGCCTCCCTCGAAAAGCTTAAATCGGCTTCATATCTCAGCCGCGCCCTCGCATCCCTAATCAGATCATTAACCCCGCGGAGCGTCCGCGCATGAGAAAGTTCGCCAAACAAGAATCCTGATCTTTCGATTTGCTCCTTCGAGAGTAATGCGAGAAAAGAAGCAGGCTTGACACCGAGGAAATGAAGACGCCGCCTGAAGAATATGAAATGTATTCAGAGATACTTAAGTCTACTTAATACTCAAGTCTAGAATCTAGAAAGTTAAGAGGGTGAAAGTTTCAGAGATAATTGTCAAACTTTGAAATTGGGCAAAATAAATGTCTTACAAAGAGGTGTCTATAATTTGCGATTTTAATATTTTATTTAAATAAAATTATCGTGAGTCCAATACTTGCGGCGCACATATCTAGCAATTTATAATTACAATTTTAAAAATTCTTACGTAGAGCGAGCACGAGATAAGAATAGAGAGTACTCGTGAAAAAGAAGAGATCTTCTTTGCGAGTTTATCTCGCGGGATTGGAATCTCTTTTGCCGAAAGCGAGGCTCTTCAGAGCCAAGGCGAGGCCGACGAGAGAGCAAATAAATTTCCGCACAGCACAATAGAAAGCTACCGAGGAGCTACGAGAATGGTCTCAATGGTTCATTCAATTAGGATCTTTTCAACGAGGATTAAAATCCGCGAGCTTCCTTACGCTGACGGTTCTGATTTGTTGCAGAATGGAGGAGTCATCGCGGAGTCTGCTGCAACAGAAACACCGGGCCGAACAGCTGAAGCAGGAGAAAACGGCGCTCACCCTGTCCTACGAAGTACGTAAGAATAATTTGCTGCATTTTAGTTTATAGATCTTCTCTAAATAATCTTTTTAAATTCCTTCTTCGCGTAATCTTATATAAATGAAAATATTGAATCCAACTTACGACACACACACACTTAGCAATTTATATTTATAATTTTAAAGTCTTACGCAGAACGAGCATAAGATAAAAATAGAAGGACTGTTTCTAATCTCCTCTAATCTTATTTCAGTACCGGAATTATAAATAGAGGATTAAATGTAAAAATTTATTGTATAATGTTCAACTTGTGAAACTAAATAGACGTATCATGATTTAAACAAGCTTCGGACTTTATAGGTAATCAGTATATGTTAAAACTGTATAGGAGAATTCATGGTAGGAGATATTCCCAACGAATTTATCTCTACAATTTGTTCCCGTCTTTGTCAATCAAAGGTAGCACGTGATGCTGCACGAGGCGATGACACGCGGAGGAGATAATCGATGTTGATACGCGATCAGACGACAATCGAGCACTTATTGTTAGGGAATCGCGCGTTGTGAGGTATACGGTATTCGCGTGGAAGCCGCAGCGCGATGACAGTCTCGTAAAAGGTTTCCCCTTATCCAATAATACCGGTCTTCTTCACGGCGACGTACCCTTATTGTATTTCACCGCGCGAGCACTCGGCCCAGATTGTCCCGGGCATTGTTACAAACCCGAATTTTGCTCGGTTCCCATTATTAAATGTCAAATAGCGTGCCGGGGTCTCTCTCTCACGGCAGCTTTGTCTCGTTTCGCGCACATTGCTTGTATCATCACGGTCCTGCGATCTAATTCCTTGATTTCAGCTTTTGCGAAGATTTATGACTCCTCTTTTCCCTTTTTCGCAAGTTTATCTTATTATTGCACTTTCCTTTGAGAGAGAATAATCAAATTATGTGATACAATGAAATATCTCAAGCAAAAACTAGAATGTAATTAAAATTTATTATATTATAAGCGTGCATTCTATTGAACGTATATCTATTGTGGTTCATATTAATCAGAACTCTATCGATTATATTGAAATTTTGGAGATTTTATATTTTTAAATTTTTACAATCTCATGTCTTCAAAGAATTTATATACATTATATTTTGTATAATGTTTTCCTCTCTCAATTTAATATATAATTAGTTATTTATCTCATTATAATAAAAACCCTACCGAAAAATATACTTAAAATATTGACATTTTCAATTCTTTTCTCATATTTTCTCTATACGTTGTCACCGTGTGTGTGTGACGCAACAACGCATTAACTCCCCTAGGTTCACCAAATTTTAAAGTTAATACGGCAATCGCCGTAGTATGCGCGAATCGCGAAGCGATTCCGGAATGGATGCTGCTATCCCATCCAAAAGAATAGCGCCGATAAACTTGCCCTCGCGTGCTTGCTACTCGTTTCCACAATTCGCGACTCTCGTAAAGCTCTCGCGGGCGATGATTTTCAACATAAAACGCGTATACCGGAGGCCCAGGTAATAAAGGGAGGGAACAGTAAACGCGGACGTTTACTGCCGATCCTTACGGCACGCGCGCTATCTCGTTCACGGGCGGTTTGCCCCTAAAAGAGTCGTACCGGGGGGGTGTCTTCTCTCCTCCCCCCCGCAGTAGCAATAGCAGTGGCAGAGAGAACGGGCGAGAAAGAGAAGCTATATCGCCGTCCCCCACGAAATAATGTTTAATATCGATCGTCACTCGATCCCCAGGTTCGATGTCGACCCGGCACCGCCTGTCAATGACAAGCCGCTCAATCTCTATGAGAAGCGTAGTGTATAACGTTACGTCTAAACGCGCAAATGTACTTCTATTGCTGCATGTGAATCGGTGACGATTAGCAAAGGAAAAAATTCTGTCTGATCAGATCGAATGGTAAGACGATGAGATCCGCAAGAGAACCGTTTTAAAGGAATTGCGAAACTCTGATTCCTTGCTAAAGAGAAAAATTGAAAAACTGAACTCATGAAGTATAACAACGTTTGATAGTTTAGATTTAGAATACTTCATCGTTTAAAAAATATAATATATAATAACAGATGGTTATGTGTTATACAAATTATAATATGTATTCTTACTATTTATTTTTAATATGAGGAAGATTTTGACATGCAGTTTTTATCATTAATTCTGAATTAGCTAAATTTACATTACAGCGAGAATAAAGGCGTAAAATAGAAACGCCTGGATTTTTTAGCTGTTTCTTTAAGCAGAGTGCAAGTATATGGAATTTTGGGATCTCTGCGTCATCGAGAAATAACGCGTGTCGACGAGAATTCGCAGAAGGCGGACGGTCTGTGCATTTTTACTCTCCCTCAGGCCGAGGCACGACAGAAAATCGTTGGTTTCCTCGCTCGATGCGACGCGGGGGTGTGTTAGCGAGGGCCGAGTGTTATAAATCAGACACACGCACCCTCTATTAGCACCCTGTCCCCGACAGGGTTCTCCGCGGCACTAATTCAACGTTAAACGCCTTTCTGCTAATAACGACTGGTTATTATTACCGTGCCCGACCGCGAGTCGCGAGAGAAGCTCGTCCAGTAAACAATGTGCCCAATCGTTCGCCGGAACGTTTTCGACTCGTTTCTCGTTGAACTCGCCGTTTAAAAGACCGAGTCCTGATTCGAGGCAAACAGCAATAAGAGAAGCGAACCGGTCACGAACATCACCGTCACGTAATTACTTCCGTTTGAGAACGAAAGTAAGAAAACTTCGGCAGTGGGGGGTTAAAGTTTTTAAAGACCTCAACTGCAACTGAGGCTCCCTAGCCGATGGTACTAAAAATCAGACATTGGGAGGTTCTCCAACTTTAGAAAGAACGATAGTGGCATCTTGAAACAAGCATTTAAGAAAAATTCCGGTGTACATGTAGCAAACTTATTTCTTTCAAACACAAGTTAAGAAAGTTGAAATCATGAAGGATCAATTCCTATAATTGATATATTCTATATTTCTGCATCTCTTCTCAGAGAAATTATTGAACTTAAAGTACTTTTGATGAATGTGAAAGATAATTTTCAATAATTCACGGAAATAGAGAGAAAAATGGATTTTTATATTTTCGAGCGTCCGAATGAGAGTCTCGTGCGTTTACATAATAATCCTTCGCTGCGACCAGGGTGTTCTCCACGTGTAGTCCTGTTTAAGAGGCAAATGGCAATCGTCACGAGTGCCACGGCGTAATTATTCCCATTTGAGAGCAGGAGTAAGAAGACCTTCGGATGTTCCAAGTATTTTAAGAACGGATAATTTAAGAGCGGTTCCGTTCCGCAATAAGACCGTCCGTCGAGGTAATTGCGGAAATATCCGTGGTGCTGCTTGGGATATTTAAATCTCCGCGATCCGACCGGTCGATTTTCTTTTTACAGTGACCGAGTTAAACGCGAGTACGATGTTTAACACCCTGGAGTCGCAAAGGGCGACGTGAGTCACTCCGGTTTGATAGGATCGGAACAATCCATTAGCGCTTAATTTTAACGACCGCTGGGAATTGAGCTCTAGCGCGTGCTATAACGTGCGGGGATATATTTATGGAATACTTCTGGCCTTCGTTGGCCTGCAATTTTTTACTTTCACACTGAGTTAAGATCGAGATTATGATTGCGAATGTGCATTGTGCTTTAAATAGGATTAGAACCACCGAATATAGGTACACGAAAGCGTTCGCCGAGCAATAATTTATTTTACATTCCACCAGATGATCTATAAACGTCCTAGAAATTATAGTGCCAGATTTGGAGTTGCCTTCTACCTTGTTGCATGATTTAGATATTTTTGAAGAAAAGCTAAAAGTAGCTCTATTTCTAATATAGTGTAATTATATAATCCGAAAATTTCTTGGTCTTTATAAATTAAATTTTGTAACTGTGACGTTATATTATCTTTTGAATTTTATAGTCAAGTCTTTTTGCTTTTTAACAAAATGTCCTGCTTTACATTTTAAAATGTGCAGAGAGAGAGAGAGAGAGAGAGAGAATTTCACATTATGCACCGCCATTATAGATATAGATACAAACGATAATAATAATTATTATGCAATATTAATTAGTTATAATGATCGTTATCATTATAATACGCTATATTTTAATAAAGTACTAGCAACAATAATTATCCCGCATCGTTGCAGCATGCTGTAATTAGGAATAGAGTTACTGTTAATTTTCAGATCCCACCACGATAATTCCCGTGCCGTTATAACAAATTCCGGATTATACTATCACGGTATTGTCACGTCGCGTAACATTGTTCATAAAGTATCATTAACAACTCTGTATCCCTGCATCGTCTCTGTGCGACGTCACGTAGTTTAGATGCGGTCTACGGTCGGATGTGCCAGGAATAATTTTCGCACGTTCTGTTTACAGGCGCGCGTGCACCAGTACCAGGCGCAGATATCGAAGCTGCAGCTGGAGAACGAGTCGATGCGTGGTCAGCTGCGCGGTCTAGAGGCAGCATGCGCCGGTGAAGTGCACGCCGCGCTGGTGGCACGTTTGGCGACCCTCGAGACGGAGCACGCGGCCCTGGCACGGGACGCCGACGCCCAGCGTCGGCAATACGAGCGGTGCCTGGACGACGTCGCCAACCAGGTGGTCCGCGCTCTCCTATCCCAAAAGGTTCATCGCTATGCTCTCGTTACCACCCTCCCCCTTTTCTCTATCTCTCGTTTTATCTCTTCTCGTTCCCACCGAATAGCCCGCCGCGAAAGCGTATGCTCTACGAAGGCTATTATGTACATAGAATGCTGAAGAAGTTGCGTATAAACTTTGGAATTATGAGAATTCTGCCAGAGAATTCTGCAAGAAAAGCTTCTTCAAGCGTGACTTTTAGAGACTAAAGTTGTTAAAAATGGACTTTGTGTGCGAATAGATAAGATTCTTATATTTTATTTTACTTTATGAACTTTTCTTAGACTTATTGTTAGACAAAATTTCAGCCTCTATGATTTTAGATTATTCATAGAATATATCTACATAGACAAAATTTATTCGTAATTTTTAGTACTCTATAATAACTTTCAGGACTTTTCACGCTTGAAATAATAATAATAATTTGTTCAAGAACATTAATTTTTTCAAAATTTAGAGAATGATAGAAAATAAAAAAATATTTGATACTTATATATTATTTGTTCCTTCTAAGATAAATAGTTCAGAAAAAAAAAACGGAAAAAGTAAAATTTAAAAAATTAAATGGTAACTATACAGTTTATATAAGCGGAAAACACATTTTTAACATTAGAAGCATATTCAATATCAATTTTAAAGTTTACTTGAAAAATACTGCTTTTTGAAAGGATTAATCTGCCGCTAACACGTTTTTCCCCATTCGTTAATGCGCTTTTTGAACGGTATATCATTGCGAGATATATCGAACAAGAGTACTAATGGCTAATGGATGTTATCAGGGTCTCAGGGAAGAAATAGGCGCATTGCAGAGACGTATACGAGAGCTTGAGGCTCAAAATCGAGCATTATCGGGACTTTTGGCGCAGGCTGCCAGTCCTGGAAGCCCGACCGAACTTATCCAAGGAATCATCGAGGCTGGTCCAGCCGCTCTGGTTGCCGCTTTGGGTCTAGACCCTGCGTGGGTTCCCCTCTCGAGGCCGCGTTCCCTCAACTTGCAGATACCCGTGATGGCAACCACTAAGTGCCGACGCAGCAGACCTCTTGGTACTAATTATTTTTCATCGTGATTAACGCATTTGTCGTGGAATCAAACGTAGCTAGAACTCTCTAATTTTTTTTTTAATTTTTATTCTATTATGACTTGATTTATACGCCAATGATGCAATGCAATCTAAAGAGATAAGACAAAACCGCGACGCGCCTACTCTTCGGGACTGCTTGACCGAATCGTTTGCAGCGCAAAAACCGTCGGAAGAGGAGGGCAGCGAGAGTCCGGAGAGCGGTAATCGCGACGAGGGCTACTCGACCATGTCGAGCGACGTCCAGGGTGAGGGCACGCGTCAGGAACCGTCGGCGCGCGGCCTCGAAGATCTGAAGGAGGCCACCGACGAGACCGAGGCCGACGTGTCACCGGATGCGCGTCTCGTCGCCCTCGACGTCGGCGATCCGGATGTTCTCTTCCTACCTCTGAATCTCACCGTGGGCATCAATCCGCGCCACAGCTATCCGCCGACTAAGGATCTGCTGCCCTATCAGCATGTGATGCGCAGCTTTTCGGACAGCCACCTCTGTCTCAAGCTTACCACCACTACCAATTTTACACCGTACAAATTGCCTAGCCCCATGGGATCATCTTCCCTCTTGTTGGTAGAAGAAGAGGGTTGGGACGCCGAGTACGTGCAACAATGGCTTAGGTTTGTTTGCTATATCATCAAAAAGCCTCCAAAGGGATATAACTGTGGATTATGAAGAGTTGATTAGAGAAACGTAAAAGCGAAATGCGCGAGTATGACTCTTTGATATATAAATCTTCCATTTTTCTATTTTATCAATGTTATTCATTTTTTTTATGAGATTTATTAATCCGGTGTGAAAATACGCTGGAATTGATCACCGCACGGGTTTCAGGCTCGACGACAGTAGAAGCGCGCAACAGCACCGAGATCTGCTCGAATTGGAGTACGACAGGGCGGAGCTGGAGGATTGGAGTTTCTCCCTGTCCACGGAAGACCTCGTACAAAATGAATCCGCAATGTGGAAGGAGCAACCAGCTACTACAAACACGCCCGCCCTGCCGGCAATCAAGGAGCATAATCTCCTGGAATTGGAGGAGGACGCGAACGAGTGTCTGTGGAATGGCGCGAGCTATCTCGCCGATAGGGCTGGAGGAGAGCTGGTGTGTATGTCGAGTGCACACGATATCGATCGACATCTACGATGTTTGTTTAGTTATCCTAATAAAAATGTCATTACGAAAAGTTTAGTCGATTACAGTCTGATTAATTCGAATGAATATAGGCGTATGTAATTATTTCAAATTTGCAAAAAAGTGTTAATTTATAAAGAATTTAGATTTGCCATTTATCTCATTGCAACTTTTAATTATTTAATATTTGTCTCAATATCCCAGATTAATTGAGCACTTATTTACCCGTTTCTTATTTATCTTTATCTCTAAGTTTTATTAAAAATTTTTAAGTAATTTAAAACAGATGATCCATATTGAATAGCTAAACTTGACTCAGTTTAAATCGCAGTCATAAAATAAATTTTTAAAATAAAGTTAGTGAGTTTCAGATTTATGTTACACCAACTCTCTCAGCTAATTATAATCTTTTATTTCCCAGGTTGCGCTTTTAATGGACGCGAGAGCGACCGGACCCTGGCCGTACGCCTCGAGTCCCGGTGCGTCGTGGAGCAGCGAGGAAGGTGGCCTGGAAAACTCGAGTAAGCGTTCGTCGGCGGCGCTCTCCGGCTGTAGTGACGATCCCGATACTCCGTCAATCGGCACGGACTTCACCAGAGATTTTTACCGGCTAGTAAAGTTCGAGAGTACCAAGAGCCTGGCGAGCACATCGTCCAGGAGTGGTAGACCGCCACCGGATAGGGAACAAGCGCTTCAAAGCGTCCTGTCTTTCATCGCTGAACAACAGATGTACCTCGCGGAGTTACCAAACAATCCCGTAGAATCGCAGAACGCGTCTCACTCGACCGAAGGTGATTATACTCAATTGTATTCGCTAATTAAATGGAAAACGGGCTATTTTTCACCCAAATTATCGTTAACGTAATTATACAAGAAGAAAATATAAGAGCAATTAATGAAAAACTTTTTTGAAAGGACATTAAAAAAATGTGTCTTAAATCGCGTTACTTACAGAAGTGGGCCTTAGCAAAAATGATTCCACGGGGGAGACGAAGATAGCGGAGGTAGAAGGATCATCCATTCAGGAAGGCAGTCCCGGAAACGCGATCGAAACGAGCTGCAACGACGAGCTGCTCGATCAGATACAGGTACCACCGTTGGCATCCGAGGAGAGAATTGTAAGCGCCGTGTCGTGTAACGGCGGTATCACGTATACTACAGTAACTCCATCAGAATTGGGAGCCGTTCCCGAGGAGGACGAAGAAGCCGCAACTTCCTCTACGCCTAGTACGGTTGTAAGTTTTTGCTTCCGAATACTACTTAAATTTGCACAAAGGAAAAGGAAAGCTGACCCCGTGCAATTTCCTTTGTTTTCTGAAGAAATAATTTTCTTATTTAAAGGAAAAATTTACGAAACTTTATTGATAATTTAATTTCTAGCAAAACGTTTTATTGTAATAACGATTACGTGATATTCATATAGGTCAGCCCGGCACGAGCAACGCTTCTCGTGGAGGGCAGAGATCGATCATTGAGCTTCCATGAGCGCGCCACGTCCAAGGATGTTATAGACGAATTAAACCGCATGATTCGGAAGGGTGAGGATAATACTACCACTAACATCGCTAACAACGATTCGCAAGTACAGCTGGAGAAATTAGATCTCGCTTGCTGTTGTCCTACAGGATGGGTTCACGTTGAACGTGATATTGACTTCACCGACCCTAAGGTGAGCTGCCTGCCAAAACATAAAATTAAAATATAGAAATTTTAAGTAACATATAAGTAATAGAATAATGCTCGCAAAGTATGCTCTGACGGGTTGACTAATTTATAGATAAAAATCGATCGCTAGAAATTATTTAATAAAATACAATAATTTTTCAATTAAAACTCCCAATGAAAGATATCGTGTTTTTATTCCTGTAAAAATAAACGTAATACTAATCGCTATACTTTTACTTAGGCCAGAGCCAACCTCTTAGACGTGATGTTAGCGAGCAGCGAAAGTTCCTCAGCGACATCGAGCAGCGGTTCGGCGGGTAGCGATTCAGGGGATGAACCACCTGATTACCGACACTTGCATAGATTACACCGGTACCGACGGCAAAAGAAAGGTATTTGTCTTCGGGTATCTACTCCGTAGACACTTTTGCCATGCCGTTTTCGCGCATCACCACCTCACCTTTGCGCAAAACGCATAATTTAAATGCGATTTTACGATCACTATCATTCTTAGCGCCTAATCCTTAACTAACGTTCTATCAACAACTATTTAATACTCTCATTATGCTTTTTGTTTAAAGTAACGAAATTTACTAATCGATCAGCGTGGAAACGTGCAAAAAGCTTGAAGCTAAAGCATCTGATTAACAAAAATCTAATATTGGATGTCTATACGTTGTATGCAGAATATCTAAATTATCATTTTATACATGATCTACTTTGGTGGATAAAATGCTGCTATATATTGATTTTAGATTATAAAACTCAATTTTAATTTTAACGAATTTAAGTATTGAATACATTATTAATTAAATCTCATATTATATTTAGAGTCAGTTTTACATGTGTGTGCATCTGTGCATCTTATATATACTTTATTTTCAAAATCGTGTTTGCGTTATTAAATTTCAAGGAAAGACATTTTAGATGTTCTGACGATTATTCACATGTATAGTCGCCTAATGTTGAAAGAAACAAGCTTGATGACGTTTTACAGAGTTTAGGTGGTGTGCGAATAGTGCTTGCTCTCAAAAGCTTAAGACGGCAACACGTCTACACCCTTCTCGCTATACAAAATCGATGCCACACTTTTACACGTCACGTCACACTCGATCGAGCGGCTATTTTATCTACTCTCGCAATTACTTTAGACTTTAGACACTCGCAATTAACACAGTACAATTACAGTACAATCGGCGTTACTATCCCCGCTCGCGCTCAGTAGCCTTTTCGCTGTACATTGCCTTTTCCATATTTTCTGTTCAGATGGTAGCTCCTACGCGGTGTGCTTTGATTGTCACAAGAAAAGCTACGTAGTTCGGCTTAGTGACGATCAGTTTCTATAAGCGACATGACCAATTGGGAGGAATGCATTGCCGCGCCGGGGAACCTATTTCGTCCTGAACTGAACCACGTGTTACGCCCACAACGGACTGACCATTGGTTTATACTAACAGAATTATTAACCGGCAGAGAACATTCCTGGCGTAACACCTTCACGCAATTCCATCTCTCCGTCTCGTTCACGCGTATTTGCGTGGCCTACTTGGCACACATTGCCGTCCGAAAGTCTTGGGACAAGATACAGAAAGGTACATTAAATATAAATGAATGTTGATCATATAAATAATCAAAATGGTGAAACGTGTGTGTATATATAATCAAAGAAGAAGATTACACCGTGTAATCAAACGTAGTGCAATTTCTTAAATGCATTATATATAGTTTTATATGGATAATCAAACGTAACTATCTACAAAAGTGCAAAGCAATTCAAAATATCCAAAGACTTTTAGACAAGAGTGCAAGTTGATGTGCAAATTTAACGTCATTTAATATCTTTTCAAAAATGAAAAATGCGTTAGCGCGTGTGCAATACATGAGACTGCATATATAAACATTATGTATCACTCTAAAGTGAAATAGCTCCTCAAGTGGAATTGCGTCAGGGTATAAATTGAGAATAGTTACTTTCTCTCTCGTTGTACTGCGAGCGAATTGATAATCTCTAAACCTTATTGGCACGTGCAAGACCGTTTCAGCATCTTCATCTTCATTCTCGATCGCTTCATTTCATTATATGCCTGTCTATGTTAGATCATTAATTTCACTATCGATCATTATTAATTTCATGTAAGATTGTAACCAACCTGAATTAATTTTTTTTCTTGCTTCATAGAAGTAACATCTTTTGATATCATATACACATGTAATTCTTAATTTATCATTATTCTTGAGCGAATCATAATCATGTCATACAAAGTACGTTGGATAAATAGCGTGCAACATGTTTAACGAATAATGTTATCAAAGATAAATTAGGTATAAATTTGTTAGAATTTATTATTCCTTAAGATTAATACATATATCTTTAAATTATTGTTAATTATTTGCCAAAAAATTAGACTGTCTCAGCTTGTATAAAGTCTACAGTAAAGCTTAGAATTAAGATCAGAAGTTCTGGGAATAAGTAAGAATATCCACATAACTTCTGTCCATGATTTATTGCATAAAACTCATGAAAACGAATACAATTAATAAAATTGTCGCACGCATGATTTGTTCGACGGTACATCATGCATCACCCACTCGGTCATGCACCCGCCAAATGCCTAAATTCCACAAAAAAAAAAGAAATAAAGAAAGGTGTAACCGGTGCGGTGGAGCGACAGTGGAAGGCGGAGAGACGATACGGACGGATAGAGGAGACGTGAGAAAGGAGTGGGAAAGAGAAAGAAAGAACGAAAGTGGAATAGGGAGAGAGGGTGTGAGAGGGAGACGTGAATATACGGTGAAAGAGAGTGCTAAGCCGAGCTACTCTGTGTCTGCTAGAGCCGGTATAGAGAGAAGAGAGAGAGAGAAAGAGCGCAAAATCGAGTCGATCGAGTGAAGTCTGAGAGCAGCATCTGTTGACCCGCTGCTGTGTGCCCTTGGTTTCTTCAGCGTCGGCGGCCCAGGCGCATCGCGTTCTCCGGCTGCCGTCCTCCTGGGGCTCGTCCCGGCCGTCGATCATCGGCCGCGGTGACGACTTCTTCGTGCGCTACGGGGACAAGGAGCGCGAGGCGGTGGCCTCGTTCGACTTCCTCGACGAGTTTGTCGTGGCGGCGACAACAACGACGGCGGTGGGACCCTCCTCGCTCGGCTCGGACAGCAGCCCCCTCGACCTGGACGATGACGTACCGTCCGCCGATCTCAACAGCGACATCATGAAGCTCTCGTCGCTCTAGGAACAACGGCGACGGCGGATTGATTTTACAAAACGCGTGGAAATTTTTGTCTGAACGCGAGCTCTTCCCGGCTGGTGAAACACGATGTCTTGGTTTTATCGATTTAGTCGGGAAATCTAATTTTGTTTTATTCCCTTTTTAACGAATTGTTTTTAATACATTACATTTTTAAATGTAGAGATGGTTTTAAATCGAAATTATAATTTTAAATTGCTTGTCTTCGAAGTCGAAAAAATATGTATGTAAGTTTCGCATCCGCTGGGAAAAGTCCCGCGAGTTGACTAAACGCGACACATCGTCAAATATTCTTCCCAATCACGCTAATTATAGCAAATCAAAACGGCGAGTTCTACTTAAACGTCTGATTCTATATCCATTATGCAACAAAAGGTAAATAAGGTTTCGTCAAAGATCGATTATTTTGTAATCATGTGAGAAATGTCACATTAGGTCAATGTCGCTCGTCAGCCTCTCACGATGAACGAAGAGAGAACGATTTGTACATTACCTTCTTATACATCCTCGATGCTGCGGTTCGAGTTTTGAAATCTTACAGTCCTGACGTTTTATCACTAAGTAATTGGGAAAACTCGAAGTGTCACGTCGAAGATAGATTTATAGTCTGAGACAAGAACTTGTCTTGTCTCTTTTTCTCTGCGAGCTTCCTCTTACTCGAGATATAAATAACGCACTGTGGTACAGTCGAAGGTGAAGTTGATCAACTAGAATAAGTTGGCCCGAGCTAGATACAAACTGCATCCAGATTTGATCCCAGATTGTTCCTGGCTAGAGCCTGCCTGTATCAAGTCAAATAGAACAGCGATATCTTTTTCAGCGTAAAGCTACATGAATTTTGAGTTACATTTGCACTATACTTCGATGCGAACTTCCTAAACGAAAAGGATCTACTAATGGGTATGTGCGGATAAGTATTAATCAAAGAATTAGCGATAAGGATATGTAAGCAGTAGTCGACCTGTTGTGACACTAAAGTAGCGTGTGCGACGAGCACGGATTGCCACGATTGGAAGGCTCTCGTACCGGAATGAACGCACACTCACGACATGGACGTAGATATAACTCATCCTCATGGTCTTTTTACAAATATTTCGGTAAATTGTATACGATTGTTGTAAAAAGTAAGATCTTCGATGGCTTGAAAATTAAATAGCAACATTCTCTTAGCAAGTATTAGATTTATCGAAAAATGTGTACGTTCCAATTAAGTTTATAAATTAATTAAGAAATCGGCTTCACGATTGTATTTAACTTTTGAAGACTTAATAGTAATGGAATCATCATCGCGACTCGCAGAGGGTCGCGCATGGTATTTTTGGGGATACATCACATCCACCATCTCATAACATCCAACACTTCTCTCACCATCACATCATACCAACACGATAACAACAACGGCACGTTATCCCATAAATGTAAAGTTAATTTAATACTGGAAACTTTTAAAATTGAGAATTTTTTATTAAATAATTAACTCTATCGGAGATCTTGCACTTGATTAAAAGAAACATTATTCCATCGAGAACGCATTTTAAACAATATGAAGTATTATTGAATCATAACTTCGAAACGCATCACGGCACGATCACCTTCCAAAGTGAGCTTAGAGAGCATAGATTAAGAGGTACTCATCGATTTTTTATGAACCGCTAGATATTTTATACTCCCCCCCCCTTCCACCCTTTCCTACCCTCCAGTCTCGTCATTAGTCGTCAATGAGCGTCAAGAGCCGCGAATATCGTTAATTGACAATTCGATCCACGCGTGATGAACTATTTTCTTCTGTCCTTAGAGATAAGAACGTAAACGAGCCTGTACATTTTGCTTCCGAACTTTGTAACATAGTAGATTGTGAGGGAGAGAAAGAGAGAGCAAAAGAGCGAGAGAGAGGAAGAGAGTGAGAGAGATTTTTCGTGCGTAAAGAAATAACGATTACTTTGTTGCGTGAACGAAGATAGGGAGTCACTTCAGCGTAATTTGTACGAAATTCGTCGCTCCGGAACGAGCGAATTTCTGAGTAACGCGTTTGATCGGATTATAGGCGTAAATATCATTAGCGTACATAAATTTAAGATACTGAGTCGATAGGGGTCGAGATATTTTACACGTAGCTGTATACCCGCATGACGAGGTTCAATATTCGAGGTGGAGAGGCTGCACGGACGTTAAAAGTTGCCCCGCATTTGCTCGCGTTGCTGCTGTTCTAGTCAAGCAAGTGAGACCACGATTTTTTTTACAATCTTGATAGCCTGATCGCGTTTATCAACTCTATACTACATCATCGTACTCGTTATTCATAGAGCAGGCACTGATTTATACTAGAAATGTAGTCTGAATAATTTGGGAAATATGTTTAAGCCGGATAATCTCGCAGATTTTTTAAATGTAACATCATCTTTTCTCGGACAGCGATTCGCGAAAATTTGAGAATAGCTTTAGAAATATTTAATTATGATCTTTGTGATACGTTAATGATATTTTATATCGTCACGATCGTATTTAAGGTAAGACAGTGGATAAATATCAAACGATTAAATTATACATATATATTTCACTGTTATTATTTATTAAATAATAATATGGATCTAATAAGTGATGATGAGATATCATTAACAGTTAACGTAAAAAGAAATTTTCTAATTTATATCATGCCGTACAGGGTTAATTAGTGCTAATAGTGATGATCTTAAAAGATTATTTCCGCTGTCGCTATACTAATCCCAATCGAGTGACCGTAATTTATTTCAGTATTTATTTTAATTATAATGCTAAACTGATTGTGGAGGAGTAAAACTCCTTTCTCGAAGAAACAACTTTCGTCCTGCAGCCTGAAAATAATAGACTAACGACATAGCTTTAAGATGTTTGTAAGTTCTACACATTGGGGACAGCAGTGTCTCTACCTTTATTCCCGGTCGCAGAAGCAGCGAAGTCAAACGATAATCACGTGAAATGAGACTTGCTGAACGACGATGTACATAGTATGTATCATAGCTCAATGCAAATGTAAGTTATCCTCTCTTGAACTTAATAAATAACGACAATATATGAACGTAAAAAGAAAAATACGCGTGTAACCGTGTTGTTATTTATAGATATTTATTTATGATAGAGCTGGAGTTTCATCTCGCGATACAGCAGCAATGATAATGGTAATGGTAAGTGGTAAGTATACACATTGCATCGTAAACGACGAAAAAGATAATTAAATACAATGTAAAATAAATAAAAACGATGTTATATTCATGTCTGTGGATTAATGAATGCTGAAGATAATCGCGATTCTGTTTTGCTAATTATTTGTACAATTTTTCGTATTTTTAAACTTTTATCGAAAACCGGTATTTATCGATAAACGTATAAACTTGAGTCAAAGGACGACAATATATTAAATTAAAATATGACGATATGATACTGAAATAACCGTATATAAAAAAAGAAATATAGGAACATAATCCGAAAAATAAAAGTTCGATAATATTTATTTTTCCTACTTCAAACTCTGCGTTAGATACCTCCTGAAAGAATTGAAAAACATTAAGAGCTGGCTGGAAATATTTTGTTAGCATTATTCCCGTGTAATAACGTGTATGTCTCTTGACGCTTCACTGCATTTTTTTCCTTTATAGAATTCGTCAGATACAATGTGAAGAGGAAACCGATCAACTGAAAAGAACAGAAAAATATATGTATACTATATAAATTATTAAAAGATATTTGCAAACCACCATCAAAATCTTAAGAGCAAAAAATTTATATTTTATTGGCATGACGTTTCTGAATTGAGATAAAATCACAACTATTGTCTTATTGTGTCTCTTCTTATTATATATTACGATCTATGTGGTTTTTCCAATTTTGTCATCTCGTTGTGCTATTTACCACAGTTACAGTGACAGTCAAGATGAAAATGCTCATTAGGTAGACTTGGTGTATCAATCTAGAAGTATTTAGTCTAAATGCGCAACCGGGTCTAAATCCTACATCCTCCGCAGTACACACTCCCCAAGAATTATTGCAGCAACTGCCTGGGATTAAAATATCAAGAATCTCCTGATAATCATGGTAGGAATAAATACCACAGCAATATGACTGCAAAAAATTATTTTATGTCGTAATATTAATCCGATTTGTGAATATATTTGCGTATAGGGGTATAGTAGAATATAAATATCTTAAATATTTACATTCTACTATAAGATACTAATATCTTAAATATGTCATTACTCGTAACTTGGTTGAAGGCTCGAATAATGATACATTTGTGCCGCGTGCGTGAAGAAGTATTTTACTTCTAAATTATTTCTTAAAAATCTTACTCTGTCCTGAATATCATCTACGAACTTCGTGTCCTCACATCGGTAACCGTAATTCTTGAAGGCTTCTTTAAAATCGGTAGCGGCCCTCGGTACCAGGACAAGCATGTAGATTGCGACGGCTGATTGTACAATCAGCATAATCAAGAATAGAGATGTGAACTGCCGGAAGCAGCGCCGTTAATCGCTTCAATCAACTTTTCAGTTAATAAAACTACGATATTAAACCACCGCTGTCTAAACCTTCCGCGAATCTATAGCAGATACGAATATCGCGTATTGTAAGGAATCGACCGAACAAGCTCGTTCTCACGCGATAAGACTGATAAGAGCGAAAGAATTAAACTTCGTGTCGCGTAAAAAGTTAACGTTGGATAATACGCGGAAAAGCTCACCGTAACAGTCGTGCGGGAAATATAGGTGCATCGATTTCTGAATTTGGCACTGTCGAAAAACAGTATGCCGTATCCGCCACTGCAAAGGGCGAAAATAATGAGGACGCCGCCGATAGCGATAAGCGTCTCCAACGAAATCGCGACGCCCTTCGTCCATGCATCAAGATATCTGACCTCGTAAAGGTACACTATCGTAGCCCAAGTTATTGCGCATATCCCACGTAGCTACAATAAGACGTTTCGCATTTCATCATAAGTATGTATCTCTAATATTATTATTTCTATTAGCTAATACATATAATTTTACAATACATTCTATTTTACTAATGAAGCTTATAAAGTAACAATTATTTCCGTAATTCGCAGTCACTATATATTGGCCGATTTAATCTCGAGGCGTCTTCGAATTGATTTCACAATTTTAGCTTTAGATGTAAATTCAGACATAGACTTTAAGCCTAATGATTTAAGGCGTAGAAGATTAATATACAGGGACTAAATTATAGAGAAATTCGAAAGACCGAACTTGATCCGAGAATCAGAGTACAATGTTTAAGTTCTCTTTAGATGATCCATAATTCTTGTCAGAATTCAGGACGGAGTTTTATTTTGCAATTTTACATGTCGTAGTATGAAAAAGATTTGAAGACTCAGAAATGTATTATATATAATAAAATTATAAATTAATAAAATTAATATATTATAAATATTTTATCTTAATTTTAATTTTATAATTTTATTATATATATATATATATATATATATATATATATAATTTATAATAAAATTATGAAATTGAAATTAAAATAAAATTACAAATGCAATTAAAATAAAATCACAAATTACAATTTTATTTTGCAAATTATAAATCGTTTAAAGAGAGTCTAGACATGCGGTAAATCATCATTTTCGAAAATGGGATAAATAGATGAATATCGTGACATCACAGCGCTCGCAAGTACTTACCACGAGATAAGCAGTAAACGTGTAAAAAAAATATTTCTCAAAAATAGGCATGTTAAACGAAAAACTTTTTAATAGATCCGTTTTGCTCGTCGATTTTACTAGTCACGACGCGGAAAAGGCGCAGCACAAACTGATCGTCGGATCGGGCTCTACAATTTGCAAGACAGGATATTTATCAATTCCCATAACTGATTACGCGATAACGCTTAAGCCCCGTTGGATGATTCATAAACTTGAAAAAACGCATTTTTATACGCGCCGTTTTATAATCCACTATATTAAATAACGAAGAGTTAATTTATTAAACAAAAAATTTATTTTTCACGTGAAAAAAATGATGTAAGAATATGACAAATTAATCGCCGCTCGGGTTAATCAGAATTCGATCAAAGTCACCCTAAGTCGAAAGGTGACTTTGATCGTTAACTATCCTGCTAGAGCTGGTAAAAAAAAAACGGAGAATTGGGTCGAAAAGGTTCTCGTTTGTCTACATTTATTTTATGAATACAAAAAACCGGACATACATAATTTAATCTCGCAGCAATGGCAGCAGCAGCAGCAGCAATGGTAATTTCGCGCATTAAACGACGAGTAAAATCGCAACTTTGGATTATTAACCACTTACATACTTTCTCGAGCCGTGTCCAGCCTTTTGTATGCTTTATCATTGTCGTGCCTAAGCAGAAATATTGCACAAATGCGCGTTAGTTCGTTCGTTGCGCGCGGGCACGGCGACGAGATCTCTTAGATAAAGTTTTCTATTATAAGACAAAAATATATCATATATATATATATATTTGTAAGTCACACAATATCTCTGTGTGTGTACTGTGTGCTGTACAAACAAAGTGAATTTTTACACAAAGATATATATGAGAATTTCGTGTTTTTAACAGCGGTGTGACATTTTCGTACACCCGCAAGGTATGATTGTGTAGCTCTTCATGTGAAAAAATATCTTTGTAACATTAACTTTGTAAAATACTATCACTCGTCTGCTTTCCATCTCCGCGAAGGTACTCCAATTATAATTATCTTTACTCGCGAACTAACGATTGCATGAAACGATCCTGCACATTAAACAGTTATGTCAAAAATTTTTTTATATTTTTGAACTTTTATGTAGAATAAAGATATAAACGTGAGTCAAAGCGGTACGGTATCAAAATATATATACATGTACGATCGTATAAAAAAGGAGTTATTTTTCACAAAGGAAAAAGAAAGTGTGGTCTCAGACCCGACAACTGTTACGGTAATACTCATTGTCAGGTCGATGATGCCGAATTCTGCATTAAATTCTTATAATCGGAAAACAAAAGTGCGTCATTTCATCGAAAAAATATTATCTTGTTATACTTTAATCACGACTGCAAAGAAATGAATGATGCAAAGAAGCCGGAAAAGAAAACATAAGGAGTACTCTGCTCCATTCCGCTTAGAAAAAAGAAAAAAGAAATTTAATTTGTTCCGTTGTAAAACGCAAGTTTTTTTTATCACATCTTATAGACGAATATATTGACGGGAGATGAAGGTAAGATTGTTGTTGCGTGTTGAAAGCATTCCGCGCTAAGCGGCGTCCTTCGCAATGCTCCACTTTTACACACTGTAACCTCTGCGTTGGGCGTTCTTTATGGAATTCGCCAGACATAGCGCGAAAATGATGCCAATTAACTGTGAAAAATGAAAAAGGACACATATAATTACTGCAAGATATTCGTACACACGAAAATGAGAACTAGACAACAAAATATATATTTGGTATAATATGTGACTCTATAATGTTTGGGAACTTGAAATGGATTTAAAGCTTGATATGCAAAGTGGGCGATATGGATAAATGGCCTACTTTGGACGATTTATCTATTAGTACGATTTATTAGAATTACGTGTATATATTCAAATTTTTTAAATATGTATTTTTGATGCGCATGAAATTATAGACAAAATGTTGCCATGAGCTACAGATTGTCAAAGACTGGCTTAAAATCTTTTTCGAGCTGAGATAGATGTACAATTATTTTATCGCGTCTTCCAATCATTATACAGATGTAATAATTCCGTGGTTTTATTTAACTTTTTTATTAGTTTGCGTTCCTTACCTCCGCAGCAGCGATACCCAGAGCGACGCCACCCAGTATCGTAAGAGAATACTTGAATATATCTTCCAACGCACCTGCGCAACCTTTCTGGTAAGCGCTTAGTGGATCGCAGGTGGACTCCTTCTTACCGCAGCAACTTCCTGGGATAGCGCTATGGTGTATCTTGGGAAAATCTTGGGGGCCTTCAACACCACAGCACTGCAACTGCAAAAGTACATCTCACGTTTGAATATTGATCTATTTACAAATCTGTGAAAGCTTCCTTGAAGGTATTTAGGTATACTGAAATCAATGTTATATTCAGTTATTCCGTTCAAGATATGAATCATTCATAGTATTCCATTAGGACGGGATTTATATTCGCATGACAATGCAGTAGTATATTGTTGCACATAAAAAGATATATTAAATGCATTCTAAAAGATAGCCTTACCCAACTCTGTATGGTATCCACGATTTCCGTCTCCTCCCCCTTTCCGTACTTACTGAAGACATCGTTTGCGTATCTATCCTTCCAACTGTAATCGCCGGAATTCTTCGCTACGACGAACGCGAAGATTGCGATAGCCACTTGTACGATCAGAATCACCAAGAGCAAACAAGCAAACTGTGCGGGAAAAAACATATCAATTGTCATGCCTTTTAATCCCTTTCAGGTAGGCAAAGCTGTAGGTTTACGTGTCAAACAACCGCGCTACTTAACCCGTTCGATCATATAATCGCAATCGTGAACTGCACGTATATTATAATTGTCTAAGAAATACTATCGACAGTATCGATTCAATAAGGTCGTTAATATGTTATTGAAGCAATAGATAAATAAACCAAATGTAAGATAGAAATCTATAAATGTAACAAATTTAAATCTTTACCTCTCAGTCATCTTCGATTTAATAAGTGCAACAGATTTAATTCCACAAGCCTAACACGAATATATAATAAACTTAAATTTTTATTTTCAGAATTGAACTTGAAATATTCGAATATGTACGTGAATATAAGTTAAAACTGAAAGGATTGAACTTCCCTCAAGTTGTACGATAAGATGCAATTTGTTGAAGGGCTTACCGTGACTATCATACAGTGACTCTCGCGAATCGCGCCGCAGCATCCTAGGAAAGCGATGACAAAGATGATGCAGCCGATGACGATAAACGTGACTGCCGGGACCGTAACATTACTACTAATGTCTCCCAGGTGATCGGAATAATCGGAATTTCCTACTTGCGCTAGAACGCCGAGAACCAGGATGGCCAGACCACATAGCTGCAACAATATATTTTGTATTTACACACATGCCATGTACGTATCATCGCATATATTCGATGTTGTTCTTTTACTGTTATAACTAACAATTTTATAATATATTTTACTTTTTTAATACAGCTTATTGTGTATGCCTCGATATTAAACAAAGCTATTCCGCGATTTTCTTATGCTAGAATAAAAATATTGCAGTCCAGATATCAAAGCAATTACACGTGCACGTTCTGTTTGTATGTTCAGTCCGATTTTGGGTACGTTTATACGATTGCTGACTACAAGGTGTTGCTGCTAAATATAATAAATATGCATTCAACAATTGTTGCCTAATACACTTGGCGGATAGAAATAGATCAAAGATGCGGTGTACAACCACTGGCGTATATCGAACGGTCCCAGATATCTGGAAATTGTCCTTGAAGCATCGTATGTGTGCGCGCGTGGATGCATGCGTTATTTTTACACGTCGCTACGACGCGCGACGTTATAGTCGATCTTGAGATCACCGCAGGTGGACTAATGCACTTATACTACGTAAGTAAAACGCAGAACGCGGATAGTCTAAGTGCGTTCATCCAATCGATTCAACCTTTAATATTTCCGCCCTAGTTTCAGAACGACCACAACTTTGTCGTAAGATACTTCGCTCGAATAGCGAGCGCGAAAAGGAATGAAGGAACAGCAGGAATAACCATTCTTCATGATATATTGAGAGTTTTGATAACGATGAAAAATTGAGGAACAATCAAATTTAAAACGTCAATAATAATTAACTGATGATAGATCGCTAATACATTTACTGTTTGTACTTTTTATTCATTAAAACTTTCTAACAATAAGTTTTATGTCAAGCCACGCTGTAGTCACCGCAAATGTTGGGAGGCGTCGCTATTGAGAGACGGATTTTTATTTTACCCGCTAGATAACGAAATTATGTATACGCTATAGTCTGGATGACAATCTGTATGCACGGGCGCACGTGTGTCTGTCGAGATGACATCATTGCATCCATAGCAACGTCCTCGGTACCGACTTCCTCCTCGAAATTACGTGCGTTCGACGGCGGCATCACCTTCGTGATTATCATCTTTCATAGAAGGAACTATATAGTATTCTTCCTCGCGTGATTAACAAATGCGATTGTCCAATCACGAAGAAACTGAGTTCGGCATAGACGTGGAATTTCAATTAAAAACTGCGTTTTCAACCAGACCTTTCTCGGTCTATTTTACCGCTAAACACACGCAAAATTCCGAGGTTTCAAGAAGAGCTCGGATTTTCCTGCGGTTACTATATGATCGATAAGATAAGTATATATCGATCGCCAACAGCGTGGATAACTCTGCCCAAGGTCCAAGTAAAATATTTGCTCGCGTCTAAATAAGGAAGTCGAAAACGCATGATTCATTCTGTTGCACGGTGTGCGTGAGAGCGAATAAATTTATCGAGATCGCGCAAGACAAATAAGAGCGCGACAACAATCTCTCTAAATCTGAATCAGTGAATAGTCACTGATATCAGTGACTATTCACCGATTCAGATTTAGAGAGATGGTAAAAATATTGTACTGAAGAAAAAAAAATATGCAACGCTAAAGAAACGACATACGAAAAGCACGTTTTTCGTTCTTTCAATTAGTACTAGTTTGATACTTAAAACGTAACGCAGTACGAAAAGCAATAATTCGCCAGACATATATTTCTCACGTCATCGATAAAAATTATTATTTATGATTAATAGTATCAGAAGAGTTTATCACAAAGTTCTTTGTAGCGTTGTGTAGATAACTTCGGATAACGAACGTGAATAACAATTAATCATCTCTGATATCAAATCAGTGAGTTGACTTTCAGGATTATCGTGTATTTCGCGCAGAATAAATTCTCGCATAAATTGTCGCAAGCCTTTGAGACATGTGGTCGGCGAACTTTTTAAAATTTTAAAAACTACTTCTGAAATATTATTTATAACGTAGTTACATCCGTAAATTACAAAAGATTTCTTTTGTATTGGCGAATAATTCCATTTTTTTTTCTTTGTGAGATCTCAGAGCACAAAGAGCCACTGAAAAAAGATACCGAGCGAATTCAATATGAATTTAACTTATTATCGAACGTGAGACTATATAGATGTCGGAGCAACGTGGAAAATTTGCGCGTCGAGGCTACGCGAAGATAGTGCGCACGTGATACGTGTAAGACATGACGCGATAATTATGGAAAATGAGACACTGGGGAATGCCCGACAGAATGCCCGGCGAACGACGGGAAGGTTGGCGGAGGACGAAAATTACACGCGCTACTAAATGCATAATGCAACGAACAGTGTTGCGAAATAAACGCGACATATGGAAAAGTTTCATGTGCAAAGCTGATTGTCTGAAAATGACGTATAATGTAATTTGAGAACCAGGAAACCGCGGCCATCAACGTTTTAATGACTCGATCATTAAGAAAATCATCTCGTTTTAATTACACCAGAAAAGTGATGAGTAGTCTACCATCTGGCTGGTATTAAAAATGAGAATTACACCGTGAAGGGAAATATATTTTTCCATGTGATAATGAATTAATAGCATGTATAAATTCTGTTGCAAATTAATTAAAGAATAAAGTCTGTTACTTGTTCCAGACTTCGTCTATTTTTCTTTTCAAGTTGTGATAATTATTCTTCAATATAATTCAGTCTTTTGCAGAATTATAATGTATCTCGGAAATATCGAAAGGGAATTAAAATTCCTTAATTAAAGGAATATTGTATCTTCTAATTATTCGTTTAATCTCTAGAGAGAGATATAATTGAATTACATTCAGAACCTAATATACGTAATGGATTAATTTGCGAAAAGTAGTATCTCAATAAGAAATAGCTATTTTAACTTGTTTCGGTCTTAACTAGCAGATCTTAATTCTGTAACGATCTTTTCTTGGAATGAAATAATCGCGTGCGATAAACAGTTGGATAGAGATCAGATAATATTTTAGTTAAAAATCGTTGGCAATCCAAACAAATATGTTATATAAATCGAAAATATCGTACGGTACTCAATATCTAATATCTACGAAAAAGAAGAATTATGTGTACGTACATTCCAATAAATTTAAATGTTAGAAGTTTTAATTGCACAAAATTTAGAACCGATTTTTAACGTAAATTCACAGCGTTTATTTCTATTATACTTAACATTCGTTATAAATTATCTCGAATGAATTGTTTTTCACTCCAAGAAGTCTTATTGCAAATTAATTAAAATAAGGTCTGTTACTTGTTCGCGAAGTCCAGACTTCGTTCATTTTTCTTCTCAGACTCTGATTATTATGATAATTATTCTAACTTTAACACTAAACGACCTATTGTCTAATTTCTACATAAAATATTCCGAGAGAGGCTTTCATGGACTATATTTGAAGAACGGGATCGTCACCTGGTGCATCAGCTCTTCTGGACACACCCATCAGTGTACACACTGTACAAAGTTGCGTAAGTAATCGAGAAAATCGCAAGATAGGTAAACGATAATAGAAGTATCGGTCTTTGATAAGGAAATACGCAAAAAAGCGACACAATTGTCTCTGCGCGACAGGACACGAACATGACGAGCACTCCAACAAACATATAAAATTGTCACCATTTTCTCTTGTGAATGTTATCTCTGTCAAGAATCGATGTTTGTAATTGCTATGTACGCACAATTTTATATAATTATCATTAAATACGTAAAAACAGAAACTAGAACAACATTGTTACCGTGAAAGTGATTGATTAGCGGAAATATTTCTACAGTTCATTCCTGAAGTATCGAACGATATCTGTTATATATTAATATAACATCATTCAAATATGAACTACTTAAGTAGATTAATAATTACTCATTTAAATCGATAATGATTTAATATGATGAAACGCATGTTTTTTGCATGTATAACATATACGAACGTCTTACTTTGTGTTACTTGAACAATTAATATTAGATAAGACATCTAAAATATAAAATGCAAGAATAAAATCGGAAGACTCTAATTCTGCTAAATAATTAGGAAGTTAAAGCTACTTTAGAGGATTCTACCTAAAATTCTATTTATAAATTTATGCTGTATATTCTGATGTACATGTATATATTTTATACACATTTACACATTATTATATTTTATATATTTTAATATATTTCGATTCTTAAAATTTTTGTTTTATTATATGACAGAAAATTATAAATAGAATTCTATCGTGAATTTTAACACGAATTCTACAATAGATCGTCTTAAAGTGGACTTTAGAATAAAAAGATAAACAACATTTACGTCCTCGTTATGTAATAAAAACGATCTAAGTGAGAGAGACCGTCATTCACACGTAAAAATAGATCGATAAATATTCATAGAGCGATTCCATAAATGACAATCAATCGGTATTGATGCTCGATTAATTTGCAAGTAGATGTTTAATATTCTATTCACCTTTTTGTGATAATAGTTGTCAATAGAAAAACTATAAATGAAACAGCATACACTCTATAAAGTACATACAATAATATTTATCGACGTTACATTTCGTTTTGATAATACAGCTGATTATTTTTCTGCAAATTATTATAATCATTAATCGAAACTAAACAAACCATCGATGTTTTGCAAAGAAAATAAATTGTACTTATAATATGTACCTACTTATAAATAAATTGTATAAGTACATTTATATATATAATTTACAAGCATAATATAGTATTTATAAGATAAGTATAATATAATACAATATAATTTATAAGTACATTTAATGTACTTATAAATAAATTGAAGGAATTAGTATGGCAAGGGGGATGACAAAATTACTCTCTCAAGGGGATCCATAAAACCGATGACTGTCTCTCTCTTTCACTCGTAACCTTGTGTAATCTGACCTTTTCAAGACAAGTTCACAATCAAGAATACGTGAGCACCATACATGAATTTTCTGTTACTGAACTGTGATCGTAACTTCTTCGAAAACAAGACACAGAAAACGAGGACGCGACCCAGATCTTGAAGAAATCAGAGAAGCTTTAATCCCTTAAATGTCAAAAGGCGAAATATCCATAATAATGAAATTTAAAATAAAATTTCCGGAGACAAATTTATTTCGTAAATAAATAATAATAAAAACAATTCAAAATGTATAATTAAATCTACACTGCAAGGAATTCGATTTATAAAACATCAAATTTATCTCGATAGAATTTCTATGACTAGTTGATAACATTTTTTTGTTAATTGATAAATTACTTTTACCACATGATTCTAATTTATTTTACTTTTCATTAATTTGTGGAAATTTTCTTACATAATCGTTTTCTTTGGTTTACAGCGATAAAAGAATATCTCGCGGCAAAAGACAGATGTATCTCTTCAGTCCAACGCTGCTGAAGCTTCATTGTACGTTACACAGAGTCGAACAAGATCATCCGTGGCGTGTCTGCTAATTTTAGCTACCTTGTACATAAATATCGGTTTACTTCTACCACAAACGATCGCACGCTTATCGTCACGCATGACAGACGCGTAAATAATGCAAACTGAAGTGATATTAAGTTACGCAACAAACATCAGCGAGCAAAACTATTGACGACATGTAAATGTAACGTAACATTGCAAGTTACCGCAAAATACTTTTATTATTTCCTTTATTTTAAGACCTTTAAGAACTTATTTGAAATGTAGAATAAATAATTGTATGAATAAAGTATGTGAAACAAATTTATGTATATATATTTATATATTTGATGTATTTTAGTCAAATGATTCATTGAATATATATGAAATAAAAGAGCTAGCTTTTAAGATAATGTATCCAGTAATGAAATATTTTTCTTCGATATATGCTATTGGTTTTCTGATAAGATTATATTTCTTCTGGAAATTGAAAAGGCAATATTGGTACCGAGAATAGAACGCGGGATTTTACGCGGATTATGCGCATTTGTAGCAATTTCATGGATTATTTCTTTTGGGATTCTTCCGTCAACACGCACTTTTACGATGACGCATGCGATAGCACTGGCTCGTTCTGCCATCGACTTTTGGATGAGGGAGAAACTATTCGAGAGACGCAATAGTCTCTTACGCAACGATCCTTTGTCCTCCAACGGCTAGGAAGACTAGTTTTTGCGGGCGTTCGGCGAAATTTAATGTGTGACGACAACTATATGACCATAAGGGAAGGCGAGGGAAGATCTTGGGTATTGTAAGAAACTACCATTGTGACCAGGTACACTAGCTACAGTAAGCAAATCGAGAGACCGCAAAGAAAAAAAAAGAAAAGGAAGCAGCAACCGCCCGACCGTCGCCGTCGTCATGACGGGTCTTCGTAGAAATATATCGGACAAAAATTTCCAGTGAGTATTACGTCATGGGGTTAATTAAAGAAATTACTCGCTAAAAGAAATAATACGGTCTGGACTGAAGTATGCTGTTGGCAAAAAAAAAAAAAGGTGTTGCGCGCAACGTAGACGTTGTTATGCGAGTTTTTAAGCCTTTCAGCTTTTTAAACGTAGTCTTAAAGAGATACCGATAATTAGCGGGAAGATAAGTAGGGTGATTCACCTATATCGTGTGCTCCCTTCTTCTAAATATACCTACTCTAATACGTGATCTTCCACGTTATTTTTCGCGCTACCCGCTCAACGAAATTTTCATCTTCAGCCGCGCGTTTTGCGTCGTTGAACCGTCTCCGTATCGCGGACTCTTGAAAGTTAAAAGGATGACAGATAACAGGACAAACCGTCCTGCGTGCGACGCAACGTGATTGATTGCGATACCGCGAGATGCAGCGATTGGATGGACTTTATCGATTAGCAAGTAGATTAGCAACGCGGAGAGCACGCGCGTTAATATAATTAACGTTAATCGTTAATGAATAAGCGTAAGATACGCTTTCCGCACAATAGTTCGATGTGCTGCTGTCGTAGTCTGCTTCTTCACAACATCGCGATTGCTCTATCTGCGATTCTATCGTAATTATCGTAATTGTGTCTGATCAAGCCTCACTGATTACGCGAATCGATATTTGCGATCGAGGAACAATGCAAGCGCTAAATGCACGCGTGGAGGAGACGTGTGACACATTATAAGGCTCTTGTAATTGTCGGCCTTGAATTTTTTTTGTTATCACCATGAGTCAGTCGCCAACGACGTGTATCCGTATATATGACATTATGTATACGCGTGTACCTACTAAAAACTAACTCGGTATACGCCTCTCGCTCGGACGTACGTATACTCCAATACATAATATATCGCCCTGTTTATAGTGCGCATTTCACGTGCTCGAGCGTTTTGGAATATCGCCAGACGAAAAGGCCGTTAAAGACGCCGCCATTAAATATTACTGAAATTAACTGATTCAACGGTGGAGCTGGAAAGTCCCCGCAAGCGTGAATAAGTTCTCTCGCGTCTCTAACGTAGGTATATCAACTTTTATATGCAATCGACAAACTAGGATAAAACCCAATTTGAAAAATTAGGAGCTGCTACAGCGACACTTGCAGAGCTGTTGTTCGACAAAAATTTAAGACGTTATGAACTACATAAAAGACTCAAGCTCGTGTGTCTCAAAACAATGTTTATCGGCCCTTGAACTTTCTACATTGTTTTAAGACGTTATATATACTTTTTATATATTCCTACAATTTTGTAAGCGTACAGAGGCTCAAAATCTGGTATGTAAGATCTAATCTTAGAACTATATCTACGAATGCGAGGACCAGAATTGCAGCGCGGTCTCGCCATTGTATTTCCGTCGCGATTGTGCGATTGTGCGATCTTATCCGCTCCGGGAAGGAGGAAGCGTTTAAAAAAAAGAAAAAACCTCGTGATGCTTCTCTCAATAGAGAACGAGGGAAAATTGCAACGGTCACGCACGCGATCACGGGCAGGACGCAGTCTGCACGTTTCAAGGACGAAATCGCGTGCGTGCATAAGGTTGAGTAATCCGCCAGCACTCGGCACCGGCACTGGCGGCGAATTCGCGGAACGGAGCCGGCAAACGAAATTCCACGAAGAGAGGCCGCTATGTATAAACACCGAGCCGTGTATTTCCGATGCCGCCGTGCTCCGAGCGCGACGGGAAAAATAATACGACAGAAGATAGGGAAGGAAATAACCTAGACGTAAAGATGCGAGATAACCCTACGTCCCTACGAGTTGGAAAAAAAATTGACCGCGATCTCTTCGGGGGAAACAACGAGTCGAAGGCGAAGACCGGTTTTGCGGAGTTTTGCCGCGTCCCAGGCGTCCGTCCCAGGCGTCCAAAACATTCGGAGTTGTCGGCCTGCAATGTAAGCCTGTTGATGTTGACCACGTTGACTCGAAGTCGCGTGAACGCCGTGAAACCTCGGCTCGATCGAGCGAGAGATCGGGATCGATCGGCCGACTTCACGACGCGACGACGCGACGGTTAGCCGAAATAAAAGGAAATACTCGGGGGAGGCCGCAACAGCCACGAGGGCTCTCTAAAACGCGGTCGCTTTATCTTCAGCTCGATGATAAGCGATACTCGGTCAAGTCGAGTTCGAGGAGCGTTTTATACCTTTGAACGTCACCGTTTTACCATGGAAAACCCGGAAAGATACGGGGACCGTCGGGGACGCGCACAAGACGAGGACCGTGTGGCGCCGTGATCGCGGCAATCGGCACGTACGAAGCGGCCTCGGTTCACTTACCACAAAGATGAAATTGAATATGAAGAGCAGGTACTTGATCACTCCCATTCCGCACCCCATTTCGACGTGTCGGTCTTGCGATTCGCGTACGTGAAGAAATCGCTTCTGAACGAGAACGAGAAGCTGGGACGGACTCGCGCGCGGACGGCAACGCACAACTCGCGATCGGTTTAACTGTCCGACTCCAACTGAAATTCCATTCAAGCGACGCTCCGCGCGGCGCCAATGTGACGACTGTGACGTGACGGCCTGACGCCTGGCGGCGGCGCGCGACTCCGCCCGAAGTTGGCCGAGAGCCGAGAGACGCGCTTCGTAGTTCGTGGTAAAGTCGTAAAGTTGAGTAAAGTGGACGCGCAGGACGCGCTTTACCTTCAGACTTCAGATTGCGCCGCCCAGATATGAGATAACATGGCGAGCCGAGTGCGTTCGGTTCGGCGAACGAACTATTAGCGAGATATTCCGCTCGTATTCTTTCTCGATATCGTAGATAACGTTACTTCTCAGCTCGGAAAATAAGCCCTCCTCGAAATAACGAAATCGACAATTGGAGCGAGCGGAGCGAGTCTTTTTTCAACAGACTGTTAATAATTAAGAGCGACTTTGATCACAATTACTTGAAGCAAAATTTCTAGCTATATAATAACAATAATAATTAATAACTTTATCCATGTCGATGAAATAGAATTTATAGATGTTATTTAACAAGTTAATTGTAGTAATTAAGTTAACAGGAATTTATATAGTCAGTCGTAACGTTAAGCCCAAGGCGATAACGTGAAAAGGATTGTAAACTAATTGTAAGCCATGTGAAACACGATTTTAAAATTATCTATATACTGTTACACGCTTATTTTTGAATAATTAAAAAACGCACTATATTTCAGAAGCGTTTTTAACTGGAATACTTAATTGATGATTAATATTTCAACCAATTTTGAGCAACGCTGTACTGCCAATCTAATCAGTATCGAAAGTATATCATTCTAAGTTGTACGTATACATACAGATAATCAAAGAGTTGATTATCGAAGAGTTTCGAGAATTGGTTTCAACAGGCAAAAATAAATCTTGATTGAATTTTTAATTATAGAAAAACACGATACTTAACGTTAAATCCAGAATTCGTCATATGAAAAATTCAAATGGAAAAAGGAGTTGAGTAGATAAGAATACTTTTAGAAATGATTGTTAAAGACAGATAAATTGGATTACCTGACTGTATGACGTGATCGAAATTCAGTCATCTGAATGACGCGGTGCATGATGTCATTTCAGAGATGTGTTTAGAGTTCTGTCCGTCTCGCCTGATAGGCGATGGAACGAGAAGCGCGAGACATTTACTTTAAATAAAATATGCAAGAAGTTTAGATATATTAAAAATTATTTTTTGCGAATAATGGATGTCTTGAGAAATATAAGTATATTTACTAATATGTTCTAATTTTTATCAGCTTTTTCACATGTGAGAGAGGAAAAGGTGGGCTATGTCAGACAACAATAGAATTATTTAACGTTTCTTTCAATAAAAAGATTGTTTCCACAAAAATCGGATACGTTATCACGCTTCTTATACAAAATAGTTTTCATTTTGCAGTATCGAGCTCGTAATTTTCAGAAAATTACAAAAGACTCGCATGTTATATTGCGCGCAACAAAAGAAGTTTAAACAGAGAATCAACGAAAAATATCGACATAAATTAAAATGTAAGATGTGTAAATAAAAATAATAGAAAAAAGTGTATTCACAATTAACGATTGTTATTTTTGTCGCTCATTTGTGCGATTACGTTCCGCTATTTAATCTGGAGTCCAAGTATTTCTGGATAATGCGAGATACGAGAATGATACATTCATACATGGGTATCTATATTATTCTACTTTTGTTAGTCGTGTGATTGAGTGATCGAAACAGTGCACTCTATTGCTTATTTAATGACTATAACTACATTAAAAAGTACAAACTAAATAAACTAAAAAGCCTCAAGAATATAAACACAGACTTTGATATTGTTTGCTAACCTAACAAAGCGATCTTTCTTGAAACTCGAATTTTCGACGTTGCTAGGAACATAAATAAAAAAACTGCATTAAGACAACAGAAATATATGTTGTCCTAGTAAAAATCACCTCTTTACTCATGAAATGGCAGTAAGAACAGTAAACTGTTCAGGCATCTCTCAGAATATTGTCGTTTTTTTTTCTTTATACAGGGCAAGCGAAATTGGAAAATACTTTAGCCATAGATCTTTTTTAATTAATTTGGAAATTTCACATTTTCCTTAAATCTAATTGAAAAAAAGAAAAGACAATAAGATCTTTTTAAGAAATTATTATCTCATTGTAAATGCATAAAAAATTTTCTTTTTAATCAATTTTATCCAAAATATTAATTGAGATTTATTTGCCAAGCAATTCAATGTTGAAAGTTGGCAAGCTGCAGTTTCCAGAATATGAAGGAAAGTCAATAGAAATATTTGTCGAAGAATCCGTCGCTGAAGTATTTCTCGATCGGTCTGGAATACCCTGTATAACGGGAACAATATCAGTATCACTAGTGTATCTGTACACCGTTGATATTGTCACCACGTGAAATGTATTTCGCTTATCACAATGATGCAACGTCCTTAAGTGACGCACATCTCTGTCGTTCGCAGTATGCAGCATTAACTAGGGATCGCCAGAATTGTGCAAATATCTCGATTGACGGGTCAGAGAGTTGTTCTTAGTCTCCGCTTCCATGCTATCTTGCCCCCGCCAAGATAGCAGGGACGTACCCGTAGCCATCTTCGATGCCCTCCTTTCCATCCTGTCTTTGTAGATTCTGACGTAACAAGTCGTGCACGCTATGAAGGAAATCTGAAACCAATTAGCGCGAACACCGGTTAATTAATTGATGATCCGTGAACTCCAACGAGCGAGAACACGCACCTGCAACAGTACGGAGCACAACGCGAGCAGAAAAACATGAAGGAGGATCGATCTCGTCCGATTTAACACCACGTGCTGACACCCACGTTTATTGATACTAGTGCAAACACCCCCGGTGTTGTTGTCGTTCTCCAGATTCGTCTTGTTACAGCAGGACCAAGGAATCGCGTCTACGCTACGATAATCAGAAGGCCCGTCTATTCCGCAACATTGTAACTAAAATTAAATTTAATTGGATCAAAGTTAACTCGATTTAAATGTTTCTCACGGTTCATTTTTTACTCATATCTTATTTTATTACAAATATAATTAAATTTTATGTCATCGCATTCATCCAAATTTATTTTAACGTTTGTAGGGATGCAGCCGCCTATCACGAAACGAGATTAACTAGCAAATATCGTATTAGCAACAAAATAAAATCGCCGTGTTCGAATATGCAAAAGAAAGAAAGAGAGAATGTGATTTTTACCGTGGACTGCATGTGGTCCCAGATGGACTTCTCATCCGTGACCGCGAGAGCAAAAACCTCGTCGTGTCGCGTGGACGACAGGGTGCCTATTTGTTCGTGTCGCACCAAGGCCCAAATCCCGACACTGGTTTCGATCAGCACGATGATCGCCAGTACAATGGCAAACTGGGTAACGAACAATTCATATTAGCTACAAATTTCCTAATTCTTCCCCGGAAATTCAAGAAATAAAATAATATCAAACTTCAATTGACTATAACTGGCAAGAAATAAAGAAATAAATAAAGAAATAAACTTACAATGATTACTTGACCTTTGTTGGAAAAATCCAGAAATTGCCAAGCGAACCAGCCGATCCCGCATGTGATAACGCCCATCGCCAGCAAAGTGGCAGATGACCCGCACACATGGTCAGGTGTGAGCGGCGCGTATTCGTGCAGCTGATAAATGAAATAACCGGCGAACACGCTCATGGCCGCGCCGGAAATCTGCGGAGGAAAGAAGACTTTTTCATATACTTCCGACAGGTAATTTTCATCTCGTTATTAGAGTATGTTATTACAAATTCTAATTAACGATTGTTTTTTTGCTGCAATAAATATCGCAGCAAATTTTAACTACGATTACGACTTGCATGTTTTGATTCACGATAAATACGTTTCAATCTCGCTTGTTGATCACATCATAATTCTGTACAGAAATAGACATCGAGATCAAAATCGATTTTTCAAAATCGTCCGCATCGCTCTCTTCTTCGAAATCAGTACGCAAATCGCGGTGACAATGCGAATTGTTTTATCATATTATCATTGATAAGAGAAAGAAAAAGAGAAGACGAAATCTTATCTATAAATGGGCGAGGCGCTTGTGTATAGTTCGTTTAAAACAAACTTTGCATTACGGCTTATCGCACTTACCATCACAACGATAGTTGAATCGAGCGAAAAATTGATGTGAGTTTTTTACCTTTCAGTTTGAGCAAGAGATTTATCTTATCGTAAAATATATAGATTTTAATCTTGGAACATATATTTCAGATAAACAACTTTCAGTAATATGATTAGAGTCGACGTAATATCTAAATGTGTGTGCGACGTAAATTAAAATATTTAGAAGAGAAGAAACCATGCAGTTATATCACCACAAAATCGACATTCGACACATTGTATCAGTGATATTTTTACAATTGTGACGGAATAAAGTGTTAATTAAGGTCGCTTCGCAATTACAAGTACGTTCACTACGTTCTCCTTCAACTCTCGTTGCCTTTCGTTAATCAGTGCACAGATATCAACTGTAAAATACCGTCGTACGTTTCTCAACACGCGTTTGCTTCTTTTATATAGATAGGTATCTGAAAAACGACGAACGTATCGAAATCGATTCTGAGAGCGTTAGGAAAATTATAATTTGATGTAATATCACGCGCATAAAAAGGAAAATTACTATCTATCTTTCAATTTAATGGCAACTATAAATCAATTATAATCTTTGATAACTTTAATCCAAATTTTAATAGCAACTCCGATAAGCATTATTTTTTTAGAAAGTCATTTACTTCGAAAGCGAAATACAACTGCAGTTTCGCGCGTAAAAATTTAAATGTTTATTTAATTCAACGAGTTATCAGTATATAGACAATGGCTACGGTCAACGTGACGCTCCAAAGCATTTGTAGCGTCACGTTGACCGTAGCCAATGTGTACTGAATTTAATCACTGTACATAGCAGAACGTGCGTCTATGCTTTTGAAATAAATGTCTCGCTCTCGTGATAATCCCGTATAACAATTTCAATTGTCTGAATCCTCTGAGCTCTAATAACGAATTCTCTTTAATTCATCTAAATAATTTCATTTTGCCCGAACACAGATGAGGCATGCACGTACGCACACCCCTCCGGCTCCGGCATCACTACCACCGGCAGTCGGCACCGCACAAAAATTGCGAGACGGATTGGCGCCGCTCCCTCGAACGAAGCTCCGGAACCCAGAACCCCGCCAACCCCACCATCGCACGCGCGATCTGCGAACGGCAAACAGCTGCGCGATTGATCACAATAATAGCACGCCGACTGGATCTCGATCGGAGACGGAGGCGCGGGTGCAATCCGTGCAACGACCAGCTGGCGACGACGAAGTTCGTCGCTTGCAATCGGCAGGCCGGTTCGCTCGCGAATTTTCGTCCTTCACAAACGTTGCAGGCTCGCCTCGATCGCCTCGATCACGGGACAAAGAAGAGAACGATTCCGCAACGATTCTCGATCGCGGTGACGAACTTACGCCAAGGAGGATCACACCGGCGACGAGGCAGTAGCGGAAACAGACGAACGCATGTCCCATCGTGCGTGCACCCGTTTTTATAAATAGCGCAGTACTATTTGGTTTGGATCGTCGCGCACACGCTGGCTCGTTCGATGTCGCACTCGCGTGCTCGTCGTCGCCACGGTGACCGGACGCTAAATGGGCCCTTGTTCATTGTTCACACGCGCGACGGCACCGCGTGCTGCGCGCGCTAAGAAGCGCCGTGCGCACGGCCAATAATCGACCGGCTGCGCTTTTCCGGAAGCAGTTACGTCCGGTTGTTTCCGGAAAAGCGGGAAGGTTGAGCTAGCCATCGCGTCCTGTTGTCGAATGTTATCGTAAGGACATCGATAGCTATCTGGAAGAAATATTACCATTGAGATTACCTGTAAACAGATGTATCACGGAATGCCTTGCAGAATGTGGAAATTTTCTGTTTTACTCTTTTTTTGCTTTCGAAAGTTACTCTCAAATGGACACTTATAGTTTAGGTCTAATTGTAAGATTAGTTTACGTTTCTCGCAGACGATTATTAGGCATTTTTATTTATTTCTTTAGCTACGAATTGAATGTTTTACTTTTCGATGTTTACTTTAATGCTGATATTTTGTAGTTCACATATTTTATAACACATAATTTATTATAACATGTCTTGCTTATTGGAATGTATGAGTGACATTTGCATCGAGTTTGTCTTGTAACTGAAATAATTCTCAAAAACAGGATGAATCCAAAAAAAGGATATATCGCTAAATTAAACTCTAGCTGTCGTCGATTAAACCTCATTCGTAATTTTCTCTTGTGGAATAAGAGTTTAACTTCTGACCTTTCGAGCGAATTTTCGAATGATCCTTCACTGCATGTACTCTGCAATGCTTTTATTATAGCAAAGATATAAAATTAGAAACAAACCGTACACTGTTGAGTCTGTGCGACGAATCGTCATCGTCGCCAATCGTCGCAAAAGCAGTATCGATACCGCGTACATCGTATCGTTGATACATCGAGATATCGACATATTGTTTGTGTCACTGTGTGTATTTATATGAGTGAGAGAGACTGGTTTGGGACAAAGTAACGGAGTAATAATCATTATTTGTCTATATTATGCCTAAGTAATCGGCGGATCATAGTTGAGATCAACAAGTACAATTAATCAGCGTCCAGTTAGTACATTTATTCTACGGTAATCTCACCGATGGTTAACAATTGGATGTTCTTCTATGCGCTTAACCTCACGGGCATGAAAAACGACTTGTTTACCGGGGAACCGTACTGACTATGACATTAGTAGCTTATGAATTTTAACGAACTAAATGTCACGAATTTTTATATACATCTTTAAAGTCATTTAGTCTTGATATAATTTATATCACACTTGTCGCGCTAAGTATATGGAATGATGGAATGCAGGTTACGGAACTGTCTTATTATATCGCTCTTTATTTTTCTTCTAATTAATCTTAATGTTATTCTCTCTTGACAGAATGGCCGGCCCATCCTCTGACCAGAATAATGTCGCTCAGAAGACATGGGAGCTCTCAAACTGCATCGAAACCATCAGCACCATGGACGAGATTTACAGATATGACAGAAAGGAGCAACAGGATATATTAACTGCCAAACCATGGGAGAAAGAGTAAGGATAATATTAATCTATATTAATCTATCGCGAAAACCAAAAGCGTTAACTAATCGGGCATTTTCTTTTGTTTGTGTAGTCCCCATTTCTTCAAGGACATAAAAATATCTGCCTTAGCTCTGTTAAAAATGGTTATGCATGCACGATCTGGTGGGACATTGGAGGTAATGGGTCTCCTGCTTGGTAAAGTAGCAGCGAACACAATGATCGTGATGGATTCCTTTGCTTTGCCAGTCGAAGGAACTGAAACTAGAGTAAACGCTCAAGCTCAAGCTTACGAATATATGACAGCGTATATAGAAGCGGCTAAACAAGTATATATACATATTCTGTAAGAAAAATCTTGTAAATATATGATAATAATTTTGTAATAATTTCTTCTTTAGGTCGGTAGGCTAGAGAATGCAATTGGATGGTATCATAGTCATCCTGGATACGGTTGCTGGTTGTCCGGTATTGACGTATCCACTCAGATGCTCAATCAAAATTTCCAAGAGCCGTTTGTTGCGATCGTCATCGATCCTGTGAGAACCATTTCTGCTGGCAAAGTTTGTCTTGGTGCATTCAGAACTTATCCCAAGGTACATCTCAGGCAATGTCTTGAAAAAGGATCAAAGATACATGTTTACCTCAGTTCCAAAGTTACTCAGTGATAAGACTAACTTCATGTTCTCTATCGTGAGAAATCATTGTAAATAATTTCAATTGTATGTTGTTTTCAGGGATATAAACCTGCTAACGAAGAGCCGTCAGAATATCAGACGATACCACTAAACAAGATCGAAGACTTTGGTGTTCATTGCAAACAATATTATTCCCTGGAGGTGTCCTACTTCAAATCCGCATTGGATAGACGGCTGCTCGACTCATTATGGAATAAATATTGGGTGAACACGTTGAGCTCTTCTAGCCTATTAACGAACGCGGACTACACCACTGGCCAAATATTCGACTTATCGGATAAATTGGAACACTCGGAATCGGCTTTGGGTAGAGGATTCGTCTTGGGCGGCACGGATCCTCATGATCGCAGTACAGTGGAAAAACTCATTAAGGCGACCAGGGACAGTTGTAAAACCACTATCGAAGTTATTCACGGTTTAATGGCGCAAATTATCAAGGACCGTTTGTTCAATCATGTCGGCAGTAACGCATCTTGTGATCCTCAGCAAAAATAATAAAACTCAACATAATATGTGTGATAATAAGTCTGCTTAAAACGTGTATTTGTAATAAAGATATGTATCCTCTCGTTTAAAGTCAAGATCTTTGGAACGATTACTTTGCAACATACGCGACCAGAATTTCTTGACTCGGAAACCATTTTTGCTCGAGAAACTTGTGCAAGATCATGGATTAAAATTATCAGTATCAATTATTACAATCGACAGAATGAAATATCAGCGTTCGATAGTTTCTTTACGACATCATGAAGACGCTTCAAGTACACGAATGGCGGTTTTTAAAAACGTAGTGGAATAAAAATACATTTTATTTTCACACCTTGATTCGCTAGAAAGTATATATACAGCATTTTTATCATTGATCAATATCCTCATGTATGTATTTATATATTTATAGGTATGTTTATAAAACTAATATGTAATATTCAGAACAAGTAGGCAGAGCAATACCCCCATTGAAGGACTGACGTGCTGTGTCACAGACTTTAAGGACAAGGCCACTCAGAGAAACGCACACACCCACCTGTTCTATTTTATATATTCCTATACCTCGCGCGCGCGCGCCCTCGTATCTCGCACAACATATAAGGGACGGAGCTAAAATGCATACAGTTATATACTCAATCAATTGTAAACCTAATCGAGAAAGTTATACATAAGATATCCCGTTAGAAATAAGAGAAGAAAACGTACGATTGAAAGAACGGCGCTCTTGAGAGATGAATCCTTATGGTATGTACATACATCTACACCTATTTCGCGTCACACTATGATGTTTCATCGGAGCGAATTAAATAATTAAGTACAACAGCATATTTTATAACTTAATTCATAGAAAAGTCTAGAGAGAAAATAGATGTCTAAAAACACGGCTTTGCCAACATTCTATTGCTCTCAGCGTATTTCTTCCTAACTTGTATACCTATTATAGGGCTTACATTTGTCGCTCGTCATCGACAGATGTGAAAATTCGACAAAGTAAGTATAAAATCGTACGAACATTATGTTAAGTGAGCGAGTTTTTTCCGTACATTTCTCTCTTTCTCTCTTTACTATTCGACATATATAATATATATACACACAAGTGATATCTCTGAGACTGTAAGTAATTCAAATTGAATAGCAAATGGTAAATTTAAAATTTCAAAATTAGGTAGTGAAAACATCGTTACTTTGCTGTTAATTTTATGTTAGTGTTTACTGCAACTTTAAAGGTAAGCTATTGTCGACGTATACATACGATTATCCTTCTTTATGTTGTGACTTTCGTAAAAATGAACGAAAAGTAGAACTAGATGACCACAGTTCGCGGATATGAAATCGAACTTGAACGATTTCACACTTCCACTTTGTAGAGCAATTTCGCAGCCGCGTGATACCGGAGTTACCGACTCTGCTTTACATCGTAATTCTCGCGTTAAAATCAATTTGATAAAATTATACAATATAGCGAAATACCATTGACGTCTTGCACGAATTAATATCATTCGGACGCGACGAAGAGGTGTTTAATTGGACCACTAACAGAACCCCGATACTTCTCGTAATAATAAATTTCTCGCACAATCGGATGCAAGGTTCAACATGCATACATACGCGCGACAGATATAACATGACAATCAGAATTCAGCCCTCCAATATTACTCTGTATACTCTGAATACGAATTCGAAATTGTGTACTCGCGCTACGCACGTAACACACTCATGCACCGTAGGCGTTGTGTGTGTATGGGTATGTGTTGTGTCTGTGTACATCCTCCCCCAAAAAAATGATTTTTTTTTCACACTTTCTCTCGAAGACGGAAACGTGGATATTATCGTATTCGCGTTATTGAATCAACAGTTCTATCATATACACATATAAAGAGTCCCATCTCGCGTGTCCTTTTTCTTCTATTTCTCCTATCGCGTAAGGATTTCCTTGCCTCTATACGTCACTGTGATTATCTAATATTTACAAGACGATCATTCGCGAGTCGTCCGCGATATCTTACAAATACAGCGGTAGAAAAGATCGTATTTTTTTTTAGTTACAGCGAGAGTTAAGCGCCTTCTCATATAGATAACTTTTTGGGGCAACGACAGAGCACTTTCGGTGACGGAACCTCCCTTCGAATCCTTCCAGGCTTTCTCATGTTCTATTGTTCTCGAGTGGCGTGTGATGTGTCTGATGTGTTTCTGTTGTCTTACACTCGTCTTTCCCTATGTCTCTTCGTTTTCTATCTCATTTAGCCTACGTGAGGAGAAATTACGCGCTAAATTAGTAGCCGTAAAACAGCGGGAATGCAACCGATCGGAGTACGACATCTCTCTAACTTCCTCCGCGTGTTTCGGTTAGAAAAAATATTTACATCTCTTTCTTCTCTCTTCCTTTTTTTTCCACACACGTGCGGCACATTACGAGAACGATAGACAACAGTAATACAAAACGTAATTTTTGAAAGACCGCGACGTTAATATCACATTACTCGCGACAGCCTTTATATACGCGCGGAAGAGAATTAATATTTCACTTTTCATTGCGAATGAGTTTTCAGAATATACTGAACAAATCGCACGCGAAATTAAATTATCATACTTTTTGACATACCTAAAGTCTCTCTTATAAAGTTTAGGTCATGCCTTGTCGGTGTTGCGCATACAAAGATTGCTTAATTAATACAAACGTCTGTGTGTGTGTGTTAAATATATCCATTTGCCAAGTTGTATATTTCACTGTTCTTGACGGAGAGACGAAATTGCACTTCATCTTTTTCCCAATCCCTTTCAAAATTCGATCAATTATCTTTAGGCAGGCATATGTACAAATGTATTTTGTATTACATCTTGTCACTGCGATGTCGAAACGGGAAAGTTATTGACTTCCGTCTGTTCCAGAACTGGTCCAGTCGGGCCCGTATATGATATACGCAGTCTCATCCTTAACGATGCCTAAGGAACAAAAGAGAGATCGTCGATTAAAGGCAAAAAGCTCAAACGATTATTCTGTATAGAAATAACATATTGAAAACTAACTCTATTCATATTTGTCACTCTCAACACTTGAGTTACTTGACCAGACGGCGGAATGACAGTACTCGACGGCGATAACATTTGTAGTTGGAATGTCTGTAAGCGGGAAATATACGACAAATACATTAGTTTGTGATATACAAGTAATCGTAAATGTAATTGTAAATGCGTATGTGTCTAACCCTAGGAACTGCTGCTTGAAACAGGAAATCGGTTAAAATGGTGCTTCCGGAGTTTTGAGCCAACATATTTATGACTAATAGATCGGGAATATCGGGCGGTCTTTCCAATTTAAACGTTATTTTGAGCCCTGATTTGTCGAAGATCATCATGTTCGGTAGTTCTGTAACAATGATCATGTTTTACATATGCTAATCAATCCGTGATATTCTTTTAGATCTTATGACGAACCATTTTGCACCGACGGAGTATTGAGCAATCCATCTACTAAGAAGTTACTATTGTTCGTGGGACTGAACATCGGTGTGGATGGTGACTGCGGTTGAAGTGGTAGCGTGGGAGCGACGGGCGTAGGCGTATTCAAATCTAAACTTCCGAGCAAATCCAACAGGTCATTGTTATGCGCCGTGGTCGAACTCGGCGAGGAATTTTTGTTGGTCGTCGCCACCGGCATCGTCACTCCTACATCCGTAGTTCCAAGTAAATCTAAAAGTGCACTCTGTAAAATTGCAAAAAAAAAGAAGAATGTGAGATACTGGTAGAGCTCTTTTTTTAAGTTAGCACACTGCAAAATTCACGTTTTAATGTCATTAGAAATCTTGTATATTATTCTTTTAATTTGCATGTTTATAATTTAAATGAAAAGATATGTTAAGTAGTACGCGCTTACTGAATCGGATGTAGTCGTGGCTGATTCCAGAATCGTGGACTTCTCGTCTTCCGGTTCTGGCTCGCCGTTCACCAGGCCTATGATACCATTGGCCTGCGGTCGCGCAGTTTCCATCGGCGGCATTCTCTCGAGCAGCGCAGGCCGCAGGTGATCGTACTTTCGGAACAACTGCGAGAATTCGATACCTCTCTGCTGTAATTCGATATGCAAGTTGCTACCAAACGTATCTATGATCTGACGAATTTTCCTGTAATACAGAATATTACGTGTACATTAATATGCGATAGGAATCTCTTTTGCATAGATATAAGGATAACCATGGATGATTAAAGCGATACTAACTCGTGACCTTTCTGGAACCTCGTGCTTAATTTCGTGAGGGACAATAAGGTATACTGTTTCGTAACAACAGTGTTCTGCGGACTCCAAAGTAACCTCTGATACACGTCGATAATTTCGTCTTCTGTCAACTGATAACAAAATTTGAGAAATTTTTAAATCACTATCGTATATACACATATATATCTAGAAAAAGTATGACAAATGGCCTTTAAGACATGATTAACACAGAAAAAAAGTTGTTCAAACGTTTCATTAGCAATATTCAAGTCTTTTTATGTAAGTTATGTAAGTTAAGAAGTAATACACTGTTGCTACAGTTGAACTTACATTGACTGGAGTCTCGGCATCTTCCGACGGTGGACCGTACAATAACAGATCGCCATACTCGCCGATGCACCACGTGGCAACTTGTGCCAAGGGCTGCTTGTCGGATGTGTCCTTTTCTAACGCACGCCACAACGCGCCAACAGCATAGCCCTGCTGTGGCTGCGTCTCCGAAATTAATTGAATCGTGCACGCTACCACGTCGTCTCGCACGTAATTACCAGCCTGAAAATTAAAAAAATAAATAAATATCGGTAACTCTCTCGCATTCCGCATTCATGTATCTCGTATTATGTTCTCGCAAAAATACATACCGCGACAAGCACTTTGAAGAGCGTTTCGAGGTGCCAGCGTTTATTCGGAGCGAATCTCTCCGCAGACATCACAATATTGCTGCTGCATTGCGCCTTGAATTCTGGATCGGCACGTTCCAGGAACAAGAGTAACTCCTTCATCATGTTTCTGATGTTGTTGGTATTCACGAGCGCGAAACTCAGCTCCATCGCGCGTCTTCTGATCGATACGTCTGGGTCCTTCAGGCATTCCTGAAATACGCCGAGAGAATATTAATCGCAATGAATAACTTTCTCTTCGTGCTCAAAAAAGAAAATCTATAAGTAAATATTTTACTAGAATTGTCGATCGATGCCTCTGCACCGCGCTCGTGTCCATGTAAACCGTCTTCAATAACGTGTTCAAGGCCACGTATCTGATATTCTTGTCGTTATTCAATAAAAATCTGCCCAGTATGTTGACCGCTAGGACTCGAAGCCCGCTCTCCGACTTGATGTCCATGATCGATAGAACCGTCTCGTAGAGTATCGTGTTACCGACGTTTTTGGTGGTTTCCGTGTTAGTGGCGACTTGAGCAAGAATGTCGTTCATGGCTTCGGACGTATCGACGTCGTTGCGTCCCAGAATACGTAGGAGACGCAGTATCTTCACCTGAAGAAACGGATCCGATACTCCGGATACATCATGCTCGGGCGAGTATCCAGCTAAGATCAGGTTCTTCAAGATTCTTACGAGGTTTGGCACGATCTGCAATGAGATCTATATTTATCTCCGTTTAATTTCAAAGACTTATCATAAAATTTCAATTTAATTCAATTATTAACATTGATTACAGGAAACAAGATTGATAGAACAAGCCATTGCAGGATAACATACATTTTCATGTAACATGAAAAAATATAAAGAAGTACTATCTATCGCTTTAAAATAATATCCAAAGAGTCCGAGTTTTTAGCTATTTAAAAGTAATTATCTCAGATGCGAATTATATCATTAATTATCAATATTATACAGGCTATTTGTCTTGTAATTATTGCTACAGACTATTTAATTAAACATACGCTAACAAAATAACTTTTTATAAACGAGCTACGATAAACATGCAATTATAATGAAGAATCTCATCATGCCAATTACAGGTTGTATAACTATTACTATTAATAATATTTTTCTACATATATAACTACTTTTTTCCACCGATAAAAGATTCGTGTACTTGTATGTAAAAGATTTTTGTATGTAAAAGAATATAGATGGTTCGATACTTTTAATTATTAAAAAATAGCATAGCAAAGCAGACGATGTTGATTTTACATTTTGGCAGTTTCAACGTCTATTTCGGGCAAAGTAAAAGAAAAGAATGAAGTCTGTGAGTAATAAACATACATGCAAAGATACAGAAGAATCTTTATATGCATATTACCTCACGATGGCCGCATTCCTAAGAAAGACAAAACCAACGCTTATATTACGTATGTTCACGTAATAAATTTGAAGGCATTAACTTTGTGTTAAACTTCACAAAAGATATTGAACGATTGTCTTATTATTATTATTATTTATTTTTTCTTTTTTTTTTTTTAAGAAAGATAGAAGAGAAACTCGCACATATTTATATCAACGAAGCTGTTTAGACTCTATTTAAAGCAAGCATGTATTACAAATGTAAATGAAAGATCGTGTTTGAAATTTTGATATTGTATTAAGATAAAGCGCAGGAAAACACTCTTTTTCCTTATGATATTTATAGACGCGTAAAGAACAATCTATGGTGTATACGTTTATTGCGTAACATCAATAAAATATTCTTTCGGTTGACTATTTCGTATCTATGCTCGTATAGAGATTAAGACTGCATTCTTTTCCGTTACTATTGCTAACGGACCATAATTACCTAGCAAACGTAAGTTTCAATTCCTAATGAATAATTCCACTATGCACTAGATACTCCTCTTTTAGCGGGTTTCTCTACTACTATCTAACTTGATATCGGTCATATTAGATAGGTTGATCGGTTACGTAATGCAATACTATGACTCGGATGGGTAGATTCATAGCATCAAACCGCGTTCTACAGAAACCTGTTCCAGAACTGATGTACGCCGTATCGAACAAGTATCTCTTGAAAATACCTTTTTGAAGTGATTCAGCGTGTCGACGCTGTTCTCGCACATCTCCGTGATGAGGGTAACGCCGGTAATGAGGACTCCATGATTCTTCTCGGTGATCAGGCTGCGGGTAGCCGGCAGAAACATCTCCATCAGTTCCGGCACGCGTCTGATGATCCGAAAGGCGCAGAGCGCCGCTTTCTTTCGGATGTACGCGTTCGGCGACTTCATCAATCTCTCCACCTCGGACGCCAAATCCCTTGCCATTTCCGGGGACGCAATTGCACCAAGGGTACACAACGCCAGACCAATGACAAACTGTGTAGAACTGTTCAAGTCACTGTGCGAACAAAAACAAGAGGAAGACGTTGACTCTTTTGAAGAGAAAAATTCTTTTTCGAAAATGTAGAATATTGGCACTTGAAATAAAACGGTCATTACTTTTTTAGACAATTCGTGATCAGGAGATGTACGTCTTGCCGCTCGTCCAGCAACAGCATGGCTCCCAAATAACCAATTCGTTTATCGGTAAATTTGGGCGAAGCGATGAGTTTCAAACATTCCAATTGACCAAAATGCGCTGGATACCTGGAACGTCATTAACGTGTCTTCTTAGTAACTTATCCTCCCGATAATATCAAATCACGGTAATTAATGCTTTGATACACACCCCAACATATGAATGTACAGTAACTTGGCGATATTGCGACATCTCCATACGCTGTCTTCTTCCCTAAAGGTCGAGCGAATATACGCGCATTCCTTATTCACGACCGTCCTCTCTTCCGCTGCCGTTCGTGCAGCCCGTATTTGTCTAATCAGATCCCTCAACCGCGTCGGCACAGGCATCCTAACTGTCGAGACTTTCAAAGTGTGAAAAAGTTATCAGTATAAATGTACACTATCTTTGGTAACTGCTGATTCCGCTTGCAAATAACTTTGTACATTAATAAATTATCACAACAATGTGAAAAATGTAACTCGTAAATTGAGAATGACAAATCCTGTCACTTATAAATTAATTTCATTGTTTATAAATATATAGATACGTTAAGATATATAGATACAAAAATTTTTATTTGGTATTTTTAAAACAATTCAATTAATTTTCAACAATTTTCACGTGTGAGAAAAGAATCTATGGAAGATAACACACAAGCAGAATCAGATGTTCCAATGATTAGCTATTTACAGCCATTGCGAGTCAATTAAACAATACACCTACCTCTTTCCACAGCCTCATTGAAAGCCTGCTTTATGGAGGCCATGTTAAAGGCTGGGTTAAACCTGAAAAAGTACACACCCATGCTGCTTTATGAACATTAGCACTCCTACCAGTCGAATCTACTTATCGTGCAATGACACTTGTATTATACCGCATAATTTTACTGCAACCAATTTCATATCTTGCAGTATAAAAATGTAAGAATAAAAGCTGCATCTCTGCAGTAAGTCACATCCATATTAAAAGATAGATATATCATAATCAATATAAAGATGATTAACTAACAAATTCCGTTGCAGATTATTAAACACTTATGACAATGTCTAAGACGAAGATGATACGAACGATTTTTCTCTCACTGTCACATTCCTGCCCGTGCGAGTTGAAAATTATTGAAAGTACACATATATACGAGGGAGACTGTATGCATTACCCATGTTCTGAGGCATTCATCGTTTCCTGACTTGAGCTCTGAACCTATGCCACAAACTGCACAACGAAAACCAAGACGTAGACGAGTACAAAACACGAACTCTGCTATCTTCCTAGTGGACACAGGACGACAATAATATAAAGCATGTTAGTATCGTTTCTATCTATTAATACACAATATTAATAGATCATGTCAAACCTGAGCATCAAAGTAATGTACATAATCAAGGAATAATTTGATCTCTCATGCAAAGTGAGAGTTACAACTTAGGTTTCGTATTTCATAAACCTTCTATAGATGCTTGCCCTATTTCATAAAGAAACTCTACGGCTCAATTCACTTTGCATACCGCCTTCACAAATATCCTTTATTTACCACAAATAAAACTTATAAATTTTTAAATTCCTAAAATCAGATTTTCTATCAGAAAAAATTTTCTATTAAAAATGATTTAAGTTTATTCAATCTGTAGCTACTTAGAAAGGCGACATAGAGCTCTGTGATCACCTTAATTGAGAGTTCACGAGTCCAAGTGACCGACAGCTGTGTCGTGATCAGCACACAATTGTATACTCTATTAAACTTGAACGCACGTTGACGGAGAAGGCGGAACGCAAGGGGGTATAGCTCCAAAGTGCTTTCTGAAATAGGGCATCGGTTTGCGAGCTCGGTGAACATGCGGACGCATTAGATATCGCGACTCGCGACACATCGCTCGGCAGGAGCGCGAAGGACGTATCGGCCGTGCGCTAGAATCTCGGCCACCGCGAGGTATTGCAAAACACGGCCGGCTTACATAAAAAAAAAGGGGGGCCGCGGAGTCGAGCGCGGAGAGCCGAGGGTTAACCCGCGGCTGTCAAACGTCGAGCTCCCTCGCGGAAGTTCAGCGTGAATGTCGTCGCGAATCCGTCGGGGAGTCAACTCGGCCAACGACTTCCTGCGTGACGTGTTGTCGCGTATGTAGGGTACACGCGGTGAGACGGACGTCGAAGGGTACGAGAGTCCTCGGCTGCCGCGCGGGAGGCACTACCGCGGCCTGGCCCCGGAAACGGAGCGAACGGTCGCGCTCTCGGCTCTGCGTGTTTACATTACGGTGACGCGGAACGAAGGCTGGAACGGAGAAGCCTTGGGAAGCTCGAGGCTCGAACTCCGACCGCCGTGAAGTCGGCGCTCGGAGAGGCTCGTGGAGTCGCCGCGCCGAGTCCTCGAGTTAGGCGCGAGTCGTGCGCCCTCACGCTCCTGCCGTCGCGGTGGCGTACTCGAGGAGTACTCCGGAACGCCAACCGGTCGTCCGACGGTACCGTCCGCCCGTCCGGATACCCGATCCGAGACTCCGTGACTCGGGGGGGTGGGGAGGGGGCGCGCGACGGCGACTACGTGGATACGTACCGTGCGGCGCCGTCGAGTCCCGTGAAGGCGGAGACTGATCGCTAGTCCGCGGCCGCGAACCCCATGAATATAGCTCCGCTTGCGCGAGGTCCCTACCCACACGATCGTCAACCACACGGACCACACACACACATACACACACACACTGCCAACGGCCAACCTGGCTGTCCGCCCGCGCGATAGTCGCGATACCGAGCGCCGAGCCGCCTTAACGACGTGCTATCTCTCTCTCTCTCTCTTTCTTTTCTTCCCTCTTTCTCTCTTTTTCCCTCTCTCTTTCTTGTCGCCTCGTCGACAGGTCGCGCCAGGTCGCGCGGAATCTCGCGTGTCCGTGCGCCACGACCGACGACGGGAGACGGGAGGACTAAAAAATGGCCGTCGACGTCGTCACCGACGTCGTCTCGGGGACTTTTCACCAAGAAGACGCGCGATCGCGTCCGGAAACGAGCCGCGAATTCTAACCTCGCGACCGCACGCGACTCGAGGATGACGGAGAAGGAAAAATCGCGCGAGAGTCACCTGAAGGCAGGGAACGCGCCGTGAACGTGGCAGCACTGCGCTCCGACCGCGAGATTCGAATGCCACGGGACTCGCGGCAAGCGGCAGGCAGATCCGACGGGGAAGAAGGTTGGTGCTTGATCTTCCGAGAGGATGAGCCATGCGTCGATCAATGATGCCGAGAGCGAAAGAATTTTCACGCGGTCGCGTGAAGACCTCGACTTTATCAACGATAGTACCGGTAGAAGAAAACTATCTTCGCTTCCGTCTCTCACGATAAGATAACGCGATTTCGTTGCATTTATCCGGATCGACGGGAGCCGTCAGTCTCTTGTATGTACGACAAGTGTCATTGCACGACTGACAATGATATGGTCACATTGCTCTTTACAGATACAATCCACGTGAATCCACACATGGGACGCACAATCACAATCGGGAGATGGCGCAAAGTATTATCTTAATTAAAGATGCGACTTGAGATAAAAAAAATGATGAATTTATAGCGCAGAGCGCAGCTGTTTTTATACCCGAGTTTTCAACTAGTTTTAAGCATTAAATGCGTCTACCGTTGCACACACCCACAGTCCTTGCACGAGAGAAGTAAAATTTCAACTCAACGGCCACATTTAACATTTAACACATTTTGAATGTGATACACGAATACAAGCTACAAGCTCGCTAGCCCGATCTCCCTCCTCCCTCCTCAATGTTTCTTAAAACGCTATACTCCGGTTAATATCAATTCTTGAAAACATATAGCTATATGACGCATGCCTCCAAGCGATAAACGTCCCCATCTGCCACATCATAAATTGAACAAATCACCTTCTGTTGAGTTCCGGTGGCAAGACACTCCAATCCTCGGTGTCGTAATAAGGCCACATATTACGCGATAATGTTAAACAAATAAGGAGCTTGCGACCAAAAAGATGTGCATAAAAAAAAAATCACAACCTATATATCAAACGGGGTACAGGTGCACGATCAGTCTTGTACGCTCTAATCTGTCGCTCTTTATCACTAATATAATAGAGTACCGGGACGAGGTGTGGGCATTATCTCTTATCTCGGTGACTACCTTGATATCAGGCATTCACACTCACACAGATCCAGATCCTAACGAGATCTGATAGTATCGAATCATTTTGCATTTAATATTTTAAAATATTTTTAAAAAAGGAGTCATAAACATTTTGCATCTATCTCCCGCTCGATTTTAATGAGCATTTCTTTTCCATACCTAAAAGCAGATGAATAATGTATATTCGATTAAAAAAAATTCTTTATTCATAGAAACACTGTACACATGCCTGCACATATGTACAGTGCCGTTAGATCGCAGTATTGTATATATTTATATATTATTATAAATTATACCAAAGAGAATAGGAATGTGTCACAGCTAAGATAAGGAATTGTCGTCCTGATTGCGAGGCGGCCGTATATCACTGTTTCTCTTGACGCAATCCACCAGCCAGTGTATGCCCTCGTCCACTCCATCCCTTTTTCCAAATTACGAACCATTACTTTATATAATTTTAAGAGCGGATAAACACAAAACGCATTAATAGTATCAGCTATCATTCATTTTTTTTTTTGTAATTTTAACATAATATAAATTAGCGAAATAAACCCTAGTTTTACTTACCCATTAAGAGCCGATACAGGCATTACCATGCAATCCCTTCTGCCGATCAAGTGCGCACTTTGATTGAATATCGGTTTCACTTCTCTAACACCCATACAGTCGGGTACGTCCTGCTTATTTGCCAGTACCAACAACGGTACGCCAGTTAGATGTTCGGACGATATCACCTTATCTAAAAGACAAAAAATGTTCAATGCACATATTTTTATCATTTGCGTAATATATGTGCCTCATTAAAATGCAGAAAATGAAAAATTTTAATTTCTCAAGAGTCAAGATATTTTAAACTTAATAATTTTATTAAGGAATACATATTGAAATATTAGAAATGTTTCGTATGCTGTTAGTTTACTTGCTGTCGCGGGCTTGCTCAATTTAATAATGCAAATTATCATTAGAGAACGCGTCTTACCAAAAGTTTCTTTGGAATCTGGTATTCTATCACGGTCGGACGAGTCGACGATGTAAATCACAGCGTGAGATTCCGCATAATACTGCAAATGTAAAACAATACTGTCTAATGTTATCTTGTATGCCATTTATTAGCGCGACGAAAAATATGTATTATATAATTCCACAAGAGTAGAAGAAGAAATACAAGAAGGAAATACACGCCAATATGTGTTAATTTTCTTATATTGTGCACTAATTACTTTGTCCCACAGAGACTGAAGCTCCTCCTGGCCACCGAGATCCCAGAAGTTAAAGGATACTCCAGCGATATCTATCTTGCCGATGTTGAGGCCTACGGTGGTCGTGATCTTGCTCGGATTCATACCCTTGTAATTCTTCGTGAATTTCGTCTTCGCCGCTTCCAGGTAAGTCTATAAATACGCAGTAATTACGGTCCCCGCATCATAACCTCGGAATGTTTCAAGTGTCCTACCGTTTTCCCTGCATTGTCGAGTCCCAGGATCAATATAAAGTATTCGTCCTTTTGCATCAGGTACTTGTACAAACCGTGCAACAACGTGTACATCTCCGTTGCCCGTCGATGTGCTCTCGCTGATACAATTTACATGTTGTATTGTTTACATTTTAGGCCCACAACAGCCCACACTTGTCACGCTTGTGCCATGTTGACCGATCTGGAATCTGGAGCTGCTGGCTGCTGCCATGCCTGCCATGCTACAGTAGTCAGAGAGAAACCTGAAGACAGGCCATAAGGCCGTGGCACATAGAAAAACTAAAGCAGTAAGCAAATCAGCCAATCACAGTCAAGAACTTAAGGCACGGCCCTAAGCGGTAGCGAATCCATATCGTTGATTTCCAAGGCTATTGCACGTAACAAAGTTTAAGTCATGATCGTAAGGCCGTAAGAAAATAGACCACGCACAGTCGATTATACTCCTTGAGCTCGAAGAATAATTAATCGAGTGTGATTAGTGTTACGTGCAATGGCCTTTATATGTATAGAGACTAGTGGTGTCGGAGTGAAATAAAAAATTGGGGAATTTTTTGATAAATTGCTTTTTTTTAGTTATTTTACTTGATTTTAAGGTAGGTTTATTTTGATTTTTGAAAATGATTTAATTGGGGAGAAATTGGGAGATTTAAAAAATTAAATTTTTTGGCTATTTTGAATATAATTTTCAGTGATTTTATGTGTTTTTAAAGGAGACATTTTTGTCCTAATCACAATTTTAACAATCTTGGTAGATTTTGTTGATTTTTGAGCCTTTTTGCTATGAAATTGCCGTAATAACATGAATCTCGTAAATTCAGTTTCTCAGGAGTAAACATGGCGATGAGAGGTATATGCTCTAAATTAAGCAAATCTGTCGTCCAAATCACTTCAGTATTACCTATTATGATTTTTGCAATTCAATTAAATTGCAAATATGTATATCTCGATAAAAGAAAAGCGGAGGAAAGATTGAGAAATTTGGAGTAAACGTAGTCTGGGAAATGTAGTCTAAAACAAATGTCAGAAATATCCTTGAAATATTCCATTTTATTGTTGATAATGTAGGTCTCGCCTAATTGCAATACATGCTCGTAATCCAAAAGTAGTATTTACTACTTTGTTTTATGTACAGCGCTTTATTCAGTTTACTTTAATTTGTTTTTACTTTACTTTTTGCCCTCCACTTTCATCTCACTACTCGTCGTTCAGTCTTGTCATAATATAGTACTTATGAAGCAGCACGGTGCACACGCGAAACTCCTGTTAAATTCTGAAATCCCGTTTACTTTTTTAAATACAAACACCAGATTTCATTACCCTCGCATATCATCTTACATTAGATAAAAACCGGTCGAAACGCCTTCGAACAAAGCAACGACGGCGTAAAAACTGCGAAAATATTTCCTGCATTAAAAATTATTAGTGCTGGCTTCTACAAGCAGTAGCACTTATTCTCTTTTCTTTTCCAAGGATTATCGTTTACGTTAAATCGGACATATCCAAACGTACTTATCAAGGGAACAAAGTGTTTCCAAAATTTTGCACATTATATTAGTTGAGTTACACGTTTTGATGTTACGTTTTATTTTATTTATTATTTCGTTTGACGTAAGCTAATAATTTTTTTACACCTAAAAGATTGCACTATATGTAGTGTCTAATTTAAGCGTTTGGCTTGCGCTTATTCCAAGTGAAGTACAACTTTAACATTAACGGGTGAAGCGCGTGCTTCTTCATACTATTCTGATACACTCACGCACGCACACCTAGGGCTATATAAACAACTGCTATTACTTCACAGTACAGTTTAATAAAAAGAATTCGAGTACGAATGTAACGGAAACACATATCGATATACGTATTAAGTGTGATAAAGGTATATCGTATCGCGGTAATTGAAGTCAGGAAATTATTCCTTAAAAAAAAAAAAAGAAGAGAATAGATAAGGAAAACTTTGCGTTATAACGTATCCCGTCCAAGAAGCTGCGAATTCGGTACACGGGTATTATGGTTTTAACACTATACATATCGATCAGAAATTTTCCTTATTTTCATATTACAATGTTCATGAAAAATCAAATGATCTTCGCTGCTAGTTAAGAGCGAAGCAGCGTAGATCCAGATCTCGCGATTTAACTGTCAATTCATACTTATTAGAGAGTATTTGCCCTTGTAGAACGGAGCACGTTGCTTCGAAATTATCATCCACCCTGTATCGTTTTGAACCGCCTTGCGATACGTATCTTTTTTCTTTTTTATATTGCCGCACGCGGACGCGATAACTTTACAAACGTATAAGCTATATATATATTTTTTTTTCTTAACGTGTGTCACAGCCCTCGTGGCTATAGAACACAAAGTACAACTACATAGATTCTCGATAAGACAATCGATTCCGTTTAGACGGAGAATCGCATAAAAAAATATCAGTTTAACGATTAAAAAAAGGGGGAAAAAGAGGAAGGAAACCTCACGGAAACTCGGCTTACATGCTAAGATAACCGCGGGCCTGACTTCGTCTGCGGCCGACGAGGTATGCGATCAATACGATTACCACCAAGCCCGCCAATGCACAGCCCACAGTTATGGGAACGATGTCGGGCGTGTCGTACGAGCAGTCCTTGGCTGAAACAAAGATAAGATGGACAAATGAGCTTCGTAGGCACCATCTCAAAATAAAAATATATCATGTTACAAGCGATAAGATAAAAAAAAAACCGGACACTCACCTAGGCCAAAAATAGTAGTATTATCACCTCGGAAAGCTTGGAACTGTAATTTGGTTACTTTCAGAAGCCCTACAGTTACGTTATTACCCTCCCGAGTTAAGTCCATCTGCTGTTCCTTGATACATCTATACGAGTTGCTTAATCCAGTTTTGAATTGCGGCGCCACATGTACTACAGTCACCGTCTTATCTGAAGGGGAATAAAAGTTTGTCCTAGAGAAAAATTCAAGATCAAAGTGCAACTTAACTCGCGTAAAATAAACACATACTTGATTTGTCATTCGGGAATTCTTCGGGCGCCAAAGAGATCTCAAAATGATGAAGAGAGTAATATTTTCCCGTCTCATTCTTTACGAAATGAATCGTGAAATTATTATGGGTGGTCTTATTCTGAGAGTCCCACGACAAAGTCAGGTTCTGCTCAGTTTTACCACACTTTCCTGTTCCAGTACTGTTGCTGGGTATGTCCATCGCCTTGTGAATTGTCTGCAAATAAAATTGATAATAACATTTTTTGATCGCAGTACATTTTCATACAAACATAATAATTAAGACTTTATGCGATATAAATTTTTAATACTTATGTCAAATTTTAATAACAATCATATATAATGTTCACACATATAATATCCCACATATAGTTTCTGCGTGCTTACCACGTTATTAGCATTGGTATAAGAAACATTGAATTGCACAGCCATTTGAACGAGAACGCACAACGTGTTGTTCTCTTCAACTTTCCATTTCCCGGTGCTTGGTGGAGGAAGCGGGGTCGTCGGCGCTGGTGTTGTGGGAGCAGCGGTCGTGGTAGGCATAGGCTTTGCAGTTGTAGTTGGAGTTGAAGTTGTAGTTGACTTGGTTGTAGGTGCAGTCGGTGGGTTTGTGGATGAAAACGGTACTGGTGGAACGTTCACTTTTGGTGGTTCGGAAGAACCATTTGTCACATGCTCATCTTTATTCGAAGCTACCAGATTCGGTTTTGTTTCTACACTCGATTCAGGCAGAATAGGCTGAGAGCTTGACTGAGGAGTTGCAGCTGCATTGTTGCCGGCAGGGTTGGTAGGAACACTTGTGTCATTGATAGTGACATTCTTTGGGTCGCCAGCTGTTAAAATTATACACGCATGATTATATTTCCATATCATTCGCAGAGTGATTCATCTTCCTAACGGCTTTCAAGGTCTTATGAATATGAGCCTTCTACGCAAAGAGCTTAAGGAAAATGGTCTGTGTATCTAAAAATAGATCAATATCATATTCTACGTTTTAAAGGCACATCTTTAGTAAGTCTAAAAATATGCAGGAGCTAAATGTCTCAACTATACGATATTAAAAGTTTGTCCGTATATATTAATATCAGTTAAATTAGTTAAATATTCATGTTTTTTTGAACATTTTAATTATTCATGCTGCCAAACATTTCGGACAAATCATGTGGAAAAAAGCTCTGCTAAACAAAGGGGATCAAAGTTCAACAAAAGAAACACAGAGATAAACCTTGGCGTAATTGCGGTAACATTATATACAAATTTGCCGAGTCGAAATTATTTTGAATTCACGTGCTTTAGAGTGATTTAAGAGATAGAGGCGTCGTCGTGACCGATTAGATCTGTGACACATATATTTTTTTGTCCCCCCCAGGCGCGATAATGCTTATCGCGTACTTAACATATAATACATAATCTAGCATCCTCCTACTCGGGACGCGGCGCAATGTCATGTCACGCGTACGTGTGACCGTTTTGTTTCAAAGCGTATATAATCATCCGCGTCGAATCATAGCGGTGGGACGCGGCGACGCGGCCGGCGCGAGGCAAGTGCGGCCGCACTCTAGAGTCACCGTCGTGACAACATCCCCGTTTCGAGGAAGATCCCGACCGTCGACCGTCTTCATCATGGCGCTTCCGGCGATTCCGGAGTGCGCAATTAATCTCCGAAGCGGCCGCGATTGCGACTCCGGGGTCGCGGGATCTCCCTTTTCGTTCCCTCGTCCCCCCCTCGTCGAGGCGAGATCGCGAGGTCAACGGCGACGGGGACGGCGATGACGGAGATCGCCGACATCGCGGACATCGCCGCGCGGCGATACTTGGCGCGGCCCAGCTGTCTGCGTCGCGCGGCGGCTGCGAGATCGCGAGAGCCACGTCGCGGATCCGTTACCTGACACGATCGTCGCGGCCCAGCACAGGAGCAGTAGAGGTCTCAGCATGACGTCGAGAGTTCGGGGAAGTCGTGTCGCGACACTACGATGCGATGCGTTCGTGCAAGCCGATCAGCGCGGTCCAGGAAAATGAGGAGACCATGGAGGGCCGAGGGATCGTGTGCCCGCTCTGCTGCCATCTGTCCCGACCTCTCGACCGCGCGGCATCCGCGGTAGGTGGGGCTGAGGACGACGACGGCGGCACGTTCGAATCCCAGGCTCGACAATGCCACGTAGAACCGATTTATTTGCAAAACAATCGAAATGACGAACCATCCATAGATTCACACTATCCGCAGTTCGCAACACGAACTTGGAAATGCTTGAAAGTATCGCGGAATGTAACGCGTACAGCTTTGTCCATTTCACAGTTTCGCAATTAAAGTTATGGGACTAGAGCTCGTGAAGTAAAAAAATCATATTTATTTTTAAATAATTAAAGCCAAAATCTTTATAAATCTCACGCGAAGAACATTTGACAAGCTACCAAAGAGCTGCATGAAAATTAGTTGGCGCACAGTAAAAATATTAGTCGTTTCTTTTGCATGTTACAAGATAGCGAAACTGAGAATTCAATAGAATGTTTCAGTGTGAATTGAGAAAAAGAAAAAATTAATATCGTAACAAAATCAGTAATAAAATTGGTATTTCTATACAATTATACATGTTATCCATCGCATATCTTATTTTGTGCTTCCAACAAGAGTAACATTTCGTCATTTCAATAACCGACCAATATCTGTGTATATACAACCGATGTCCGTTATATTTACAGAAAGTGAATTTCGTTAAACAATACAAGACATTATTTACAATCACTTTAGACCAGAGTCAGGGAGTTTAGGGCACAAAGATGTAGTGGGATACATCGTTGGTGTCTTCCATTACTTTGGATTGAAGCAGCTTGATCTCGAGTCTCAGCTTCTCCCTCTCCATCTCCTGCTTCTTTATTTCGTTCGAGTAACAATTAATTTGCAGCTTCAGCTTGTCCTTCTTCAGTTTCAGCATCTCAGTCTCGTGATACAGCTTCCCCTTCTCGGCGCGTAACACCGCAAGTTGCTCTTGAAGCAGTTGATGGCTCGTTTCGTCAGACAGTACAGCTTCAGCTGTCTCCACGTCCGGCTTTGTCAAGGCCGGCTTGGTTTCCACATTCGTCTCGCTCTCGGGTCCGCTTTCCGGTTCCGTTTCCACACAAGTACCCTCCTTCACGATCCAAATTCTCGAATCTGTTTCTTGGAAACTACCGGATGACTTTGGTGATTGTTCAAGCATCAAAGAGTCGGTTTGCGATTTGTGATTGGGCGAGGTGGACGTTTCCTTCGTGATTTTCTCGATAGTAGTGGTGGAGGTAATCGTTTCTATATCTAGAACTGATGTACGTAGTCTTATTTTATGATCTCTACATGTGCAATAAAATTACTAATTATTATAAAAATTAAGTTACCACGTTGCTTCGGCGATTGGCTGTCGTCTACCGCGTTTGACAAGTGATTGTTGCAGTAGCTGTTGAATTCTCTCTCGTCGACAAACACCGACCCGTCGGCGTTGACGATAGACTCGACTATCACCGACGGATCGCCGTTCTCCATTACCAGCTCGCCTACTATTTCTCCGTCGGTCGCTATTATGTTGCCTTCATTATTCGTTGTCAATAATTCGCCCTCGTTCGTATCGATCTCATCGACCACCTCTTCCTGCGTCAGTTGACCGCTGTAAGAATCTTCGCCGTCGTTTCCCTCGCTCACTTCTAACTCGGGCGACAGTCCCTAAGAATATCCCGAGAAAATTCTTTCATTATATACTACAGCATTTATACACAAAGAAAATGAGTACAAATATGTCTTACGTCTTGACCCCAGGCAGATTCTTGCTCTTTCTTCATTCTTTTTATGGTCTGCGCCATTTCGTCCTCAGATTCGGAATACATTTTTCTACTACCACCCCTGGCCTGCATCTTTTCGATATTACGAATTTTCTCAAACAATTGATACGCTCGTTCTGGTGTGATATCTTTTTTCTGTTTATTAGCTGCTGCTATGTTAAACAAGTCTTTGGACCGCAGTACCTTATTGGTGCGTACGCGCACGTACTCTTTCAATCGCTTACGATCAATATGCAACTGCATGAGATCTTGTACCTCTTGCTTAATTTCACCGCAGAGCTTTCTCTCCTGAGGAAGTCTCTTGAATAGATCCTATTTCACAAAATACCATTTTGACCTTCCTATACCCGCGCATTGGTCTGTCAGACCGACGATATACGTTTGCCTTGTTTTCCATTTAAAAAAAAAAACAAGGCAAACGTATATCGTCGGTCTGACAGACCAATGCGTGGGTATAGGAAGGTTAATCTAGTGTATTATCTAGTACATTATATGTTAAAACGTGTAATTCAAATATTTAAGTTCTTGACTCAAAAACGAAATAGAAAATTCTATTCTATTCTACATTCTCGATTTATTTCTGCATGTAGAATAATGTTTCTCTTAATTCCATCGTAATGGGACATTCTGTACACAATATAGCGAAGCAAATTATTAAACTGTACCTCTGAGATTTCGTGATTGTGTTCATTATTGACACTGGTCACTTCCAGCTTTGTACCATCTTTAGACGCCCTGACCATAATGTGAGCAGGACAATTTGTCCGTATGGATCTGTATAACACATGTAATAATGTAGAAATAAAAAATAGGTCGTATTGAAGCTAGGCAAACGTTAATATGCGTTGTTCAAGGAAAACGATTGGAGACTAACTGAGATTGTCTTCTGCCAGCGCCACGTGGGAGAAACTTTTGGCCACCGTAGATACACGCATATTTAACAGAATAATACTTCAATCGCTCGCTGATCGGTCGTGCAGTTTTCATATGAGCCCCACTCACGGTTCTACTGTCTCGTCTCCAGTAATGCACCAGGGTATGTTTCGAGACTCTGTCCAACTTGTGCTCTAGCTCCTCGTAGCTGTCAAACATCTCTCCCAGGCGGAAGGACACGTCGTCGTTGTCCCCAACGCTCACGTCCATCGTAAAAACAGCGGCTAACAATCTGCGCAACAATCAGAGAGAGAAATTAGCTGGTTGTTGATCCTGAATAGAGATCCGCGATTTTTCTTCTGTCGACGCAAGTGGAATTTTACCGTCGTCATCGTAACCCGCGATCCGCCCGCCTCGAGAGACCGACTTGGATTTCTTTAACGAATCTAGCTTAGGTTCTTAGCCAGGAGGTTCGCGATACCAAGGTCAGAATGGAGATTAGCACGACGGATGCGAACCGGCGAGAGACGCGACCGTGACGAAAGTATCGTCGTCGTCGTCGTCGCTCGATCGACCGAGGCTCGACTCGACGACGATCGAGCAAGGTACGGGCGTCAGCGTCAGCATCGTTCACCGGGAGAAGCCGGGGGTGTCGGGACTCGGACGAGGCGCGGTGAGGTTATATTATGCCTGGCGTGTTGATTGGCGTGGCAGAAGCCACACGTCGGGAACCGTGAACACAGACAGACCGAGATCTCTCGGCGGGGAACCGGGCGAGCAGGCGACCGGGCCTTCCCGGGTTTCCGGCGGATCTGTCGCGGCGCGACGTGCTGCGATCGCGACGGCGACGGCGACGGCGATTCGTCGAGAGGGTCGTGAGAAGGATACGTACCGCGACGATCACGTTGCCATATTTTCAGAGCAGTTGGAGCGAGACGAGCGGGCATCCGAGATTTTTTCCCGAAGGTCGAGGTCTGAGACGAATCCTCCGAAAATGTCGCGAACGGGGGTCGGGGACGCTTCTTGGATGTCGCGCGACGTACGTCTTTTGAACCTCCGCCTCCGCGTCGTCGGAGCGTCGGAGCCTCGTGTTGGCTTGCGTGCGTTCGCGAGCGGAGGGATGCTTTCGGAACACGCGCGATGCAATCTGCGAAATCGTCGTTATCGTCCGCCGCATCGCGGACAATAATCTTACGAATTAATTGCGGCGCGATATTATGTTGCCTGGAAACATTTCGGGAAGACGAAATGTAAGGTGTTTGCAAAATCCCGGCAAGGTTGCGACCAAATTGCGATAAAAGTTTAAAAATGCAATTGAGGTAATCTTTACGGACTATATTAGGTACATCGCGATGTATGCGCATCGTAGGGCGTAGGGAGACAAAAGGAAGAATTATATCAAGGTTGTGACGATATTATTACAGTCTCACGGGCTGTGGCCGTAATATTAGAAGAAATACGAGTTGATCGTAAGATATTCCAACAAGATTGCGACTAGGCTGACTAGAGAACGTTGTAAAGATATTACAATAAAGTAGTTACAAAACACAGTAGAAAAGGTCGTAAAAAATGTTTTGCAATTAATTGTTAAACGCCAACTTCGCGCGTGTCTCGCGAGGAAGCTATATGAATTTCTGATCTAGGCACCCGTTCGCGAGAGAAATAGTCATTGGAAACGCGCCTCGGGTGGTAACGTTTGGGATATTTATTTATGGATCCCGATCGGAATTGTTTAGCTATTTCCTACATTTCTATCGTGTTTTCCAGAGAAAATGGAATAATTCCGAACCGAACGAAAAGTTCCAAGCCCCGCGCCCATCGGGGCTGCGGGCCCCGTCGCGTTCTGCGGACGGGAGCCAAAAGGCGAGTGGTCGATAACGTCGCATCGCCGCACGCGCCTTGCGGCTTGCACAAACACAACAGCGTCCAGCCTATGATATCGACGGCAGCATCGGCAGCAGCAGCAGCAGCAGCAGCAGGCGCAGTAGCAGCAGCATCAAGATTCCGCGAGAGTCGAAGCAAGTCGAAGACTCGCCCGTGCCGCCCCGTGCCGCCCCGTGCCCACTGCCCATGTTCGCCTAGCTCGTTCTCGTCTTCTCCATCTCGTTCAGCTCGACTCAGCTTCGCTAGGGGCCTGGTTCCAAGAACCCTGGTTCTACCTATCGCTCTGTCACCGTGCCTGTTCCGAGCGTTCGCTCGTCCCCTGGGGGTACGGGCCAGTACGGCTGAGTACGGGCGCCGCGCCGCGTTAATCGTCTCGAGAAGGGCTCGTCGGCCTGCCGGACGCGCGTGGCTTCCTCGTCGGTGGGGTGAACACTTCGATGCTCGCGTCGGCCACGGCAGCCGACGGAGACGACGTACGTGCCCGGGATCGTGAACCCCGTGCGAGGAACTCTGCGAGAACTCGCGCGACGAATCCGGGAACGTCGAGGCTCGACGACGGCAGCGACGGGGACGACGTTCTCGGATAATCTCGGACTCCACCTGATCTCCTCTATGTGCCATCTCCGCGCGGACGCCGCACGATCACCTTTTGGGGACACACCTGGGACCGCCGCGCGCCGCCCCGACAATCATGGACGTTGATTGTCCGATCGTTAGCCTGAAGCGATCTAGCAGCGCGCCGATGATTAACGAGATCAGCGCGACCATGTCCATTACCACGCCGTCGACATCGTCATCGAGGTACGTCTGCGATGGTTTTTCCCCCCCCTCTTTGTTACATCTCGGAGCATGACCCGTTCGTGACCTGAGTCCGCCTCCAGGTCCAGCACAACAACGTGACAATCAATTGTGATTTGTATTGAGACCCAGCGAGGTCTGCTGCAGTCGCAGTCCGAGTAATGATTTTTATCACCGAGGTAGTTACTCGCAGTTCCTAAGAGCGGATAATCTAAGTACTGTCCGCTCCGACTGCTGACGATTTTGTAAAAGTAGCAGCGTTGCACGGAGTGTCGAATACTTTGAGAGATTAGTACTTTTTTTACATCTTGAGTCTAGTATTGTAAGAAGACTGTCACGTCTTAAATATGTTTGATATTATAAACATTTCCATTATACTATATATATATATATTTAAATTTACATTATCATATATATATGTATATATAAATGTATAAATTTCTATTGGAACATTCCACTGGAAGCTTTAATTGAATTTTATAGAAATTTGAAGCTATTTTATAAAAAATAAGAACATTACACTAATATTCTTATAATCTTATTTTGAGGACTTTTACAAGTAGAAATATAAGAAAAATTACATCGTTGAAATATATAGGTAATTATTGAAAATAAATTGTAATTGTTTTAAATTGGTAACATGGTTGAAAGATACCTATTCTATTAGCTGTAATTAATAACTTTAATATGACGCTCTTTTTATTCACGCTGCAGATATATGATTCGTGTAGTATTTGTTATAAATTAATGAAGATTTGAATTCTGAGTTTGCTTTCAAGTTAAACGATTTGTTGAGAGAACCTTTGATGATAAGTTTATTAAAAATGTTTTCTAACAATGTTTGCAACTGTGCAAACTGAACCTGTTTCTAAACACTTATTTTTTCACTTGCAGGGATGCTGTGTCCTATAATGTATTTGCTAATTCAGCTCGCCTACGACGCTTTAGTACCAGTGTAAGATCATGTTACTTGTTTACTCTCTTACTTTTCAATATTTATTGCTCAACTCAGCAATGATTAAATATCATGCTTCCTTTGCTACTCCAATAACATAATCCAAAATGTAACAGTTATTTTTGGTTTTAATAATTAAATAAAAAATTAAATCTGTCTTATAATTGATCAGAAAAAATTTAATTAGTTAAATAAAAATAAATTTGATCAGTCAACATTTTATTTCGCAATGTTATAGTTATCCGACAGATGATTCGACAATGATGTTGTTTTATCTCTATCCTACCTTTTTTTACTTTTAGAGCCCTGGTAATGTTCCTAGATTAACACCACGCGTGAGTCAGTTAAGACAGGAGGAATGCGTGGACGTCGCTGGTCGGGAAGCGGCACACGAGAAAGAAATTCACAGTGCCATGCAGATATCGCAATCATGGGAGGACCTCACTTTGGAGGCGGAAGGATTGTCGTTCAAGGATTCGGAATCTCCCACGCAGCAGTTTAACAAAATGGAACGGTCAACAAAGAAGCCGTTAGATCCTTTAAGTTTGAATCTGTCTATCACCGGCTCGCCACTGTGTTCTTCACCTTCCCCCACGAGATCTGGATTTAATCAAAGACAGTGTTACTCTCCCGGTATTCACATCTGGAAGAATAATCTATCTCCTAGTCCTACGAGAAAAGCGTTTGCCACAAGGTAAAACTTATTTGGAACACTATAAATTTATTTCGTTCAAAGTTATTACCGAAAAATTGTGTACGGGTATACTTAAAAAGAAAAAGATTAACTATTATAAGTTATATAATTTTTTTTCATGTTTATTATTCTATGTTAATATTTCATGAATTACAGGCGCAGTTTGAGTCCTATCGCGATAAGGCCAAGCTGTTTAGGGCCAGTCAAAAGAAAATTCGAACTAGACGAGGCTGGAATGGACCACAACTTGCAACCGCCTGCGAAACGCACTTCTGGTTTATTGACGTCAGTTGTATCCAGGTATATTTTTATAACAATGTTCCGTGTATTTTAAATTGAACTTAGACATGACTAAATTACCGGAGTAATAATCTTCTAGGTATAAAATAAATGACAATTATATGTGTAATATGTGTATTTCTATAATATAATTGTATCTTTGTATGATTTTATAGTATAATTTATAACTCAATAATTTCTCCGCAGATTGGATGCGCTGTCTAGCCCACTTCCAGGAACTATTAGTTCCGTGGGCACGCCCGAATCGTTATCAAGCGCGGATTCGCCTAGTTTCTCCTTCCGGCCGGTGGACAGTCCGTCGCCAGTTCGCGTAGGCCCAAATAGCGATAGCGATTCTCTATCGGACGCAAGCAATCAAAGCAAATCAATGGATCAAGTCCGTGCTGATCAGATCAGTCAGGACAATCACAGATGAACGCGAGAGATCGCCGGACACGCGAGAGTTTGGAGATTCGACGTGTCACATTGATCCTTCTCGGCATATCGATGTAAGAGAGAAGGTACTTGTGTCTTACACCGAATCCAAAAGTCGCGAGCATATCCTTCTCGTCGGTCTTGTCGTTCGTTGAACAAAGGACAGTCGTGCGGTGTACGAATTGCTTGGAACTTTAGTGCAAGTGCGACAAAACGTTTAAAAGAGAGGCACCTCTAAATATGCGTCTCTGATACTTTTCAATGTACGAATAAGCGTAGCGCCAACAGTGTTCTCTCCCCTTAATTATTCTAACCACACATATCGGCGGAAGACGCTTTACATGCTTTCGTAATCGTTCCGTTGGATTTATTCCGGAATGAAGTATTGTCCCCTCCGACTGGAATGATTTCTTTCCCGTTTTTCTTTCTTTACGTAGCTATATACAATGATTCTGTATGTATCGATTAATGTATACATGATTAATGCCTTCTTCCCCGCTCTATTTATCCCACCCACTCTATTCAACGATCCTTGTTATCTATTTTTAATGTTTGATAAGTGATGTTTTGGGCATTGGGTAACTCTCTATCCAGTGACTTCTAACGTGCGTAATTTATAATCGAAATTATTTGTTATATAGACAATCAAGGTTGCGTTTAATCGCGTGAATTCCGCAATGATGTATAGACACGATTTAATCATGTCTTTAATATTTTTTTTCATTATTATATTATTTTCACATCGATATATCGATGGGTCTTGAGTTTTCATCTTAATGAGAAGTTCGCGTTGACGCAATCTAAATCTCTAGGCTCGTATTCTTGGTGTAACAGTCAGCGTTAAATAGAAGAGAAGATTCTCAAGTTTTTTCTTAGAAAAAATATGTTTAAGGTGATGATGATTGTATAACGCAAGAGTAATGTGTCCGAAAAGCGGGGTAAAAATATTCGAATCTCTTAAACATGCTTCTGAGTCATTTTTAGGGAAACGGTGAGAATATGTCGCGTATCCTCACACTCAAAGATCAAAGGTGTCTCTGATCTTCTATGCGAGGAGGAAAATCCGCAAATATTGCCTGTTTTCCCCCAGCTTTCGACACTGTCAGTTTGCCAGGAAAAAAAGAAACGTATTTGTGTGGCCAGGTGAAACTCTAGTACCAACGTGTATCGAGCATTAGTAATGTATGTACATATACGCAAAAATGCCGCTATAAATCATAAGATAACGATCTTGTCCTACGTATAAATAATAATAATAATATATAGACGCGTTTGTTCTAGATTTCTCCGAATAATATCGTACAAATGGCTCTATTTCTCTCTCTGACGCTTTATTTATAAATAATGACGTCACGTAGACTCCGCCGGATCTTCCCTTTACTTAAACCAAAGCATAAGTATTAAGTTCAAGCTCATCCTACATTTAATAACTCCCATTGTCCTTTCTTCTGCTTACGTTTTCGTCGGCTTGCGCGAAATCGATCGAGCTCGTCTTTACGTTTCCAACGAAACGCATCTCTCTAAAATCTACGCGACACGTTACGAAATGTGTGATGTTCGGGACAAATGCGGAGCATTCCGAGCGATCTCGATCGAGCGTTACCTTTGGAATAATATACGTTTTGTATAAATATATATAAATAGAAAAACACACATGTATATTTACATATATATATCTATATGAAGTATCAGGTTTCAGAAGGGAGAGAGAAAGAGAGTAACTCGATTGTGACGATGCTACGAGAATCTGACTGTGCCAGAAAATATTATTAGTAATATGCGCAGAAAGGATTGTTTAGATCTTGTATGCGTTTTAGCATGTATCTTTCGAACTTCCGCTCGCCTGTTAATAAACTGATGATAGATCATTGTCATATTTCATTTTGCGCGACGTGCGTTGAGAGATCTTTATTAAAATGTCCGCGAGGACGTTGATAAAATAATCAACGATGCAAATCGTTTCAGTCGATTCACGGAAGATCTTAGCACCGTTTCTGGTATCGCGAAGTGCGGATAGATCGTTGCTTAGGCTGCGTATCTTTAACAGGAGATCGACGATCCGCAAAAACGTACGTCGAGTACCGTCTTTTGTATATGCCAACCATTCTCCATAGATTTTAGCAATCGGGCGTAGCAGTTTTCTAGAAAGTGGATCTTTCCGAAACGCGCGTATGCTTCCCACGTCTTAAAGATTGAAACCGATATCGCGCTAGGCGGGTATTAAAAACGAAACCGTTTTTCCCCGTACACGTATTTCAGATTTACGATTATGCTTTTTGAGAAGCTTCTCATCGCTTAAAACCCGACATTCATATCGGCAACGATCCTCTTTTGATTTTGACTATTCGGGAATCGGTAGAATTTAAAAATTATTCATACCATCCGCGTAGTGCGCGAACGAGAAAACGTTGGATAATAAATAATAATACTTGTCAACTACAAGTGCGCTGCAAATCTTATGCAAAATCTCTCGTGCGTTTTTGTAAGGAAGATTTTGTAGAAAAAGGAAAACGAATTTGTTTAAAATAAACAATTTCGATTCGCCGGAATTCTGCAATAGAATTTCACGGATTCTAGCCGGATTGATGATTGATCGAGTCTGTTTTTGTTGCAGGAACAGCGCGAACGGCTTTTGGACAAAAAATATATTACATATATATATATATATATATATATGTATTTCTCTCTTTGTCGCGCGCACGCGTTCTGCCAGGCGACCTGTCAAACTACGCGCACGGATCAGCTGATTTCAGAACGCATCCGCACGGACACGGGGAAAGGCCAGGCGAGACCCGGAAAACATCGCGCATAACCTAAACTCTCCGTCGAGATGAGATGAGAAAAGGGCTTTTGTCCGCGTCTGTCCACCGTTGACTCGATATTTATTGAATCTCGCGCATAATGAACAGCGATAATTAGACGTATTGCGTACATTTGGCTTATGCAGTTTCGTTCAAAGAGCGCGAACGAAAGTGGTACGTATACTCTTTTCAATTTCCTTTTCGTCACTTCTTTCTCGTTATTTGTTCCGAAGCTAAGTCGAGACGTTTTTTTGCGGGAGAGATGCGCGGAAAACGTTGCGAAGACAATGACACAACGCGATTTAGCGCATTTTCAGTTCTCATCTTCTAGCTTCTCGATAAGCGCTCAGCTCCTTTGAGCGATATTTTGAATTGTATACATATGACACGTGTTTTCCTCTCAACACGCAAGATCTCGAAACTTTTAAAATTCATCTGAACGTCACTATTGGAGTACTTTCTAATCGAGAACGTTGATGCAATATCGCACTATTTTTTTTCTCATGGGCCGACTGGTCAAAACTTTTGGTTTAAGGGGTAAGTAGAGCCAGTAGAGGTAGAGGGCAAGTTAAATTATCTCGCAGAACGCTTATCGAGACCAAATATAAACATTGCGATAGCTCGTGGAGCTTTATTTTCGTAAGGAAATGTGACACACATCTTTATCTAATTCCTTCTCGGTATTTATTATTTTGTGCAGAAGATGGTAGACATAAAGAGCAATCCTCCCATCGTTGGAGAGAATGACTCGCATTACGAGTCGAGGATACGAGCGAACAGTTCTGGCACGGGAACGTCGACACCGTCGTCCTCCTCCGACTACATGACGGGAGAGGCAGATGACAGCTCTGACAGCAAGGGAACCATACCGTTCAGCTTGAAATCGGTGGAGAACATGCTCTCATTATCTAAGGTATAAAATAACAATGTCTCATTGCAGACGAATACTAGAGGAATTAATCAGAATCACTGTCTTATCTAGGACGCTTCTCAGGAGGATCTTCAAGAAATGGTACGCAAGTGCAAAGTGATGGTGCTGGAGAGCGCCGAGTGCTCGGACGAACGTAAATGGCTCGTTCGACGGCTGATCGAGTTGCGTTTGCGCGTGCAAGAGTTGCGCGAGACCTCGGACGAGAATCTCTTCGAGACACGCGTGATCCTCGGCCATCATTTCGTGCCGCAGAAGTACTACATCACCACATCAAGTCCGGTTTATTGTGACCACTGCAGCGGTGCGATCTGGACGATGCTGCAGTCGTGGTACACGTGCAACGGTAAATGTTAAAATTTAGCTTTGGACCGATTAACGCATATCGTCATGATTAATTCGCATAAGTTCCAGTCAGTTTAATCGGTATTCGTGATCGCTGCTGCATGACGATACGTGTGTTATTTCTTCAGATTGCAAATTCAGCTGCCACTGGAAGTGTCTGAACAATGTGTGTCGCGTGTGCGTGCACGTGGTCGCCAGTGAAGCCGGTGGGTACACGCATACGAAGGATATTTGTCCGGAGCAAGGTCTTTCGAAGCAGGGCTACCGATGTGCGGAATGTAAAGTGCGAATAACGTTCAGTAAGTATTTGACGGATTAGATTAAATTACAGGGTGTCTTGTTAATCGTGAGTAGAGTAGATAAAATGGACGGATCGCTCGCTTGTCACGTTCGTTTTGTGTCGGCTCATTATTCCGTTCTTCGATAACTGCGTGCTAAAATATTCCATAAGATAATGATAATGAATATGTTGTCCTCCTGCAAGCTTTCTCGAAAGGATTATCGCTATCTTGCTTCGGCAGTTCTTTTAAGAATTCAGGTATTTAACACTGTTATATATTAATAACTATGAAGCGCCATGTTGTTACCTCAATAAACTTCTTATATCTCTATTTCTATTTATTACGTCAACTTTGTTACGTGTAACTGCATTAGGATACTTTGAGATACTTTGGGGTGTTTTACAATTTACAGAGATTTTTTGTGTCTTCTTAAAAAATTTGGATATAGAATTTATAAGAATTTTTGATTAGATTGACAATATATAGAATATTTATATTTTCCACAAATAGTGTATATCTCTATTAAATCACGATATTTTTAATTATATACAATTTGATAATCAAGACAGTTATGCTTCTAGAATCGGCGTGGATAGAGCCTCGACTTTGCGACTACAGCGGTCTATATTACTGTCAAAGATGTCATTGGAACACAGCTATGGTCATTCCAGCGAGAGTGATCAGAAACTGGGATATGGAGCCGCGTCTGGTGTCCCGCGCCGCAGCGCAGCTTCTGATGCTCCTGGAGGATCGTTCCGTATTGCCGCTGGAAGAATTAAATCCGAAACTCTTTACCCTGGTTCCGGATTTATCGCTTGTAAAGGTGACTATCAATTATAATTGAAACTGATGTCAAAGTAATAAAATCAATTTAAGAATCATTAGTTATAAGTTATAAGGTGTACATCGTAAATTAAACATATTTTTTAAAAATGAAATTTGAATAAATTTAAATTACATTTTTTTATCACGATGTATGTATATCAGTTTCTTCTTTGTTAAATGTGGCAAAATTTAATACGCGCATTTAACTAAATAATTGATAATATTATTTAGGTAGACACACACAGAGATGCATAACTATTAAATTTTAGCGGATGCGAGAGGAAATGCAGATGATGAAGAGGTACTTGGTTCTGTGCGTGGAAGCTTGCACTCAAGGATTACCGTGGAAGATTGGATTGCGGACACACATGATCGAGAATTCAGGTAATTATTCCATCAAGGACCTTATCGATCTTCAGAGTGGCCTTCTCCTGGACGAGCTTCGTGTCGCGTACGATACGATGCACGCGCACATCACGCAGCAATGCGAGCTCTGCAAGGCAAGGTAAATATTTAAATGGGAAAACGAGTTTCTCACTCGTTCTCTCAATATTCACTTAAATAACTCACTTTTTATGTCGAATTCATACATCAAGATCTTCATTCATTATCATTGTTTTTTGAACTTAATACATGTAGAATTGTGTGTATAGAATTTCTTATACATTTTAATGAATGTAATGCTTGGATATCTCAAGACTTTCAATAATTCCAATTAGAGTTAAATCTAATTTCTATATATTTTTCTGATTTTTATACAGTTTAGTACTTGTATCAAATTTTGTATACGATATATTTATAAATCTCTTTTTGATAATTTTAATTTTCATTATACTTACTGTCTATGCTTCTTCACCAATACCACAGAGGATATTTACTTTTGCTAATAAATTATATATGTGCATTTTTAGGGGACACCTATGCGAGATATGCGGTAACGATGAAGTCATTTATCCATGGGATGCGAGCTCGGTTATCTGTCAGCAATGCTCGGCAGTACATCATCGCGTTTGTTGGGCCAAACGCAATCATTGTTGTCCACGGTGCGCACGTCTGCAAAAACGTCGCGCTCTACAAGGGCAAACGGCGCAGGATGGCGAAGACTGTGATACGGACGATACTGCGAAGGACTCCTAAACGAAAGTGCAAAAGTGCGAAAAGCGAGCACGTGTGGTAAAATATTCATACAACCGTATAACAATTTTTGTACCTGTTATCTTTTTAAGCGGATTCACTCGATTGTAGGCTGTAATTTTTATATATCACTATATATGTTAAAGGTTGTAGCGTTTCTCTAATTACGAATTTATAAATATATTATTGAATTTTTTTTTGTAACGCGTGGTCTAATCAGTGATTATATAGGTGATATACGTATATTAACCACATTTTTTAAATAATTGTGCAAACTTTGTCCCGTAATGTACAAAATAACACAAGCGTAGATGTCGCGAATGTAAATGACATACTCATTCATTAAACGCTGCGGGTTAACGATTAATTGTGATGTTACTTTTACGTTTTAAAAGAATGTTTATTAATAAATCATTTGCCACATTTTACATGTAATATTACTCTATATGGCAATTATGGATAAATAGAAAAAAGAAGGCAAGCAAATGTGATCTACGGAAAATTTGCTCATTGTCAATGCACATCAATAATTTACCCGTATTTTTACCGCTTGTCATTGGTCAATTGCGAACTTTTATCTTTACTGTCTACATAGATAATGCTGCGTGATATATATTCCTAGCAGAAATTCTCCTTGGGCCCACACTTTTAACATTTGCACAAATGTTAAATGATAAATTTAATACCGTTCGGCTTATCATCGGACTAACCGATCCGCTTCCGCCTGCGCTCTGGTACAATAAAGTATCGGCGGTATTTAAGCGAAGTGTCAAGTTACCGGAGCCAGTTTGCATCATCAGTTAGTTGCAGCCAGGTAAGCGGACGCATCGCACCGTGAAATTTTTCGCAGATGAATTAGCATGTCGCGAACAAGCCCTCAGAAAGGATGTTTTGAAACTTGCTAATCTATTAATCTGCTTTTTATACCAACTTGAATAAATTTCATCATGTTGTCATCTTTTTAATCGTTAGATTTTGAAAGAAAAAAGTATAACATTTTTTGACATAATTTTATTATAATTTATCATCCATCATAATTTTATTCCGAACTAGAACTCGTATTACTTTTTACAATTAGTTGCAGCCTTCAATGTTACTTCGTTTAAAATTAAAACTAAATAATTGAAAAATAAAGAAAAGATCGGCAATATCATTAAAATAAAGAATTAAAAAATATCGGTGTGCTAGGATAAACAAATTTAATTTGACAATAAAATCATTTGTTATACAAGCTATAAACTTATTTAAATATCAAACATTATTGCAATTGTGATAAGCAACTAGATGCTTGTATTATGTATGAAAAAAATGTGTATTATTTTATTTTTCCGCTTCTTAGAAGAATTAAATTTGTATTAAACAATACATTAAATATACTAATGAAAGACAGAAAAAAGACTCGACTCATAAATTATTAAAGCATCTTCACGTCTTATATCTTTTATATTTTTCAAAGAAAAATCTTCTCAATTATAAAAAAAGCTATAGCGATATAAGAGTTTTTTTTCTAAACAGTTTTATGTTAGAGAATATTTTTATCCGTGATTATGGACAATGATCTATCCGTCTTTGTTTTAGGACCGGTTATTCCAACCTGTTAATAAACTAACTAATAGTTAAATCATATGTAATATGTCTTTGTTTATCCTTTACATCAGACAAAGATAGACATATGATTTAACTGTTAAATAAAGTAGTATGAGGACCTTCGAAATTAAAATAAGAGAAGTGAAGGCTATCAGGGTCAGACGCAGATCTCCGTGCGTAATATCAGAAATAACTGATTTATTGGTCGTTTTGATTTACATCGATCCGGTTCGTAAATCGAATGGATCGATGTAAATCAAAACGACCAATAAATCAGTTATTTCTGATATATTGCGCACGAAGATCTGCGTCCCACACAGCACAGGATATCCTGAGGACATTTGTGCATCCGCTGGATATCCACCGGATATTGAATTATCCACTGGATATCCACCGGTTATTGAGATATCCCAAATGTCTGTGAGACGTCTCTCAGATAAAGTGTGCTGTGTGGGGTCAGCTTTTACTTCTCTTAATTTAACTGTTAGTTAGCTTATCAACAGGTTGGAACAACCGGCCCTTAGTGTCCAAAAACTAAGATTGTTGGCAGCTGCTTATTTCATTTTTTTTTATTTATCTTCCTCATCTTGATTTTTTATCCATGATTAGGATATATGCATTTGTTAAAAGGATTCTCTCCCACTGTTCTGCCATCATTTATTCCAGGTGAATAGACAACGTGATGTCGCGTGTATTCGTTTGCCTCTTTGTGCTCTTCATCTTCAGCATCGCCGTTCGATTTGGCGATTGCGAAAACAACTCCACCCAACCCGACATCAAATGTGATGATGAAAATATCACACCTGGTTCCGATAAAACTCGTATGTCGAGCCTTGAAAAAATGTTGAAGGGACTATTGTCGCCCATAAATATTGCGGATAAAATCTTGGGGAAGGACGATTCGGAATCTAAAGACACAGGATCCTTCGGCAAAATTCTCGATAAATTCAGCAAATATGTTCACTTTATCTATCCAGGTAATTCGATCATCTGCAGTCGAGGAATTTACAGGAAGAACATTATAAATAGCAAAAAAATGATTGTCGTAGAAGCTCTTCATTTTTTTAATATTTAAAAGAGAAATAGTTTCATTAGATGTTTACAGGAGAATGTATACAGGATATTTTAAATATTTCGGTATCACAGGACCTACCTTTAGTATTTTTTTCAATATTTTTTTATTAATATTTCAATACTGTATGCTCTTACATTTTCAAGAAAGATAAGTCAGATTAAAAACGCTAGAAGCGAAAAAAGGAAAATAGGTAGAAATAATTTGTTGCAAAGTTACGAATCCTATATTCAAGTTAAGGAATTGACTATTAAATAATTTCACACAAGTAAATTCCGCACAATTGATTTCGAAGTGTCTTTTTTATGATGGTTAATGAGTCTCTAACAGGAACAATTAAAAACATCGAAAACATAATAGAAGATAAAATGTCTTGCGAATATTTGTGAAACACGGACCATTACCTTTTCAAGACTTACATTATATTAATTATATATAGATAATTTATACATGAACATGTCACCCGGTCGATTAAACTTCTTTACAAATTGAGGAATTGACGTTAATTGATCATGCGTAATGTTACCTTGAGTTTGAATAATTAGCTACTATTTTTACAGGTGCTTTTGCTACTTTGTAGAGCATTGAAACATTGATACGAAGATTTGTTGCCATTGCTAAAAAAAAAAAAATTTAGCACGTGCAAATAATTGTCAAGTTAACATTTCATTCATTTAATTCCAAGAAATAAAATTATCTGTTTAACGATATGTGAAGTACTGAAGAAATTTACATTTCTTTCGCGGTATTTGTTAGTATAATAGCTTATCAATATGATTTATTAAATTGAAAAGATTCTTAATGTTTAGAAAAATTTAATCAGCTAGTTAATATATTTATGTGTAATTATTCGTATATAATTAATCTATAAATATATAACTTCCGTGAAAAGAAAAAGGTAGATGATTGTCTCATGTGTGTGTATAATTCACAAATAGGCACCAGACATCTTATTTTAATGGCTTATTAATTTTGTGGAGAAACGAGGAAAACATTGAATAATTAACTCATACAGTGCGAACTTCTGCTGAGAATTGAAAACATTTATAAGATATAAAAGATGGAGAAACTAAATTAAAATTTTACGTTTTAGAAAAAATAATTTGTTTAAAAGAACTTATATGGAATTAGTTTATTAGATAGAGTCAATATTAATCGTAAAAGAATTAAACATTTCAAGAAACAACTTTTCATCATTACAAACGTTGTACTACAAACAAAAAGAGTCATTACATCGCAAAATATCGCAAAGGCTTGTCGGAAAATTCCGCAACAAAAATAACATCGAATGGAACTGTTGATGCGTTCAAGGATCTTACTGTAGGAAGTTTTTTTATCTCAGAATCGTGCACGATCAGATACTGCCGTAATTTTAATGAGGCAGGTGTGTAAATTGCACGTTTAATTTTCCACGATGCAGGAAGTTTTTAAGCTGAATGCTCAAGTTGAAGACAATCGATATTTTAACGTTATTAATGAATTTGTATCTGTCTTTTAATTAAAAAAACCCTTTTTTTTGCAGAAAATATACCGTGCGTTTTTTTAACTACGTTAATTTAAAATTTTTATTACTCGCAATTATAAAACCCATATCTTTTAGGACTCGCAGTAGAACATAAGCTAAAATAAAATTATTTTTTTTTATCAATTGCATATATTTCTTTATTGTTGGTGATTTATGTTATTTCATTAGCAGCTTTATTCAATCCACATTAGAAATTAATTCCGTTAGTGACACCTGCGTAATAAAGTGCGCATGTATTTGTGAACACTTGTGACACAAGAAGAAGGATTAATTATTTTATTGTTAATAATTGGACTTTCTTTTACTATCATTTTTCCTTTATTCCGCCAATGATATGATATGCGTTAGGAACACTCTGGTGCGGTAGCGGAGATATAGCACGTGAAGAACGCGATCTCGGTGTTTTCAAGAGAACAGACGCCTGTTGCAGAGCGCATGATAATTGCAAAAACGATATCTTGGCCAACAAAACGGAGGTCAATCTCAAGAACAACGGTATTTTCACAAGGTAATCGAACGAGCGAGATAATACGAGCATTACCCTCAACATTTATCGTATTCGTATCTTTCGTTGAACTTTTATTATCTTAACGTCTGCAAGAAATCTTGCAATACTTGCATTACATTTTTATCAAACATAACTTTCACGTGACAGATGCAAAATAAGTTTAGCGTCTAGCACAAGTTTTATTATCGAATTGAATATTTACACATTCTTTTGCGAAATAATAAAGTTATTTAGCTCGCGTTGTTTTACTGCTAATTTTTAAATTAATTTATCACCAAATCTTTATAATTTTCTGAAAACAGGTCTGCTTGCACTTGCGACAACGAGTTCTACAATTGTCTGAAAAAAGCTTCCAGTCCGATCGCATTTAAAATCGGAGTTATGTACTTCAATTTACTGCAACCGCAGTGTTTCAAATGTGTATGCCCGACGGCAGATTGCAAGTAAGACACATTGAAAACAGATAATTACATTTATTATCTATTTGATTAATTCTTATAAATATCGCGAGTTTAGAGAAACGAGTTCAAGTTTAGACAATGAAAAGAAGCTTGTATGATATATTATATAGAATTTACTTTTGATTGTTTTCAACGTATTAGATATTTTAAAATAGAAATAAAAATTCCGGCTAAGCTTGATTGAAACAATTTCAGCCCTGAAGACGGTACGGAGTGTAAGGACCAGTGCACGAAGTACAAGTGGGTCAGCAGTCCCAAATATTAAGTTGAATTAAAAATCGTAATAACAGACTTACGAGTTTGATGAAACAAAAAGGAAGATTCTCAACTCTTGACATATAAATTGTATGTTTTTCTTTAATATTTGATATTATTTTACAAAATTCACAATTTTATTTAGCTCGATTTAAGAAAAAGATAATTAGTGATTAGACTCCTTATTGTTAGATTAAGACAGATGAGAGAATACAACCTTTATTTTTTTAGAAGCTATTATTGTGCATAATACTCTAAAATTATGTGTTTACTTAATATGTGCACTGATGCATTGTAGTGGCGGTGCTATGTAAATAAAACTTAATGATGTAAACAGAACTTGACGACTACAATAAACTATATGCATCCTTTATCCTATTTTTTCAATTAAAATATTTACTAAAAATACTGATTACAGGCTTATCTGAAGATAATTATCGATACTAATTACATGATGGCTGATCTATCGTTTATTCCATTATATGTATACTATATATACATAATATTTTCTCTTTACCTGTTAATGATGTTAACGAGCATTCAGTAATCAAATGTTTGTACGCAGAATGATGCCATCATAATTCTCTTTGGATAAGAACGTGGATTTGTTCAATGAATTTTAATCGTATTTTTCGGCGGCACACCTCTTTTAATTACATGTGGAATCGTTTTTGGGACCATACTGAAATTTAAAACAAATAATAAGGATAAATCGGAAAACAAGATTGAAACTGAAGATCAAGATAGAACATGGATTAGATATTTTATCTTTGCAACTTACGTGATGCAGTCGATAATCGGACAGACCGATAAGCAAAGCGTACACCCGGTGCAGTCGTCCGTCACTTTTGGGATGTGAGTGTCGGGGTCGAAGGTGATTGCTTGATATCCGGAATCCGAGCAAGCCATGTAGCATTTGCCGCAATTTATACACATGTCCTGGAAAAGGATGGCGAGTAAATGCAAGATTATGTTTCGTAATAATAAATAAAATAAATCAAGCGATTGAAATATCATTTAACATACATCGTCGATCAAGGCGACCACTTGTTTCTTGTCATCTGAATCCTTAAAGTTGCCGATATAAAGTAACGCTTTGCCGGTCACATCCTTGACAGTAGGTATCGGTGCGATTGGTCCTGGAGCCGGTCGCATTACCTTGACGACCTCATCCAAGGGATTCGAGTGCATTTTCAGCTCGGCTATCTTCTGCTCGCGCAGCTTTTGATACACGCCGAAATACGGTACGTTCTGTAAAAATATCTTTTAATGATCTGTTTACTTACATCGTTGAGATATTAATTGTTAATTCTTACTTTGCCAAGGGGATGTTGCAAGGAAACAGGTTTGCCTTTCTGATGTTTCAACGTCGGTGGACTCTGACCATCCCAATCCTTCACCTGCGCCAAGCTCTTTAGATATAATAACGCTTTTAAGCCGGTCACATAATCGTCTATCAGTGTAAAGTCTTGATTTTGAACGGCGCTACAGATCTATTAAAAAGTACTCGGTTAGTTTTTCTTATTTCTGATAACATTATAAAATCAATAGAATTTTTGTTGTAAAATAATGATTTATTTTTTTCTGGATGGCATTCGTTATGTGGAAAATATGAAGTGATGGGATGGCAATGGAGAACCAGCACAAAGAAAGGAAATGATTAGATGTAGCGTGGGGATACGAGGAGAAATTCGGTAATACCTGGACGACTGATGCACCGCAATGCAAGAACTGCAGCGCGACTTCGGCTGAGTCGATGCCGCCGCTACCGAGTATTGGAAATCCCGGAAGATGCTTTGAGATCCTTGAAATAGCTCTCAGGGCTTGGGGTCTAATGGCGTTTCCTGACACTCCACCATACGTTGTGAATTTATTAAGGCCGACCGCCGGCCATGGAGTCGCATCGGCTTGCAATCCCATTAATCCTGATACCGTGTTAATGGCGGTAACGCCATCGGCCTTGCCTGTGTCATAAGCAATAATTATTTATTAATTAAATAGATGGTATATTAAATTTTTTGACATGCGACTCTTGATAAAAATTTAATCAGCTTAAGCGATTTAGTAGGCGCGTGAAGTTGCTTTGAATATTATGTCATTCTTAATAAAAACATATTTAAATAGAAGATTAACACATAATTATTCAGCACTGTGATTTATGTTGTTATTTTGCTCGTTATATGCATCGGTTTAATATAAATAATTTTAATTACCCTCGTAAGCTGCCTTGGCGATAGAAAGAATATCGGTGATGTTTGGTGTCAATTTGATGAAAAACGGTATCTTGACGGCTTCACGAACCCATCTGGAGATGTCTCTAACCAGTTTAGGATCCTGAAATTAATTTCATTTTTTATTTTTAACCAATCTCATATTTCGAATTATAAAAAGAGAGAAGAAACAAATGGACAAACCTGTCCACAAGCCAGACCCATTCCTGATTCGCCCATACCATGCGGGCACGATAGATTTAATTCCAAGCCGTCAGAACCAGCTGCTTCCACTTTTCTCGCCAATTCCGTCCAATCAGCCTTGTTATACGTGCACATAATACTCGCAATAACGATCTACGCAAAAATATGCGATAAAATATAGCAAATGAAATGTTGGTCACCAGCAAATTTTATTATATGATTATTTTAATTTTATTATTCATTATATGTAAACTGTATTATATAAGTAAAGCAAAAAGTATACGAACCTTTGTGGGGAAGTCTCGTTTCAGTTCAGTAATACTGCCGCACCAGTAATCGGCGGTTTTCTCGGATATCAATTCGATGTTCAGGAAGCTGCCCTGCTCGGGTCCGTAATGATGACGAGATGTCGTGCCTTTGACGATGCGTGGCGATACATTGATGACGAGATCCTATAACGAGGTATTGAGAATACGGATTTGGGAATGAAATATTATGTCATTTGTATACTTGGCGATCAGTTCTTAATATGAAACATATACCTTGTCCAAGGCGAAGGTTTTTGTGATAGCGAAGGCCCAGCCGGCCTCAAAAGCTCGCCGGATCATCGCACTGGAGGTACAAGGTGGCGCAGAAGCAAGACCGAAAGGATTCTCGAATTTGATCCCGCATACTTCAACACTGATGTCAACATCATCAACGGCAGTATGAAACTTCGGTAACTGCGGGGTTTCCGGTACCGTTGAACCGTACAATTCCTGGGTAATGCAACAATCAAGATATAAAAAGACAGTTGGAACGGCAGAAATTACTTTATCCATTTTGGATTTAAGAGATATGAATTTATACAAATAAAATTTTATTTTGCGCGTTCTATAAATTTATTTATGCGTACGTAAAAATAAAAACGAATTTACATTTATTATATATAGATATTAATTATCAAAATCGTTGCATTATTATATTATTAATAACGTTGAATTCATTCAGAATGTATAATATTTTTACCTTAAAGGAATCTTATACTTTCGCAATAGTGCAGAGACTTGATGACCTTATTATTAATGGAGACATTGTTTGACATTGATACTAACATTGATGTATGTATGTTTCAGAGTCTTCAAGATAATATACCTGTATGTATTTGTGAATGTACCATGCAGCTGTCTTTCCATCATTCACGGATTCCACGGTCGTCTGGGCAACACCCGCAAGGTCGCCTCCACAGAACACACCTGGTACCGAGGTCATCATTGTCGTCTCGTCTACATCCGGCAGGTCCCATCCGTTCATTTTAACCGGTGCCATGGCACGCTTCACTGTTTTTAGCGTGGAAATAATTTTTCTTTATTTTTCTTCCCAGATAATATGAATGTTGCATAAGACGTCGTAAAGATATCTTCAAGACAACTATAAGAGACATCTTTACGACGTCTTATGCAACATGCATGTTATCTGGGTTGTTTCTATTTTGCTCGCATTGTCTTTTTTAAATTTTATTTAATTCATATACGTATATATTAACTCAAATTTTTATGGTGAGAAAATGGTATTTTCTTACCATAAATATATTATATATTATTTCGACGTATAAAAAGACTCCTTAGACTTCCAGAAAAATTATATAACTAATGAATTTTTTTTAATTTTTTGAATAATTTTATATCGTCTATATTTCTATTTTATTTCCATTGCCTTTATTTATTTGCATGTTAATCTCTAAAGTGTTTTATCGTACAATGTTGTAATTTATAATTCTGCGCGTGTACCGAAAGAATATTATTACTCACCAGCAGAGTCGTACAGTCCTGAACCGAAAGCCGAAATTATGAAATCCGCCTTCAAAACGACCTTTTGCTCTTCGTCTTCTATCCATTCGCCATTTTCATTCTGTTCGGTCCTGTAAAATTCGATCGCGGCGATCCTCTTATTACGAAGGATAACTCGTTTTGGCGATTGGAAAGGTATAAATTCACATTTTTCTTCTTTTGCCAGATCCATCTAAAAATAATTTTAAGATATCAAATTTTTTGCACTTTAATTCTAATATTTAAACTTTAAAAAATTACAAGTTTAATTTTTTATTTAAAAAGTTTCTTTTTTCTAATTTCCAGATTAGAGAGATTGGAGGATTGGAGTTTAAATAGAAAGAAGACAATTAATTACCTCTTCCGGAACAGCTCGTACGTTGGTGAAGCCTTTTCGGAAAACAACGAAGATTCTCTTAGCACCACATCGCAGAGCGGAAGTGGCGCAATCGAAAGCAGTATCTCCTGCACCGAGAACGATCACGTTGCCTCGAAGAGATGGGAGTTCCTGGTTACTCTTACAAGCGCACATCCCCGGCTTGCTGCCTTTCGCGACAACGGGCAGAAAACTTTTTGAGGTGAAGAAGCCCATTTCCGGCGTCAGGTTTTCGAAGATTGATATACTTTTCGGCTCAGGTAATCCGATACCTAAAAAAATCGCTTTGTATCCAGAGTCTTGAAGACCCTGAAACATTTCCAAATTTATTCACAAGGTGTTAAAATTAATCACACAGACTTTTATAGATTAATATCTTCTAAAATTCGATATTAGATATAAAATAACGAAAATTTAAAAATATAATAAGCTTTTATTTCGAAGCTGATGCAACAAATTAGTCAACAAATTTTTATTTTTAAGTTAATTTTACCTGTATTGTCAAATCATTTTCAGACAGTGACCTTCCCAATTCGATCTTCACTCCTAAATCTTTGACGAGGTTGACTTCAAAACTAACAACATCATACGGGAGTCTATATTGCGGTATTTCGGAAGAGCTTAATCCGCCGACATACTTTTCTCTTTCGAAGATCGTAATATCATTGTAACCGAGTCGAGCAAGAAATGTCGCACACGAGAGAGAAGCTGGTCCACAACCAAGCAGAGCAATTTTCGTGCTTGCATGAGGTACTGTTTGATTGGGTATTCTGATCTGAGGAATATTCATTTGCTTGAAAACCTGAAAAAGAAAAAACGATTAGCACACACAAAAGTTATTTTTATTATTTAACCATATCGAAACTAAATTATAATTAAATATATATCTTATTATTTCAAAAATTAAAGAAATATAAAAATAACTAACGAAGATGGTTGTTACAATTGTTTTCAATTTAGAATTTTTATATAGAGTATAAAAAATATATATTATTCTTATTACATTGATAAACATTTTATAAATGTTAATAATTTGTCTTTGTAGTAAATACTTTTAATTAATATTGCCTACATCCATCGCAAAGTGTTGAAGTCCGCCAATGTTAATAGGTCCTTCCTCGGTCGCATAAAGATTACATCCGCCAACGCAAAGGTCGCTAGTTGGACAGACCATGCCGCAAGTAAGACCGAGAGGATTGTCGGACAGGATCGCCTTAGCTGCGCCATAATAATTCTTATTGGAGATTGAAGTGATGAAGGATTTGATGTCCAGTTGCGTGGGACATGATTTTTGGCAAGGTGCATCGACACATTTTAAACAACGTGCTGCTTCCCTTAAAGCTCCGCGTTCGCTCAAGGTAGTGTGTTTGATGTCGTCAAAGTTTTTTGTCAGAGGCACGCAACTCTGAGGAAACAAGAAAAATTAAGTTCTCGCGATAAATGTATCTTGGATACAAATTGAAAATCATAAATTCCAAAGTTAAAAAATATAAATGTATTTTATAGAATAAATTGTCAAAAGTTTAAAATTACTACGCAATAGATATTATATTTTATAAAAAAAAGAATTAATTGTTATGAAAGATTATACAGGTTCATTGATATTTACGAAAAGTCTATTGCTTATACACTATAATTTCTTAAGGAAAATAAAAAATATTAAAAATTGCAATATAAAACATAATAAAAACATTACGATTAATAAGCAGAATGCGCGAATCCAGAATTGCATAATCTAGATTCAAAAGAACGCATAACGAGAGTTAAGTCGTAATCTTATCGATTGATTAATGTTTTGCAGATAGAATATTTTTCCTAAATATCATGTAACGCCTGATAATATGATAATCGTATATCATTTATGTCAATGTTATATCAAAATCGAAATTGATGGTACTTTTACACACTATAATACCGAAAAAGTTTTAAGAAATTAACATTGGTAAAATTGATATGAATATTTAAACTTACATCACATTTTTCATGAATGTTTCTTTTCCAGTGTGCCTTGTTCTGTTTGGTGTGCACCGACGGTACGAAATTTGCATGAATTTTGGACTTTGGATTGATGTTTAATATATTCTAAAATACATAATTTATTGTTAGTGAATTAAGAAAGCGAAGTTATCGTAGCTATCCTAGTTATCTTCGACATAAGATAAGTTTAAAAAAATTAAATGATAAATAAAAGATAAATAAATTAAAGGACTACAAAAATATCTACAATATTTATAAAACTTTAATAGTTTTAATTAGCTTCCTCTCAAAGTTGCAAAAATTCATGGAAGATCTTTATAAATATTCTTTAAAAGATAGGAAAAATAAAAAGAAAGAATTGTCACAAAATGTAGTATAAAAATTTTAGACAAAAATAGAAAGTTATATTTAAAAATGTGTCTTATTATATTATATTAAAAATTATAAATCCAAACAGAAATACAAAGATATACAGTTACAAAAAAAATTTCAAAATTAAACAAGTTATCTTACGAAAAGAAAGTTTTTATCTTTAAAACTGAGTTCCAAGGACTTGAAGGAGAGAAGTGCGAATCTCATCTAATGAGCAGTCTAATTATTTGGATTTGCAAACATCTCTCCACCATTTCTGGGAGATCATTTAAGACAAAAATCACTTCTTCACATGCCGAAAATTAGCACTTACTTCAATATCAGGCACGTCCTTGCTCAACATCGGCGTCAGCGATGCCATTTTTCGGAGCTATAATGGTATAATTAGCAAGAATTGTAAGAGTGGATTGTAAAGTGGCAGGTAACTGAAACAACTCGCCTCGAGTTTACCTGCTGGACAGAGAATGGAATCCCGGATCACTACGGTTTACTTCGACATTTGCGCCTATACTGAGCTTGGACAAACGCTTTATCGTTACGGCGACTCGTTTTGATGACGTAGCACTACGTCGCTATACACACACACTAAAATAGTTTGTGTTGAAATAATCAGCAGGAGAAGTATCTGGAAGATACGCAGTTATCGCTTAGATATTTGTCCGCGCTTATCATGTCGTCGAGCAGCAGCAGCGCGTATCTTATAATAAACCTGTATCTTATTTTTGTCTTTTTGTTCTACTTACTAGACTAAAGGCCTCCGCACAATGAAAAATATAAGGAACAAGGAACAGATATTAGTGATTAGAAATAAGAAATCTGGAATAAAGCTGGTGTAACATTAATACACGGCTTCCGATAGGTTAAAAATTTATTGCCAGTTTTATTATTCCTTGTTTCCGTTGCCTGATTTTTCATCGTGCATTTAACTTTATTCTTGATTCTTTAATCCTAATCGCTAATATCTCTGTTACTTGTTCCTTATATTTTTCATTGTGCGGAGGCCTTTAGAACAATAAAACTGATTTTACACGCGGGGAAAATCCGGACTCATTCACGCATAAACATTGCTGTACAATTAAAAAAAAAAAAAATAATATTTTAAAAGCAAGTATTAAATTGAATTTTCGAAAACTGTGTAAATTAATAAATAGCTTAAATTTCATTTACCTTTAATTGTTATAAATTTTGCAGTTCTTATAAAGATATGCTTACCAAATTTTTGTTTTTTTTTTAATTTCTCGAGGATAAGACCGATATGAAGTTAATTGACACTGTGTTGTCAAACTGTCAACGTTTACTGTCGCAACACGTTGTATACATACAGCGAACTGCTACGAGAGCTAGAGAATACTGTTTGTCTTACGTCGTCGCTCCATAGAATTTCACAGAGGGAATAAGCAATAACTTGGCTCCATCAATTATTGCTATGTAGATTATACGTCGATCGCTTTTGTAATTGAACATAATAGCGAGCCCAATGAGCCATGCAGCTACTAAATAACACTCGCATATGATGAAAGTGGAGCGACTCGATTGATTACAAGCCAGCGTTGCATAATACTGTAATTTCTGCCTTGGAGAACCTACGGAATTTCTCTCAAATTAGAATAACCCGTCCAGCATTACAAAAGCACTTCAATTTGAGCAATTCAGACGTACAACCGGAAGGAAGCATTCGGATGCCGTGGTACATTATACCTCTATGAATCATTAAGCGATAAGAGGTAGCCATAGCTTCACGGGTGATCCTTGCATCTCTTCAACATAAGACGCGATATTAGCACATCATAAACACAAATTACAAGCATTTTATTTGCATTTCTCGCTTCTAGTTGATTTGTAAATTACATAATTTTATAATTTAAGTGTGAGATTATTATATCTGTGGAATATTCTGTCAAATTTTGATTAAATTACTTAATGAGAATTAACTACATTAAATTGAATTGAAGTGATAGTGAGAAATTGTGTGCCTCGTAAGGAAGACGCAAAAAAAGAATCATACGACTCTGCCTCTTCATAGAATATCTTCGTCATCGAATTGAACTTGAGATATTTATGAAAGTTCGCTTCTTCAATTAAAAAATGAAAGAACGAGAAACGATCGCGCCGAATTTTCATCTGAGAGTGAGCTTAACGATTATCCGCTTCCTGGGTACGTGGCCACCAGCTACGGGCAATTTTCGGTTACTGTATTTGCTTTACACCGCTTGTAGCTTTATCTTCATCCTGGGTATCTTGCTCGCTGCTGAGATAGCAAATGTTCTTGCAAACTGGGGAGATATGTCGAAACTCGTCGCGGTTGCGACCTTATTAATGACGAATAGCACCCACGCTTCGAAGGTAATTGGAATTATCTTTAAGCTTGTGATTTTGATAGCATTTTACAGCAATTAAAAAAAAGAAGGAAAAGAATAAAAATTTAATGGCAGTTCGCAAGAATTAAATTATAAACGATTGCGCTATGGACGTCAAAGTTGTAAAACTGCCAAAAAAAGTACAGTGATAACTGATAAAATTCCAAAACTCTCACATAGGTGCCCATTAGAATTATTTCAGTCGGACAGAACGTACATTTAACAGTTTTCACATTTAAATGCGAAATTTAACTATCGTAGATCATCGTATCCACACTCGTGAGATAACATTATTGCAAGTGGATCCTACGTGACAGAAACAACTCGAAGAGAGCAGACACAGCGAAAAAAATTGAACAATTCGAGCTTGAATGCAAGACAAAATGACTAAGAGTGCACATAGAAAAAGAAAAGAGAGAAGGAGAGAGAGAGAGAGAAAATATTAATACTATAGATAATGATTGGATTCTTTGTTAATAACAATTTATAAATTATTTAGAATAATTTCTGTTTGCAAGTACTGTATTTTTCTCGCCTGGTTTACTAATTATAAAAGTAATATTTTATTTGTATGTGTAATTTGAAATATTGTCTTGTTTTTTTTGTTCATATTTATCTGTCATTAAACAATCATGCGTACATCAGATTTTTTCAATTTAAAATAAAATGAGATATTTTCTCGACCGATTTTAGGTCGAGATCTAGCACTAAATGTGAAAGGCTCGCACAGTGCGATGGTGGTGTAATGGTTAGCATAGTTGCCTTCCAAGCAGTTGATCCGGGTTCGATTCCCGGCCATCGCACAATTTATTTTTTTTTTTTTTTATTATATTTTTTATTGTCTGGATAAGATCTCTCAAGTATAACGTCAATTAATCCTTTCTCTAAACACAAATAATTTTTGTAAAAATTATATCAATATAAATTATCCTTTTATTGATAACTCAACTACACAAATTCTTTTAACGGATTTTTAACGGTGCGTGAAAAGTAGAAAAAAGTAAAATATCGATATTTCCAGGTGGTCGTTCTTCTTCGTCGTCAGGCGCGGATCCAGGCGCTCCTGGACATAGCCAACAGTCCAGCATTTAGTCGCTACGACAAGGTGCATGAGGATCTACTCATAAGCTACACGTGGAAGGGCCTCTTCCATCACGCGGTTTATCAGAGCTTTGGCGGGATCGCGGTGTTATGTTGGGGTTTTACTCCGATCGCCGACCTGGTCGCTGGTCGTTCGCGCCAGCTGCCCATGGAGGGATGGTATCCTTATAACACGACGGCGACGCCGGCCTTCGAGATTACTGCGGCGCATCAGGGCATCGCTATCATAATCGCTTGCTTTCACAACGTGGCGATGGATACGTTGATGACGGGCTTGATCACGGTCGCCTGTTCCCAACTAGCGATCCTAGAGCGCAATATCATCTCGATTAATAACGAGGAAAGGATTCATGAGGTGCAGAACAATAACGATAAGAACGAGCTACTTGCAGTTGAAGGGAGAGCCTTGTCTTATCAGCTACTCAAGCGATGCGCTGTACACAATAATATGATATTTCAGTAAGTTGAGATATTTAAAAGATTACAGCATGATAGCAAAGTATTGTCATAATTTTATGAAGTTATTCCTCTCTTAAATTTTCTTGAATTAGATTGTATAAATATAATTGTCAAGGATAAGGGAATCGATGAAATTAATTATCCGTTTGTGTTTTAGTTTTGTTTGCGATTAACTGCATTGATTTGCAGTTTTACGAATGAAATCCAGGACATCTTTAGTACTGTCATTTTCTTTCAATTCCTATCGAACTGCGTGATCATTTGTTTGATTGCCTTCAACGTGTCACAGGTAAATTCGATTGTTTCGACCAGCTTGCTTACGAGTTCTCACGCGATCGGTTGCAGATGAAAGTTTATATCCCGGCGGTGCTGATCGGCATGCTGACATACATGTGCTGCATGACGTATCAAATATTCATCTTCTGCTGGCATGGTAACGAATTGCATCTGCATGTGAGTATTTAAATCGATATTCTCATATATAGATATGCAAGAAACATGCATTTTTTAGAGTATACGTTTAGTCACAGCCGCCTATTCGAACAACTGGTTCTCCAACAGCGACAGGTTCAAACGCAGCCTTCAAATCGTGATGACAAGGGCTCATCGTCCGTTTACTTTGAGCGCCGGCAAGGTCATGTCATTATCTTTAAATACTTTTGTGCAGGTTCGTAGACTTTTATCAGACGTTAAAATATAATTTACTTCACTAAATCCGCTATAAAGATCTAAATTTTATATTACTTTTTTTATAGCTGGTGTAAAACATCGTCGCATTTAATTTTTAGTTGTACAAATCAAGAGCTGTAGCCTTGATATTGAAATAATTCACCTATCTTTTATTTTGAATTGATCTTGAATAACACCTACATAATCTAAATCTGTGCCAGTGGTGTTAAAACTAAACTACCTTAAATTTTAAAGCAGAGTCCTAGAACGTTTAAACGAAGCTAATAGTTTCCGTGTATTTCAGATAATGCGGATGTCTTATTCGATTTTTACAGTCCTTCAAGGTTCGGCTGCTTAAAGATAAATTCGCCGATAATATCGGATTTTGTAGCCATATATTTTCTTTAAAATTACAAAGAGCAACGAGTTAATTATAAAAAAGTTTTATTCAATAATGCATCATTATGTGTACACGTATAAAGTTTTTCTATATAAAAATATTTTTCATGATTTTGCATGTATCACCAGGACGAGAAAAGGGATTAAAAATTGTTAGCGTTGATAAGTCATACGATGTACACTTACCGTTGGATCTATTTGTATATTACAATATCTTTAAAAAATTAAGCAGCACAAATTTCTTAATTGATTACAGCGCTTCCACCATTACAGCGATACCTTGTCCACCGCCAATGCAAGCCGAACCGATACCGAATTTTCCAGCCTTTCGCCTCCTATAAAAAAAATACATATAGGTCAGCATATTAATAAAAGCATGCTTGACGTTTTAATTACGTTACCTAAGTTCGTGCACCAAGTGAGCAGTGATTCTGCTGCCGGAAGCGGCCAATGGATGTCCTACAGCAATAGCACCACCATTTACGTTCAGTTTATTCAGATCCAGGTTAAGCTCCTTTGCACACGCCAAAGTCTGAGCTCCAAACGCTTCGTTGATCTATCGGAAATCACATAATGCATGACGTAAATAAATACAAACTTAAAAACTATATTTTTAAAATTACTTCATATTAATTATTTACACATCTTTGTATTAAAGATGCCGCTTGATATATGAGATAAGATTTTTACTACATAAATTGAAATCTCACTTCGACAAGTTCCACATCATCGAGTGTCTTGCCCGCAGCTTTAAGTAAGTTCCTGATTGCTGGTGCCGGGCCAATCCCCATAATACTTGGTTCCACACCGACAACGCTGTACCCCACCAAACGTGCCAATGGTTTCAAGCCTTCGGTCTTGACAGCTTCCTCGCTAGCCAAAATAACAACGCTCGCTCCGTCACAGATACCCTGAGAAACAAGAACAGAAGTTCATTAAATCCGGAAGGATATAAAGGTTGATATAAAAAAAGATTCTCTTTGTGAAATAAGAAGAAAAACAGTCTATACCGATGCAGAACCAGCTGTGACTAATCCATCTTTCTGGAAAACTGGTTTCAGTTTAGCAAGGGTCTCTAGCGTCGTTTGTATGCGCGGATGTTCGTCTACGCTGACAGTCGTATCCTGCTTCTTAACTTTCACTTGCACAGGCACTATTTCTTCTTTGAAATGACCCGCATCGTTGGCTGTAATGTTTATTTCTTAAATAGACATTTAAATTCTACACTTCCAATTTACTTAATTAGGAAAACGATAATAAACTCGCAATTCCGTATTCTATTTATTAATAACAATTTCATAATATGTAGGATTTTATCGATATCTACCAGCTTTCCAACGTTGCTGACTATTCAAGGCAAATTGGTCGACCTCCTCTCTCTTTAAATTGTACTGTGCACCGAGTTTTTCCGCCGTTATACCCATGGGCAAATTGCAATAGGTATCGAGTAATCCAAGCCAAAGTGAATCTTCGAATTCATACTTTTGTCCCAAAGCAGTGCCATAACGAACGTTTCTCACAACAAAAGGTGCTTGGCTCATGTTTTCTGCACCACCCGTCAAGACAATTTTTGAATCTCCCATTAGAATGTTCTGAAATGGAAACATATATGTTGTAGCAATGCTAGTAACTTTCTCACTGTGGCAAATTATTATTTGATATATTGCTGCAATCTGTTTTACACTTTCGGATAATTATATATATGTCGTAAATAAAATTCCATTTATTACACTAACAACATTGTTCTCTCTATTGGAATAATATTATTCTTTAGTTATTCTTTGATGATCTCTCTAAATTGAATAAAATTTTTAGAAAGCTATGGAATCTCTGACCAACCTGAGCCCCACTGACAATTGCTTGGAAACCAGAACCGCATAATCTATTTACGCTTAGTGCTGGTTTTTGTAATGGGATTCCTGATTTTAACAAAGCGTGCCTTGCCAAGAAAGCACCATCAGAGGATGAATTCTATAAAGGTAAAAATACGTCAAATTAAAAATACGTCAGCTTAATCATAAGACCAGCTCATAATTATATAAATGAAAACACTTACCGCTAAGACATGTCCAAATACAACGCTGTCAATCTTCTCCGGTTTTAGGCCTGCTGCCTGGATTGCGGCAGTTGATGCAACAACTGACAAATCAGTTGCACTTTTGTTTACAAACATGCCTCCCATTGTGCCAAATGGAGTGCGCTTTGCAGCGACAATGAAAATACCTGTGGCAGAACATTTTAAGGAATTAGAATGCAGTAATTTATTTTACTTTCTTGTCTTCTCTCTTACATCTTGATTTTATCCATTAATCTTCCATAGATAGATTACAATTATCATATTTATGTGTGCTTTACTTGTGTGTGAAACATTCGATAAGCTTGCAACGCAAGGAGAATATATTATACACCATTTTGTCCTTGAGGCACTACTTGTTTTGTTTTACAATTAAAATTAGATTAAAAGTGATTCCGATTAAACGCCGTTTAACTTATCGACGATAAATTTAATTGACAGAATCGTTTATATAATTCGTCGTCCCTGACCTAATCTTTTCTTCCATATGTTAAACAATACAAAATTAATAATTTTATCCGTGTTAACAAAATAGTACAAGTATTATCCAACAAATTAATCACCGATTAAATTAATCGGAGTTTGATCGAACTCGCTTTATGTCCAAAATATTAACTTGTCAGGCAGACGAATTTGTTTTTGAGTGAAGGGAAAGAGCTTCCCTTATGAGTCTTGACAAATGCTTTGAACTCTTTGAAGCATTCTTCTTCTCCTTTTTTTTAATGAAGAAAGAAGAAGAAGAAGATGCTTCAAAACATATGTAGCATCAAATGGACTGCAGTAGTGCAGCCTTAATTAATTGATTATCGGGGTAATGCGCATAACAGAACATCTTCGATCGAAGATTTAGATGGGATACAAAATTGTAGGTGTACCTTTCGTTACGGCCGACATCGTGGCGAGTTAATTACTGCACAAATCACTTTTAGAACTGTTACAACCGGAATGTGACGAAGACCCGATCAAAATCCAATCATATACCCACTCGAGGTTCAGCAAGGCTCAAAGTCCACCGACGTGGATAGCGACGAATGCGTTCAGCCCATGCCATGCTTATCGAAATGTTTCTGCTGTATCATGGCGTTGGAAGAGGGGAGAGCCGGTGGAGCCGGTGGATTTTCAACATTTGATCTTGTCCTTCTTTATCACGTCGAGCATCTTCATTGATACGCGAGATTGCATCTATTTCTGTCTCGTGCAGGCACCGTAAATTTCACACATCTTTATACAGTGTGTGTCCAACAAGAAGCAACACAGGGAGCTTTTCAGCAAGCGACACTAGTCGACACAAACATCGTTCTATCTTTCTTTTCTGACAATGAGTAACAAAGATAAAACGATACTTGTGTCGCTTGCTGGAAAGCTCTCACATTTTTATATTAAAAATTATTCTCCTCGAAAACCAATGCAAATATAAAAATGATGAAATGTTCGTCATAGCTGTGTATTTTTTTTCTTTTCCATAAGGTATTATCAGTTCGCGATAATAATTCGGCTACTTTATTGATAATTAAGTGACTAAGATACTTTTGTAATAAATTATTTATCTGTTACTGACGTATTGCATTTGTCGTCAGTTCAATATATAGAACATAGTCAAAGGTCATGTTTTTCCGTTATGTCTAGTCATCCGCTTTCAACAATCGTTTTTTACAAATTGTTCCTTTTCCCTTTAAATAGAGAAAATAGCATAAAACAGTCTGTGCTGCAGACTCCACATTCTTGCATTTGTATCTCCCGGAACAGTAGAAATTTTATTTAGATCGTACGACTTTTATTGTCAGAATGTACATATTTCGCTACAAGAAAATTTTCATATACATGCAGCTTTTGTTACAACTGTGAGTCTTTAATTTACGATAGGTACAGAGATTTGATTTGTATTCGAGTCTTACAATAAATCTACCTCGCTAATGTGTGTACATACTCGGGTATAGTTGCAGGATTAATACAATGTGGGAAAAACGTCACTTACCTGAGAAAATATTTTCTAAAAGAAATATTTCGATCAAATGTTTAATATTCTTACGTTACATGTTACAACACGTTATATCGATGATGTATACATATTTTTTCACGCGACAATTCCTATTTCAGTCCAAGATATACAATTACATTTTATCATGTTAAGATTACGTGGTATTTACAATAGCTGTTAATTTGAGTGCTGCAACAACTCTTTATTGCAATTCAATCGAACGCAACCATCGACCATCTCCTTTTCAACGTAATAATTAAATTGGTAGAAAATTATCAGCATGAATATTGTTGTATTTGTGCTGTTATCTTATTAATAATCGTGAGCATGTAACGCGTGCTTCTCACCGAGATTTCTGCAAACGTCTACTTAAAAATATATAGTTTCGAGATAGTTACTGACAGCTTTTTAAAAATAGTTATCGGTATAGCTACGGAGTGCTTTCATTGCAAAGTAGAAAGCGATTTTCAGTTTTGGCACATATTATATTTATTTAAAAAAAAAAAGAGGAGACTTTCTTATATAGACAAGTATTTAAAAAAATGAACAAATTAAACATCGTGATGCTTCATCTATTTTTTGTGCAATCATTATAAATAAGATATTTCTCGCAGAACATAAATTATTACTACGGGAACTTGCACCTGTTCGCGTGCATACATAGACAATTGTACTTATCAAACTCCGTGTGTCTCGATTCTATAAAAAAAAGAAGAAAAGAAAAAAGAAAGCTATAAAAATGTAGCGATACAATTTTACCTTACTTATTCTCACAACTTGAGAAGAGCGACAAGAAACAACCCGTTTAACATTTACGCTAAAGTAGGAAGGTAATGAATTGTGTAACAACAGCCAATTAGCAGCTACTTATTAGCTAAAGATCTTCATTCTGCTTCTTGATACTCGACGACACCGGCTTGCTTCGCGCAGTCCACTCCCTGCGAAGAAACATCTCGTCTTGCATTTTCCGCATGTTTTCTCAATCGTAAAGTACATGCGTATAATATAATCTCTAATCTTTTGGTCAGGCTTTACTTACATCTTCGAAAAACGTATGCATCTGTTGCGCTGCTTGCACCGACGAGAACACTGCCCTCAGAACTCTCCTCTCTGGAGGTTCCAAAGCGTAATCAATCCCGCTCCAAATACACTCCTTGCCTTCCACCTTCGTGATAATACAAGAATAGTGAGTAAAAGGAATATCAATACATTAGCAAAAATGTACGCAATTCCCTGCATATTGTTAATCTATGTCAATATTTAATTCCAGAAAAATATGAGAATACGATACAAACATTTAAGTATATAAAATAAAATAAAACAATAGCTTAGAAATTCGCACGTCTTGCATTACTTGTCGCGAAGAAAAAAGAAGCTTCATTTACGTTATTAAAATTAGCAGAAAAAAAAGAATTCGCAGTATATCTCATACGTATGAATACAAATATATCTCATGTGTATGAATACAATTATTACCCGCATCACTGTATCCATGCTGATGATGGTGTTGCTCGCATACTCCTCCGAGTCGTCAAGCTTCAGAACGATTCTTTCCGCGTAGATCTCGGAATCATAATAGATTGCCAGGTTCCCTAAGCCCACACTTTCCCACTTGGTGTCGTTAGGCCATCTCGCGAACACAGTGGCACGTTTCTCGATTATAGGAATCTCATGATCGTCCTCTTCGTCCTCCTCCTCGTCCTCTTCTTCCTCCTCTTGCTCCTCCTCTACGTCGTTGCCTCGGTCGTGCTCTTCGCTGTCTTCCGTTTCGCCAATGCATCTTTCACCTATGTAAATTCAGATATATTTTCATGTGTTATTGCTTAAATTCGATTAGAGTTACGTGTGGATTTAAAAAATTAAAGTATGTATACATACATCTTATTAAAAAGCATGCGATATTTAACACTCGTAGCAAGTCTTATGAGTGTCGTAAGACATAAAATATCAGATAGCATTATTTTGTTTAATTTCGAAACATACATATACTCTCGTATGTATATTATCTCGTTTTATATAATAGATAGGTACGATAAGTGTCTTTTATTATATCTTCTATTTAAATCCAAATACAACGTACAAACATTAATTAATCGTCTGCGTATATCGAAGAAAAAATGCTTAACGTTGTGCAGGTAAAGCAGTAACGAGTACAATCAGCAAACTGTAGAAGCGTTTACAACTTAATAATCTCATGAGTTAACTATTACCTTCAGTAGTTCTCTTATCACGTAATTCTTGTTGAACGTTATCAATATGCGCCTTGAATTGTCGAGCTAGATCGGGCGATTTGAATTTGACTGCTAACTGTTCGACGCACGGTTCCTGCTCGGCGTAATTCATGCCGGCCCACATCCAAGCCTGGTCCGACGTGGAGAGCGGATGGAACTCTACGTCGGAAGTGATTAGGAAGTTGCAAACGACCTTGTGTACTTGTTCCCGGCGCAGCAGCAACCGGTAACTGCCGTGGTCCGCGTGATGCAGGATCTTCATCTCGCCGACGCCGCGCTCCTTCCATTCCTTCGTAGCATTGTCGTATCTGTACAACTTGGCTCTGTGGCAGAACACTGTAAACGAATAAAAGAACAGGGCATGAAGAGCAGAACTTAGAAAACAGTCAAATAATCTCAAAAGTAAACGACAATATTACAATCTGTTCTTAAACATAAGTTGTCTTATCGTTACTTGTATTTACTTAATGAGCTGAATAATTTTTAGAAAAAGTAATGAATGAATGTCTTGTTGCATATTTTATTACGTTTGGCTCGATATGTTAGATAAATCAAACTTTATTTAACATTGATTTTCGTCGCGGAATATAGAATTCTTCAAATAAATTTTCCCGAAATAAAGATGAAAGATTCCAATTCAAAATAAGCGAAGATATCTAAGGCTACCTTTCTCCTCATCTTCTTCGCCAGTTCGGACTTCGATGGCATCTGGTAAAGGTATAATAGGTTCAAAGTGAGGATCGTGTTCCTGCTCATTATCTTCGCCATCGTCCTCTTCATTATTCTCCTTTTGCACGGAATCTTCATATGATTTGTTTACATTTGTCGAGCTATTGAGTGATGAAGCGGATTTCGAGCCGAACACCGATGATCCCGCACCAGCGAATGAAAAGTTAGGATCTGAAAGAATTATCAGTTCGAAATTAAACATACTGAAAAAGTTTTACGCAATCAAATAGAAAAAAATATTGTTGAAAGTCAACAAATTATTGCCGTGAAATAACTTTAGACATTCAATCTGATTCGCTTGAATAGCAATAGGTTCTTTAACGTACCGACTTTGAAGGCCTCCGGTTGCGCCGCCGCCGCAGCAAGCACCGAGAAAGACACGTCATTCACTGAGAAGATGGAATTATTCTCGTTTTTCTGGATGTCATCTGACGGTTTCGTGTCGAAGACAGTCGACGTTGGTGTTGCACCGAAAACATTCGTTATTGTCGTCGTACCGAAGACGTTCGCCGCGGTCGCTGCCGTCGTCCCGCCGAAGATGTTCATCGTCGTCGGTGCCGTTGTCTTGCCGAAGATGTTGGTCGTCGTCGCTGCCGTTATCCCACCGAAGAAGTTCGTCGTCGTCGTCGGTGCGGTTGTTCCGCCGAAGATGTTTGTCGTCGTTGTAGAGCTACCGAAGATGTTTGTCGTTGTTGTAGTAGAGCTACCGAATGGCAAAGTATTGTTGCTACCGAACGTCATCTTCGAGAAAGGCGTGGCGTTAGCGCCGAACACCGAGTTAGAGGACTGATTGGATGTGATCGACGTGGTGACTACGGTTGACGTCTTCAAAATGGAATTCGCTGTAGTGACAGTAGCGGTGGTCGTTTTTGTAGCGGTGGAAGAAGAAACGGAACCGTCACTGCTGCTCTCACCGAAGATCGACATTTTCGAGGCAACGCCAAAGAGACTCTTCTCAGAATCGAAAGTAGGCGTATATTCGAAACTAGGCGTTTTGAATACAGATGTCGTCGTTTGAGCATTAGAGGGACTACAGATCTTGAAATTCTCAAGCGAGGTATCCGTCTCCGCAGTTTCGTTGGTACCGAACTGAGGATTCATGCCGAACGAAAAAGTCGTGGTTTTCTTATCGTTGAACAGTTTCAGATCGCCGGTACCAAAGCTCATCGTGGAGCTGTCGAAGTTGGTGGAAGCAGCCGGAGACTTGAACGTCGCGGGGGATGTCGCGAAAGAGAATCCATTCTTCACAGACGCAGATTGTGTTACGCTCTGGGTAGTCTCGCCGGTACTCTCCGGATCGCTCGACGATCTCGAGACGATTTGCGATTGCGTTATCACTTTCTGTTCCTCAGGCACGGACTTCCTCGTCGAGTCTTGCCCAGCGTTGTCTGGATATAGCGCTATGCTCGGTTTCCTACAGCCTCTACAACCCGGACAATCTTCCTTTTGCTTGTAAGCGTAGAAGTTCTCTGGAAGCTGCAACTTTAAGGCGGCCGCTTTCTCTTCCGGAGTGACCTTCGCCTCGTAGATAATCTCGATATCCTTGACTGGTGAACTAGTCATCTTCGTCGACGTTTTCGTCGTGGGTTTATCCATCTTATCGCTGCTAATAGTGACAGCCGATATCCTGGCGTCGTCGACCACTCTTTTGAAATCCGCTGCGATTTCAGCCGTCTTAAAGCGGCAAGCAAACTGCATGTATTCAATCTCACCCTCGCTGTAATCCGCAGTAGTCCACAGCCATGTTTTCTCGTCTTTCGGTGTGAACTCTATGTCAATGGTCAACATATGATTCAGGCATAGCTTTAGTACATGGTCCCGACGCATAATCAGCCGCAATTTGCCGGTTTCTTTGTGACATAGCAGTTTGATGTCGCCTAATCCACGTTCCTTCCATTCCTTCACCGCGGTATCAAACCTGAAGAGCTTCGCTCGATGACTGTAGAGCACCTCCTCGTCCTCCTCGCCGGTTTTCACCTCGATCTTGTCCGGCAATGGCACGATCGGCGAGAAGTGGACATCTTCACTCTCCACCACCTCGTCCTCGCTGGTCTCACCGCCACCGCCGGGCGATTTAGCTGGTGACTTGGCCATAAAGTTAAAGCCGAAGGACTTGGTGGGCGAGCTCAGCTGGAAGGTAAACGGCGAGTCACTCGTGTTTAACGCGTAGCTTTTTATCGGCATACCGAATACGAAGTTGGTGTCTGTGGTCTCCTCAGGTTTGGTTGAAGTCACCGTCGCGCTATCATTCACACTCTTATCCTCCGCCTTCGGCATGCGAAAACTAAAACCGGTGCCAGTCGTTTCCTTGGTGGTTTCCTTGGTGGTGTGCATTACTTGGGGAATGCCGAAGGAAAACGTGGTCATGGACGTTGCGCCAGGGGATGCGTTCAGCTGGAAGATGTTGGCCTGCTGCGGCTTAGGCGGCTGTGACGGATCCTTGGGACTGTCGCAGGCGACGCAGTAGGCGTTTGTCCCGGAATTGACGATGTAACATCCCGTGCAGGTCCAAGAGCCGGCGGGCGACTTGAACAGCTCCGACAACGGTGGTTTGCCGGAATCGACGGGTTTGCTAACGACCGCAGAACCGCTCTTGTTCGCCGCCGAAGGCGACGGAGCTTCGCAGGCTACGCATTTCATGTCCGTGGCCTTGTTTCTAGTGTAACAACTGCCACACTCCCAGGAACCGGTTGGTGGTTTAAACAATTCCGACAACGGCGGTGGTTTCGTTTCGGTGGCATTTTGACTTTTGTTCTTGCTCGATGACGTTTGAGTCTTTTTCTCGAGCTCCTTCGCGACTTCGCTCGGACTACTGCCTTTAGCTAGCTTCTGCTGGCAGCTCGACACGATGTTGTAGAACTGTGTTGCTAGTTCCGGCGTACTGAAAGTCGCGGCGTGTAACGACCAGGTCTTACCGGGTTCTTTAGCATCTCCCGGAACGGTCCAATTGACAACTGTAGTGCCACTCTTGTATGTAAACGCCATATCCAGCGGAACTCCATGACTATAGATCTTGGAACTTGCGTCATCCGTCAGTAATACACGAAGCTTGCCAGATTTCACGTTTAACAATAGCATCAATGGTCCTGTACCCTTGTTCTTCCACTGCATAGTATTGACGCATTGACATTGAAGACTCGCTGTTCCGACAAATAATCTCTGCTCATTTTCTGTTTGCGGTCGCGTTTCATCGGTGGATCCCTTAGTGGCGCCGGGTGGCGGCAAACGAGGTCTCCTCAATGTTGTAGAATTCTGACCGGTTGTTGTGGGAGTGGCAAACATCGGTGATGCATTGGAGGCCAGGCTCGTTAGAACAGACGACTGCGAGTTCGTCGTCGGAGTCGAGGCAAAAACGAAGCTTGCAGATGGTGTTGAAGCGACGCTTGTTGCAGTAGTGGTCGTAATTTTCGTCTCGGCTTTACCGGTTGACTTGGTGAATGAAAATCCGCTGAACGGACTAACTTTCGGCGGTTCTTCGATCTTCTTAAAATCACTTGTTTCTGTGTCGCTAACTTCCTGAATAATAGGTTTAGAACTGAAAGAAAATCCTCCTAGTGTCGTGCTAGATTTTGATTTGTCCACTTCCGTCGTTGAACTTATTTTAGCTTGTTGTGTCGATTGTGATTTCTTGGACGCGTCTTTGTCACTAGAGAAAGCTTTTTCGCTAATTTTGGACACCTTTTCCGGAGATGCGAGTAGGCTAAATCTAGCCTGATCAAAGGACTCTTTAAACATCATCGCTTCTTCCACGGTTTTGAATCTGATACAAAGTTTCTCCAGCTTCACTTCCTCATCGGCAAAGTCATTAGCGACCCAGAACCAGGCCTTGTTGTTATTCGTCATGGGACTCAATTCCATATCGGATCTCAGCATGTGATTCGCGCAGATCTTCAGGATCTGATCGCGACGCATCAGCAAGCGCACCTTGCCTTCTGTGTTGCGCAACAGTTTTACGTCGCCGACGCCGCGCTCCTTCCACTCCTTATCGACAAAGCGGAACAGCTTTGCTCGGCCGCAATATAAAGTGTCTTCATCCTCTTCACCGGTAGTGACTTTCACCTTCGCGGGTAATGGTATGACAGGCACGAAGTTCGGTATCGGATCGTGCTCCTCGCATATTTCCGTGGATGTATTCGGTGATTCAACCGGCTCGTAGATAGGTTTGGTGATATCAGTCTTGTCGTATATCTTACTACTAGTAGCATTATCTTGACCGCCTAACAAAGAACCACTGCTTGTCGTATGCGTCATTGTGACAATAGACGGTGACGTTGTTAGATTGGCGTACATCGGCGGCACATTGATGCTGGCCGGGGTTACATAGGTAGAGGTTGGTGGCAAGTTGACAGTTGTTGGTATGGTTGCTTGCAAGGGCATGGGAATCTGATAGCAATGCGGCACATTGGAAGATGACGATTTTGTTGTCGTCATCGTCGTCGTTATGGGCGTAGTGGGGAAAGTGATGGCTGCTCCACCTTCTAGTCGGTACTGCGGTGGTATGGTGACACTTAGAGTCGGTTGAGTAGACGGCACCGTGGTCGGTAGCGTGTCAGATGTCGTGATGACCACGTTTACAGGAGGTGCTTTGTTCACAGGTGCATCTTTAATAATCGTCGTGGTGGTCGTAGCCGTCGTTGCTGTCGCTTCGGGCTTGGTCCGTGATGGTGTTTCGATTTTCTGCATTAGCGATATCTGCAACGACGGATTCGTCACGACTGTCGGCATAAGATCGGGCAGCTGCGAGGAAAGCGTCGGTGCAAAGAGACCTTGTTGCAGCGGATTGTCCGGCACTTTTGTCTGATTAGGATATAGCATTGGCATCGGATAGACGGTGTGCGGATACAGGGACGATATGGTCGCCTGAGCGTTTGGGTCAGTAAATGGTAATCCTCCCTGATAATACTGGAACGCGGAAGGATACATTAATGACGAGTAAGGGTGCCGAGCATGTTGCGGGGGAAATATGTTACCGGAAATCGAGGACACTGGCACGGTCGGTTGATTCGAATAGGATAAATCGACATATTCATCGTCGAGGAAGTCTTCGGAATCAATAACAGGGTTCACATTCTGTTGCTGCTGTACACGCTGCTGCTGCTGCTGTTGGTGCTTTTGAATCTCTTTGCGCGACTCAACCACTTCCTTTGTTAGATTGTCCACTTTGTCATTCAATGTCTTCATATGCGTCATCATGTTTTTCATTTGTTCCATCAGGTCCTGTATCTCGTTGTCCCGGGACTGCATAATCTGACGTATCTGAGCATCGAGACGCTCCGGGCTCGGACGTGCCTCCGCGCGGTTCTTCGACAGATTCAGATGATCCTGCAACTTGCACGGTGTACTGGCATGTTTCGGCGTACGATGAGTGTTCCTCTGAGGGGTGCTCAACATATTCGAACCACCGGTCAGCGTCGTCAGCATCGGCAATGTCGGATTTGTGACATGATCCACGGCACTGGGAGGGGGTGAATAACTCTCGTCGGATATACCGTCGTCATTCCTACTTAGTTCACCCCTGCCTAAATCTGGATCTATCCTCTTCAACTCATTTTCGATATCAGTGATGTGAGTGCCGAGCTCAGAGTTCAGCGGATGTTTGGGATTCGTGCCCGGACTACGAAGTCGGTCGAGCGTGAGGTAGTAAGAGTTCTTCGCTTTTGACAACATTATGATGTGCTGCGATCGCATCTCCGACGTTAAACTCTCCCGAGGCGTGGAATTCACTATTTCGTCCGCGAAGATTTTGTAAATCTGTGCCAGCTGAAACGATGCTTCCGGGCACTTAAGCGCCTGCAGCGCGTCGATTGCCTGCTCATACTGTTTGTCGCGTACGAGTCGTTGGGCCAACAGCAACTTGCCCTCCTCAAGAGCGTTCGTCAGCTCGAAATTGTTCATTTCTTTGCCCTGATAATTGAATAATTTCGATGGAGACATACGTAACGTTTGATTGTTCTGCAGTCTCTCCAACAGCGGTAGAGCGGCGGTCCAGTACAGCTCGGAACGTGCCTCCCATCTAGAGATGTAGCCATTCGCCTCATCTTTCTCCTTCATCGTCTTCGCACGATAATGGAACATGCGCGCTAGATGCACCAATAACACTGGATGCATGCCATGATTACCGATGCAGCGAATGATTTCCAAACCTTGTTGCAATTCCTGTCGTAACTCACCGATGTCACCTTCTACATCTCGTTTGGAGTACATCTTATATGCCGCTGACCACCATTTCTCCTGATTACTAGTGGACAGTGTCGTGGTAAGATCGATAGGCAGTGTCGGCAGTTTCTCTGGATTTATGAAGCTACCGAGTTGCTGTTCTTCCAAAACGGCGGATGAGCAGAGTATTGCCACGTTGAGGAACGCATCGATATCGATAAGACATAGGCTGTCGGGTGCCGCCTGATTCGTATTGAATACCGAAAATTGTAACGCTGGGAACACACGCGAGGTCTGATCCGGGTATGGAGCGTCTTTGTGTTGAGGCCGATTTTCCATCCCAAGCCAAATTTGATGATGCAATGAAGCAGGCCACACCTCTTGTGCGACTGCAAACAAAAAATTAAAATGCCTCTATTGTATTTTTCTTTATTGTAACATTATTGTTTTCTATTGGTATTTATTTTGTAGATTGTTGCAGTTATTGCAAACTTAGGAGTTCTAAGTAAAACTCATTTATTACTTGTTTGTTATTTAATACAAATTCACACACAAATAGTATTTATTATAGTATTATTAATAGTATTTATGTATTGTATGCAAATGGATGGATTACGAAACAAAATGTTTGACTACCCTTGCATATTTCAATAATCAAAATGTATGAAGATTAATAAACGTACTTTGGCTGTAAGTCCTTAGTTGATTTGCAGTGCATATACGTAAAGGTGGATCAGGAGCTGAATGACAGCAAAAAAATGAATTCCTCATATAATCGATATGTACCCTGATCACAAAAATTCTCTGAAAAAGAAATTGAACATTAAATGTACATCAGGCTAGCATATAAATTGCCAGAATCTGTATGAAATTCGATTTGTACCTGATAAATACGCTCTCTCCAGTGTCCCGTGCAAAATTTATCAATTCTATCCATCAGCTTTTTTATGTCATCCCTGGCATAATTTTGAAGAATGTAACCTAATAAAATAAAAAATAAAATTATTAGTAAAGGTGTTTACTAATAACAATTCTTACAGAATAATTCTCGGTCTCGGTCTCGCGTACCAGCTTGGCAACATCGATATGCTGCCTCCATAATCCATACATTGAATTGATTCTTAAATCCATCATCTTCTAGTTGTATGCGTATACGATTTTCTAACGGAGCTACATGTAACGCAGTCAACAACAGGGGCGAGCACAGTCTTCCCGTTTCGTTCCAACTGCCTTGCTCGCGTTTCGTTTTACGCAATAGCAAACATGCCAAATGGAAGTGCAATTGACCCCACATGTGCGTAAACAAGTGCTCCGTGAAGGTGTGTTGCTTAGAAAAGTTTTTCGACTTCATCTCATTTAGATTTTGATCAAAACTAGAACATAATGTTCGCTTCATGAACATATTATAAAGATAAATGCATATAGAACAGGCAAATGCAATTATTTTGTTTGTAAAATATGTGAGGTACATTTTATAAATATTATACATGAAAAATTTCAGCTAGGTTTATTACTGTTCCATCGAATGTCAAGTTAAAAAATACAATTTAGTTTATACAGATGTGTCGTTCGATATACTTACTTAAATACTGCCTGAGTTGCCTCTGGAATGCTTTTCTTCATTTCGCCACCTTGCTCCTTGAGACATAATCCCGCATATTTATCAGATACGGATATATAGAAAAACCAGAAAGACCAATCAAGGGATTTAGTCTCTTTACACTTTGTTAATAATTCGTACAGCAGCTGATACCATGCAATGCTGTCTCTGTGAGAAACAGTGGCCTCTACACTGATGGCATGTTCATAAGCTTTATCCAATTTGCGTTCCGACATGTAATAATTTAACAATTTGATACGAAGTTGCACGTCAGTCGGTCTCGCAGCCAATTCAGCTGGAAGATTTCACACATTAATTTCAAGTTTTTTAAACCACTCTATCAATATTAAGTAATTACTCACATGCGATAAGTGCTTCAAGATCCTCGCTGCTGTTGTTCGGTTTCTCTGTAGTCAAAAGCTTCTCTTTTAATTGAAAAACTATCGGGTGATGTGGAAATAGTTTGTCAGCTCTTTCTACCCAATACTTAAGTTTATTAACGTCCATTCCTATGTCCATGTCAACCAGTAGTTCGCATACTAATAATAAACCAAAAAGAAAAAGAAGATTAAATGTTATGAATGACATGAAACTACTTCAAAGAACAATAAGAGAAATGTAAAGATGCCGGCTTCTCACCTTTCAAGACCAGATCGTCTTGCCTCCCCTCGAGTTCAAGGGAAACTTTGTACTCATTAAAAGCTGCTTCCTTTTGACCAAGAGCCTCGTACGCTTGACCCAACAACTTATGCGCACCGGGAGAATTGTCTCGTATTTCTAAGTAATTAAATACATATCTCTTCGTGGATTCATAATCACCTACTTGATAATACAGTTTGGCAATATTGTAACAACGAAGATTTTTCTGTAAAAAGAATCAGATACCAAAGAGTTTTAGATTCAAATCCAAAAACAAATATCGTTTGAAAACGTATGTCACACACGTAATTTAATAATAAATTAAACTACATTGATATAAAATCCTCATATCTAGACAGGTAAGATTCAGATTACGTAATCATTGTTATAAAACTTATTAATATTAATTAAATACTTTGTTACTACTAATTAAACAAACACAATAACTTTTCATATTCTTATCTCAAATTATATCAAATATATTAATAAAAATGTTAGAGAAAAGAGCTAGAAATTTATTTATTAAACTCTGAATGGAAAGCATTTCGAAATTTCAAGTTACAACTTGTTTTTCATCGCAACATTCGCAGCGAAAATCTAGCTCGAAAAATAACAATCGTTAGGCCATCATCGCGAGGACAAGTTTGCGGCCGACGGTCGTGTCAGGTGTCGGGTGTCGGGTCAGGTAAACAATCAGCTAAGCTGGACAAGAGATCCGGGATCGAAGTTCCACGATAGACGGATCTACGCCGAGATATCAGCCGATCGACTGCCGTCGCGGTATCGATAGCGCGAGGACGTTTCCCGCGAAAATTCGCCATCATGATACGCTCGCGTGTATTCTCAGTCTTGCGTGGTCTTGCGTGATGACTGAGATGACTCAAGGTTTCGGTCCGGTGGATTGAGCGGCCGAGGCCGAGCGATCGTCGCCCGCGGTATCGAACGCGCCCGCTCGTCGTCGGCATTGATATCGGTCGCGAGATTCGCAAGCAGGGACGAGCCGGGAAGACTCGTCCGGCCGTTAGCCGCCAACGTCGGCAGAGGAAAGAGAGAGACGGACATATATATAGAACGTTGCGCGAAGGTAACCTTACCTCGGTCTCATTCCGCAGTTTGCAGAAAACGTGCTGCACGTGGCGGTCTACGTCCTTCTTCGAGCGGAACATGGTGTCGGCCGGACGGGATCAACCAGCCGTATTTTGCTTTTTCTCGCACCACTCGATCGTCACCAGTTCTTCGTCTCGCTACTCACACACTTCGAAGCGGCTCATGGCCCATCACGCGAATATCCGTTTGCAACGCACGTATCTCTCTTTCAAACGACACCGTCGAATCCAATGCCGCCAACCGCGACGATCGTTAACCTAAACTTCCCCCAGGCGAAGTTCAGGGCCGACAATGCGCGAAATGCCCGTATCAGACTACGGATTGGGATTGAGATTGGATTGAAATTTGACCAATCAGAGCAAAGTTTACTAAACCTGAGATCAGTTTTCTCTGTTCTGATTGGCCTAGTTTACATCGATCACTTGATAGGCGTATTAGATAGTAAATAACTAGTAAATTAGTTTGATTATTGGCTGATCAGTTCAAATATACTATTTGATACGCGTATCAAGAGATCGGTGTAAACTAGACCGCTCAGTGAACTGCAAAGTAACAATAAAATGTGATTGGTTTTTACCTTTGGAGCCAACCAATCACACTTAATTGCTACTTAAAAATATTGAATCATATGAATTTAGAGGTCTTGGTGCTGACAATTCCGATTAAATTAAGCTAATCAATTTAAATCAATCAGAGTTGATTAAAATAATCTTCAATCTGTTTTTAATTTTGTTTAATTTATTTTTCTTTTTTCAAAGTCAAATGCTAGGTCTACAATGCGAGTCGTAAAGTCGTGAGTCGTAAGACGTGACCAATCACGATCGAATTTGAGGAGAATAATCGACTGTGCGTGGTCAATTCTTACGACTGCGACTCACGACTTTACAACTCGCATTGTAGATCTAGCAAAAGTATACAATCAACATACAATCATTTCATTTTAAATAGTTCAAGTTGCGAATGTGGAAATAGAAATAGAAATAAATTTTTCAAATTTAAATTACATATTCTTTAAAATGACTTTATATTGTCCTTTTATCTAAAAACTACGTATATAAAGTATTTCTTGTGTGAATTTTGCTTAGAATAGATCCGGGAATAATATTGAACGACACAGACTAGATATAGGCTAAGTTGATAATCTAATTAAATTACCATTATGAACAATAAGTCGAAAATATTATTAGATATTTTAAATACCAACTAAATAACACTAATAATCATGAATAATCTGAACTTTCTTTGCAATAAACATTCAAATTATATGCCCGATTTTTACAAGTGAAAGATATTTCAGTCGCCATTTTGTTTTCTTATATTTGGTCTCCTGACGCCATTTTATTTAACCATTTCATCATTTAATACGCAGTTATTGGTGCAGTAGGCTGCAGGTAAGTCTTATATATATTCTACTATTTAGTCAACAAGAACTAAATCTTTAACTTGATTGTGTCGATGGTATAGTAAACGATTATTCTTATTTTGTTTATTTGTATTTAGATAACCATATTATATTCAAGATTACAGCGAAATAAGGTATATATAAAGTATTTACTTATCTAACTTAATTTTAGCTACGTGACATAACCTATACAACTTCAACCTAACCTATCCTAACCTAAATGCGATCTTCAATTTTTCACTTCTAGATTATATCACCTTGATATGTTACTTTCTATAACTTCAAAGCCATTTCTTCTTCCAAAAGCGTTTGATTATATTAATCCTTTTTCTCTCTTTGTAAAATTATTTTGCTATCTTCAACAATGTGTTGTTCTCTTCTTTTTTCTTTGCGAACAATAATGATCTCTGTCTTTATGGGGACCTAGGATCAATGTACCATTAATTTTTAGTAACAACGGCAATTTTTTATTATAACTTCTATCGCAAAAATAACAATTCGTCTTATTTCAAAAGTATATATACATAGTGATGTATGTACAAGTTGCTGTTTGTTAGCCACATAGTTGTTTCAGCTTGACTAGTCGCTTCGCAGGTTTGAAGGCGCTCAATTTCCATTTATTTATGTATCTCCGAAATTCTCGACTTGAAATAATTCAAGTCGACGTACATACCACTAAAAATCATAATGTGAATGGAAGCATGTTGATAAGCTGTTTGATTAGAATTAAGAATACAGACTATACAGAGGACTGACTAGCTCTGCTCGTATAAGAGTTGCCTTCTCCGCATTCCTTCTTTTTTTTTTCATCTCATCTCTCTATGAGATACACGTGTTTTACTTTAGACACGAGAAAAGTGCGCTTTTTGCATTCTCATGCGCTCGAAGGAAAGTGATAGCGGTAATTATTATTCTAGCTTTATTTTTGCAAGTTTAATCGCAAACTTTACAAAATTGTGACGTGTAGAATAATTTGGTAAACATGGGATCGTGTTCAGCGCGTAAAAGAACCAAGGGAAACGATTAGACCTTCGTTCTCGTGCGTCCTTTCGTTGAGCAATGCAATCGCTCAAGATAATAGAGGCTGGATTCGGGGAGCGCGCTATTAGCGCTATTTGCTTGTTCTATCCTTGTTTTACACCTGATGAGCGATAAAGACAGAATGATGCAATAGCGCTAATAGCGCGCTCCTCGAATGCAGCCAGAGAAGAAAAATCGCATTCGCGCGCGCGGGCGCGAATGTGAGTGTATGCGTGCACGAGGGGTTTTTCTTTCTCCTAAAATTTTTCAAGCAGGACGCAGGCGCACCGGCGAATACATGAAACTGCTTAGTGCTCCGGTATCGCGCGCTTCCTTTTGTTCTTGATTCTTCCTCGGCGTTCCTCCTGCGTTTATCGCCGCCGTGAACGTTCCGAGGATCCCAATGTCGAGAATCGTCCGGTAGAAATCGCGTCCGGTCCTCGGTGGTGAACGTTCTCGCCGAAGCGACCCCCGCGACGACGCACGTATATAGCTTCCTCGGCGCGGTGAGAGCGGTGAAGCGCGCGCGTTGGCGTGACGTGCTTCGCCATCTTGAGTCTACCGTGTCTCGGGTCTCGGGCGCAGAGTGCACAGACTGCACAGTGCACAATGCAGTGTGCACATCGCAGTTGAAGAGGAGGGGAGAGGACTCCTCCTGTCAATCGACGGAAGCCCCTTGTCGTTGTCGCCCTGTCGTGGCTGCGTTCGCGCGGTTTCACACGCGCGCGACTTCACGGTGGGACTTGACTGAGTTGACTCGTGCCTCGTGCGATCATCCGCGGAGCCGGGGCCGGGGGGTTAATCGACTCTCGATAAGGGTGCGAGTGTCGCGTGCTCGACCGCTCGACGGCGATCGACGATCCCTGGGATCCCCCCAGTCGGGGAGACTTGGCTTACCTTGGTTACCTCCGCGCCATTCTTCTCAACTCGGGTCGGTCAACAACGACGTTGAACTTTACGAGGGAGAGAAGGAGTGAGAGAGAGAGAGAGCGATTCGGGAGACGAGATCCTGGGAGAAGAAGGTTCAGGGAACGACATCGACACCAAGTTTCACGTTCCAAAAATGGCCCTCGCGTTCGCTCGCGACGTGACGGATACGTGACAAGTGTCGCGCGAGGTCGCGTCGCGTCGTGAAACTTCGCCCCCAACGTCCAAGTCGCTCTCCGCCCTCCGGTTTCGGTTCCTACTTCCTACGTCGTTGGTGTGACGACGGGGATTTTTAGCGGGCAAGCGCAGGAGAGAAGATAGATAAACACGAGTGATCGTGGTTGTGCCATCGTGTGACTACTGGTGACTACTGACTCGGCAGTTGGGAAGTCGGGAGTGCCGGAACTTCCTGGAACGCCACGATGTGCCGTGATTGAGTTTTGAGCCCAGCCCAGCACAAGCTCGCGGATAGCTCGCGGAATCGCTAGGAGAAGAAAGGTATACCCGGATTGCGCACGGCCACGTTCTGCGGTTGTTTTGGCATTTTCACGCTGGAAATTGTTGTCATCGTAAGTCATGGTTGCTCCCATACTCCCGTCGCGCGACGGGCGACGTGTCCCTCTAGCTTGAGCGAATAGAGAACGCCTCTTCGCAGTCTCGCATCTTGACGAGACGCGCACTACGTGATAAAATGTCACTCGTCCAGACCCGCCCTCCTGAGAGACGATCCCCGTGTACGTCGCTCTCGAAAGTCCCAATTCTTGCGGAACGTCCGAGTTAAATAAATACAATGATTCCGGGCACTTATGGTCTTACAGTCGAAATATTGATCTGCACAAGGACTTTACGACTTTGGCGTAAATGACTTAACGAATTGGCTCAACGGGGTAAAAGGTCACTAACCTGTACGAAATTCCGCAGGGTCTCTATAATTCGGCGGATGTATTTTAAATGGGGAATAAAATCGAGGACTTCGGAGGTATGAAGCTCTCGGCGATGCAAGAGAACGATAGAAATGAGGTAAGGGAATCTGGGAATCGAGTTTCGAACAATGCAATCATGATGGACAACGCTACTAATGATAAGTATGGAGAAGACAACAGCACATTAGAGAGGGAGGAAGGTTCTATGGTGTCCAATCTTCCTCTTCTGTTCGCTAACGGTTATCCCACGTCCCTGGAGAAAATTACTATGGTACATTAATTATACTGTTTGTACATTTTTTTGTTTTATGACATATATATATATAAAATTGCTTTTGTAATCGTACAAAATATTTTGTAATCCGAGAAGCTGTGTCCCAGGATAAATAAAACTATATTGCGCTATATTACCAAGCTACATTTTGTTTGTGAGTCAATGTGTCAACAAATACTATTCCACAGGCGCAACTGGAACGCTTTGTATTGTTTATGGTCCATTGTTCATTGGGCCATGACACCACTAAGGTTATCAATAAGCCTGAGTGGTGGCCTCAAGACGTTAAATTCTCAAGTCCGCTAACGAGACCTAAGAAGCTCAACGATGTAAGCAACCACTAAAATATGTCTCCGTCTGTGAGGCATCGCGTAACCAGCCAATCAAGCCCTGCCTTTCGAAAAGTGCTGATCCAAAAAATATCATTTTAGAACTGGATGGCAAACCTAAAGAAATTGGTTTTCCGATGTTACACGTATCACAGAAGCGAATATCTGTTACGTTTTTGTTCCTATCTAGCGCAGTATCCTCACGATGAATTAGAATACGTTAATAATTGGGATTCGACGACTAGTCTGTATCACAAAAGTACAGGAAAGCTACTAGTAACATTTCGTAATGAAAATATGGTGTGTACAATATGCGTGTGTATACATATACGTATACGTATACGTTTTACTGATGTACTGACGTAGAATAGTCTGACAAATACTCCTAGTTGTTTGCTCACTCCCCTTGATTTAATAAATGAAAAAAACTTTCTTCGCCTACAGCATTATGACAGAAAAAATGATAGCCCTCGAAGAACATTGTTATCTCATAATGCATCTTCGTCGGGCAGTGGAAACAAAGCGAGACAAGCCCCCATGATGGTTCAACCACCATGTGACGATATCTATCTTTGTGACAATTGCGATGCTGAATTTGTAGGCCTCGCAAATATGAAGGTATTAATATTAGGTGTATTGTGATTCGTTCTCTCTGCCGAAACTAAAACCAATATGCCATAAACGATATTTAACTAATATTTTCCTATTTGCATGATTCTCTAGGAGCATGAAAAAATATGCTGCGAACAAGAACATGGTGGTGGTAGTGGCTCGCGTTCGTCCACTCCAGACTTGTCTATGGTCGAACCTGAGCTACAACAGGATCAATTTCTGGAATACTTCCAGTTACAATCGAGTAAGACTGAATCTAAATCGTCCGGTGTGAAAAAGGCGAGTGCTCCTGATGGTAGTATCGTTAGACGAACATCTGGACGTGTTAGGAGTTCTCTTAACTTCACGAGATTCGCTACTATCCCATTCTCGTCGCCTGCCGGCATAATGCTAACAAAGAAATCTAAGGCTATGACTGAGGAAACGCAGCAAGAACGATTAGATAGAATAGAGAGGCATGTCATCGCGCCAATATTGAGCGATTCATCTAGACCAAGATGGCTGGACACAGAAGTAGATAACGATAGATGGATAGTGACGTACAAACAAAATCGGGATAAACTGACTGACCATTATGTACATCAATATAAATTTGTGAATTCCTGTAAAAGCAAGCCAAGTATGTATTTTACTTTACGTTTTGATATAATTTTTGCTAGACATAGACATACAAATTATCACTAAAAAAAAGAAAATAGAGTACTGAATATAGAGTATTGAAATAGGAATCTTTTTATATTCTTTGTTCTGTTTATCTAACTCTTTATACTACTCCTTTTTGCATAGAGCGATGCATTCTGCTTTTTGCATTGCTCTATGCAAGTAGGAGAAACAAAGAATATGCATGTTTGACTATACTCTTATAAATAGAGGAATAAAGATGGGACTGTACATTTTATTAAAAATAGTATTACATTAAATCTATTGATAGATTTTAGGAAGATTATATAATCCATATTTTCTCTTCAGTGCTGAGCATACCGTCGCAATTGCTCTACGCCACATGTCGACCTATTTACGTTGTTCTTACTCGACTGAGTGAGGAGCAAATTGATGAATTGAAAAAGGACCCCTCAAAATATCAGTGTCCCCAGAAGAGCATCAATGTGCGGAAAGTTTTATTAATGAGAAAAGCAGGGCCGGCTTGCAAAACGAAATCGAGAAAGACAGCTCACGCGCGAAACGCATCTGTGTCTTCGAAACGAAAAGCACCGCTGGAGGATGACGTAGATCCGACCGTTGAAGAAGAAGAAGAAGACAACATTAATACGTCAACTAAAGAAGCTTTAGTCGCGCTCGCTGCTGTAAAATCATTTATGGATAATTCAGAGATTACGAAACCAGCCAAAGACAAAAAATGTCCATCACGCACGATAATGTTGATCGATCTCTGTTCGTCCGATGAAGAAGAAAATGATTCGAGTACTCGCGATGAGAACAGAGATCCCATGAGTACCGCGGAGTCATCGATCGCAAAGTCTTTCTTGCGAAAGCTGTCGCCGAAACAAACTTTACTACGCGAGACCCTGCATTTACCCCGCACACTCATCGACAGACTGGTTATTGAATAGCGTATTAAACGAAGATAACAGAAATAAATATCGACTGTTAATATTTGGAAAAAAAGGATGCGTATGCTTTTCTCCGATTTTAGCACCGTAAATACTAAATCAATGTACAGTAAGTTATTACTTATTATTTTATAGGCGATGACTTACAATTTGTACATGTGTTATGTTTCTTATATTTATTATCCTAATTATTGATACAATAGTTGAATTTACATTAGGTTATCATAAGACTGTTAAGATTTCGCGACTTTATCTAAAAAATTGTATCACGAATAGAACGGATCGATCGGATCGATGTAGTCAGATCACATTCAATTTGAACTGATTTTGGAGTGTCTCCCATTATGTATAAAAGAAGAATGGGATAATAAGAATTGAGATAAAAGAAAAGTAATAGAGAAAGTACGGTAAAAGAATACACTGGAACGTTACATAATACTTTTAAACAATAAGCAATTAAAATTGATTTTTCAACTATGATTATGCAATGAGTCGTAGCAGTGATTTAATGCATCATTAAATTTACATTGTTGTTAGGTTTCCAAACATGTGCAAGTAGGAGATGATGAATAGTTAACTTTAATTGCTTTTTATTTACAAATTCCTGCATCTTCAATATTTGATTAGTTATTTTATCTCGATTGTTATGTTACATTCTTTTAAACTTAATAGGGAATACTCCCTAACCTATCATGTATAATTGTATATGATAATTAAGCAATGCGCAGCTTGTTATCTTGTGAAAATCTACTATTATAGTATTAATATAAGTTTTTATTCATGTATATAAATGGATAATTTAAGTAGAAATATTTAAGCATACAGTACGGAGCAAGTTATGTGAATGCACTACTTATTATGGCAAATATTACAAAATTTTACAGTATCATTGGTTAAAAATTAAAAAAAAATTGTTGTTTTATATACAGGTCCATTTTCTGCTAGGAAAGAAGTTCAGAGAGATTTTTGTCTCACCGTAATGCGATAATCCCATATAAGTAAAAAAAAATTTTGCATCTGTTTATTAAAAAATTGTTTATTATTCATGGGAAATACATGAATATATTTATTCGCAAGAGAAATACAGTTCATATGTTTAGAATACATACGTTCGTTTACAATTTATTCTTGTTTTTTCTTTGCTCCGAATATCTTTCCTAAGAAAAAGGAGAACAGTTTACCTTTCCAGTCCTTTTCGATGCGTTTCAAAACCAGTCGCTTCGTGGAAATGTTGTGAAGTGGGCCGAATGCTAACGCGACAGCTGTACAGGCAAGGCATATAACATTGTAAGGCATACTGAAGTCAGGAGTCGGAAGACTAATAAGCAAGGACTCTGTCCGTAATTGTACTAGATAATCATCCCTCGAAGCGTTAAAACTGTAAGTTTAATCATCGATAATTACTTCAATTGTCGCCTATTCTGCTTATAACAACGGAAAAATAACAATTGGTAAAAGAGAGATATTTGCTAAACTATATATAAACGAACCTTGAAGTAATTGTACTTCCATCGAGCGGAAGAGCGGTGTAATTTCTAGCTATGGGTAATAAGGCTGTAACTATAGCTGGTCCCATGTAAAAACCGTGATTAGCGTCCGGCGGATATTCCTGCCATTTGAGGAATAAGTAATCCATATCGATAGTGACTTTCGTTACTGAGTGTGGTGGCAGGCGCAGGATTAATTCTAAATAGTACGGACTTTTCCTCTCCCTTCCAGGTAAATACCGTTGCGCCACTGTAATAATACCATAAAATGTACTGACATTTAACCATGTTGTAGAGTTTTCATAATAATAAATACTTCTTTTGTAAATTTTAATGATCGCCTAAATCGTACGCACGTTTCACAATAGTGAATAAATTTATTAGCAGCTACGTTTACATTATTTTACATTTATTACTTTGTGTTTACTTACATGGACGAACTTGTTGCTCATTCCAGGTTATCGTAATGGAATGTAAGTAAACCAGCAGGTACCACGGAATATTTTCCAATAAGATTACATCTAACGCCTGCCAGTGATTGTTATACAGTTTAGTTACTAAACTGCCTCTTTCTTGGCCGTATCCTAAGGAATTACGTAATTGTATATGAATTTATTACTATGTGGATATATAACATTGATTAATAAATTCAACCTTTTAAAATTATTTTTCAAATTATGCATTATGAATGTATGATATATATGTATAACAAAGTGGATTTATTTATAAAAGCCTTCTATAGAACATACCGATAATATATCTATTCGCATAGAGGATTGAAGGATAATTTATAGCGTTACTCTTTGGTGCACTATGTACGGCAGCAATATTAAATATTCCTCTGCTGCTATGAGCCCTGATATCATATACCGCTATTTCATTTTGTTGTCCACCACGCAAGCTAACAACTTTTGCACTTGGCGGTGGTGTTAATTCATATATGTGATTCGTATTGTTGCCCGATATATCCACATAAATATTACTTAATGTTGCAAGCGGACATGCGCCTTTAAGACCCATTCCAAAAAATTTTCGTATTGACCAATCCTGTGCGAATCGGAGACGTGAATAATCGGCGAGTATTATAATTTGTAATACAATGACTTCATATTGATCGACTTACCTGATTTGTATCTGCCATTGTATCGTATATCAAGGAAACGGTTTGTCGCAGTTCTAAAGATGGCCTTGTGCAAGATGCGTCGCGACATATTGACCGAAAATGTATTCCAATGGAGTGGTAATTTGTATTGTGAATATGCGCAGAATTTAACAACGTAGCCAGACCTCTCTAGAAGAAAAATCAGATGTTTGACTAGGTAATGAATCAATTTACTTGTAGCAATATGGGAAGCAATGTGCGAGTACCTTGGAGTTGCAAGGCAACAATTTTTTAAATGGCGTTAGATTCTCGGTACAAACTATCTCTCTTGGTAACGATGAATAACGCAAGTGACTAGAATTCACTGGTCCATCCGTGACACCAGTGGGACGGAAGGTAAACTCTGGCGACATGCTATTGGAGGCGTCAACAAAGTTCAGAGATGCACAGAGTAATCCAGCTAAGGCGTTTGTGAGACCTTTCCATTCATCGTCTATGCTAGAAAAGAAAACTCACACGTTACATATTACTGTTTTTATAACTTTGTTTCTTACTCAATAAAATTTGTAACACAAGTAATCAAATTTATGTTTGACAATTCAGGCTACAGCGAGATATCGAAAAAAATTCAAGTCGTGATTACTGATCTCATATTCAATCACCTTATAATATAACTTCTGATATTTATCGTTTGTATAAAAAAAAGTATAAAACTTCAGGACTATATTTCTCACTTTGTTATATCCCTGTTAAACCAGGCAGTTACTTCAGCACCAGGTCCAGCGTCGTAGAACGGATATCCCCACTTTTGATAATTCCATAAGCCTTCCGTTAAAGTAACATGCAGCTCATCAACATTATGACGGCCTATGATCTCACCCAATCCCCTTGGAAAAAGATGCGAATGTTGAACTAGAATTATTATCATTTGTTAATAACAAATATCTCAAGCTTGTTCAGCAAAAAAATAATTTCAATTACTGAAATTATTATCTACTTCTTATAGGAGTAATATATAATAGCATGTAGGATCTTTTTGTAAAAGATTATATTAGAGAAAAATTAAGTATTAAATATTAGTTATTGTCATTTTTTTTATCATTAAATAAATATCAAGTGTGTAGAAAAAAATAAATAAAATTTGTCGAATACCAACGTGTTTCTACATGGTTCACTGTCTCCCATATCGTAGTAAATTGAAAGTAGGCATAGACGTGATTACTCGACAGAGGCTTCAGCATTAATTCCTCGTCAAAAAAGTCGTTATACGCATTATTAATATTATTACAGGTCCCGATACTAATCAGGCCGGTAAACAATACGAGTACGTGCGAGGTTATCATGTCGCTTTGAGGTTAGGTCGCGTCAACTGACTGCTCACTTGAATCTTGAATCAATTTATTGCACTTTCTCGCGCGGCGAGTAATCATTCGAATATGACATTTCAACGATAGAAAATCATGCTGTCCCTTAATCGGCTGTGGTCCAAGCCGAGTGTTTGTTTGGCGCACGTGTCACCCACCAGTCGATCCAAGAACTTCAAATCAGGGCTGTCAGCTGTGCAGTAAATTTCAACATAATTTACTGACAATTGTAATAATTTTATTTTTATTTGTTAAAAATTTTATATAATTATAGTTAACAGGTAAAAGATTCATATGTGTTATATGTATTACTGGTATTACTAATCATAATAATATAAATGTGTTATGACAGACAAGATTTTTGATGCGGATCCGTTCTTTGTTATTTTACATTTACGTGATTCAAGCTGAATGAGGTTAGATTGAATCGGACTCACCTGTGACAGTACTGACAGTACTGACAGTACTGACAGTAGTGACAGTAGTGACAGTAGTGACAGTGCGTGGCTATTATTCTCTTGCCGACGTTTCCGATAATCGTTAACGACGAGAATGGAGTCCGACGAGATCGAGGTGGCCTCGAAATCGTCAGGGACGAATATACGAAATGATAAGAACGCTGTTATCGACTACGACGAAGACAGAGTAAGGTTAGAATTAATTGTGTCCGAGGATTGAACGTTTACGAACTTGCGTGTCCGCGTAATAATTGTCGTAACATATACTCTTTAATCAACAACCGCTTTTTGCATTTATCCATTTGAGACATTCAGATAAATCAGATTTTCAAAACTTAGCTTACTGATACTTGTTCGTAAATGTTCAACACTGCGTGCATTTGTTTAAGGAGACCTAAAAGGAAGATTAAACAATTTTTGCTTCACCAAAGGACAAGCAATTGTTCTTTAAATTATCTTAGTTTGAGCCTTCTTTTAATAAGGTAAAATTGATAGTCAGAGGGAATAGCATGTAGGGAATATCATACTAGAAGAGCCATGTTAAAGAAGATTTCTTTTATTAACACGTTCAACGTTCAACGTTCAATTTTGTCATCAATGGCTTTGTTGTTTCAGCTGCACGAGATGACAGCGTCTTATTCCGAGATATCATTTGACTCGCAATCCTCACCACCCATCTCAGAACTGAGATCGCTTATTGATTCCCCGGACATTGACAGTGGAAAGTTTCTGGACGACAATTTAGATAGAATAGGAGGAACCGGTCACAGACCGGATCAATTGGATTTGAGAAGTAGGGATGACAGTCCGACAGAAGGTGACGATCTTGATCCACCAAGCTATCATAAAGCTATGGGTTACTTGCAACTGGAAGGAAGGGTAATGCAGGACGGAGATATGGTGTTGTTTGTGACGGAGGATCTGGAGAACAAGATCAAATTGTCCAGTCCTGTAACCAAGAAGGGAGAAACCCCGTCGTTCCCGGGATCTCGGAGTTCAACCCCATGCTTGTACAGGCAGGCCTTAACTCCGCAACTACCACCCCTTGATCACAATGTATTAAACGAGTTAGAGATGGAAGCTAGAAAAGTTGCAACTTCTGTGGACGCGCTGACTGAAAATTTAGCCGCGATTTTACAAAACGTGAGTCACTGGCCATACCGAGTTATATTCTTATTATATACGCCATGCGATTTTATACGTTTAAATTATTCGTTCTTGCTTCCAGGCATCGGCTCTTACAGTTGGTTGTTTAGAAACGTACAGAGATGCAGTGTGTAAGACGTGCGACGCTGTGGATCATAATATAAAGTCGATGTATCAATTAATGGCTAAATGCGAGGAACTATCCAAGTCGATGGGACCAATTTATAAGTTAGCAGAGCAGATGTGAGTATCAATTGTTGGCAAATATTTTCCTTTTAATTTAATCCAGGCATGTAAGAAATTTTTAATAATTACGGAACATCCCGAAACTTTGATCATAAACTGTCATTAGCATTCTTATGAAATTTCTTATGGAAGCAGCAAGACTTATTTATAAAGTCAATCAAGAGCGTCTAATTGTAAATTACGATCTTAATCTGAGAAGAGAGATTTCGTTTTAATCAAGTACTAACAGCATCTCGAAGGGTGAAAATGAGGGAGAAAAGACGAGAGGGATGCTCTTTACAGAAGAAGGAGAACGCGCGTGTTTATTAAAACTTTCTTTGCTAGATGCTGGATCAATTATTAATCTTTAGAGTATCTGAAAGTTACCATAACGAATTCTAAACTCAGGGGTTTCCTTAAGGGTTGTTATCTAGTCAAAAGAAAAATCTAAAAAGAGAAAGATGAAAAATTTTCCGCGCTTCTCCTTTCATTTGTCCTTTATTATGAAGATTAACGTAGTGAAGTTAACGAAAATTCTTATTCTCGGAATACCCATTGTATTGGTACATTAGTATGGATATTTATGAAAATCTGTTATATAATCTGCGATTATCTGAGCAGCAGTCAAGAAACAGAAAAAACTATGTTAACTAATTTCGTTGCGATGAATTGTCGTGAATATTGGAGTATTTCAAATATGAATTAGGTCATTTTTTACACGTACACACACATATACATTCTTAATTTTATCTTGACTTTCAGCAAGGAGATGAAGAGAATGCTGGAGCTGTTTGAGAGCGCGATGAATCTGTAAAGCAAGGAGATGCTACATGCTTATCACTATCACTATTAATTATACTATCACGCGCTTTTAGGTTTATAATGAAATGCAGCAGTTGTCATACGTTAATTTGTAATGCTCTAAAGAATATGTTGATGTAATATGACAAAATAGGATTACCTGCTGTACCTTGCCTTTTTAGAAAGCACGTGTACGTATATGTGTGTGTATGTATATAGTTAATTTAAAAAAGTTAAAAAATAATGTTTATAGTACAATTATCGTTAAATGATACGTTTTAATTTATACATATTGTGCAATGTTATTAGTTTTTCTATCATTATTTTAAATATACGCTGAAAAAATAAACGTTAAATAAAAAGCAAGCGATTCGATTTTGTTATGGTCATTCTCATTTGAAAGAAACAAATACATATTTAGTGTAATTTTTATTTATATAACCTGGGGTGTGTAAAATTGTAGCTTGTAGAGAACAAGGATTGAAATTCTATAAAAAAATAAAATGAAAGAAATAATAGCAACTCTTGAAGCACTCGTAACAACAAATGGGGGTGACAAAGTATACTGGCGAGTGGGAGGGAAAGAGAGAGAAAGAGAGAGAGGAAATTTGACAAGAAGCGTAAGGATGGGGATAAAACCGGGGGTGGAAAATGTTTCGGAAGGGTAGTAGCGACGTCTACTTTGTAACTGTAGACCAATACAGCGTACGGTGAAAGCGGCTCCGGATATCATATTCCAGGATGTGCATTAGAGGCGTTGAGTCGCCCGCGCCGTCGTAGCCGTCCCGTTCCATCCCGTATCCCATCGTCGGCGAGCAACTAAATACAATAACGGGATGGATGACTTGGAGGTTGATGTCGGGGGGTTAACGGCTTTCTCGACGGCGGCGAACCACTTTTCAGTCGCCTTTCTCGCCCCCCCGAAGTGATAGGAGAGAGGAATGGGGGAACGGGGCCGGGTTCTCTCTGCTTTCCCCTTTTTGCACTCGAGGATCTCTCTCTCTTTCTCTTTCTCTCTCTCTCTCCTCCAACATTGCCTCGCACAAAAGCTGATATCAACGATATCGCGGTCGTTTCTCCGGCCGAGGTGCTTCGTATATGCAGCGCTTGATAAATGGAAATTTTGAAAAGGACCCATTAATCGTGACTGCGAGCTGAAAAATTGAGTAGCCCTACGAGAGAGTGATCTATGCCAAAGGAAGTGATTTCTGAAAAACAGATTATTACTAGGAAATTTATATTAAAAGATTTTCGTTCTTTTTTAATTGATTGTGTTCATGATGAGCCGAGAAACTATATAATTATGAATATAATTTTAAATGTGTCAACTTTATTATTCCAAGATAACATACATGAGAAGAGGAAAATCTTTCTCCCCTTCTCTCTCTCTCTCTCTCTTTATTAGATTTATGTTATCTTTATCGTATTTATTTACTGTTGTGATATTTTTATTGCATTTTGATTCTTTTTATGTTCTTTTAAATTATATGGGATAGTTCCACTCTCTCAGTATTACTCGATTGGGTATCTTAATTGACAAATTGGATTAGTATGAGTTTTTTAAAAAGATAAACAGCAATAGTATACGAATCACGACTCTTATGCTTCGATGATTTCTTTTCTTTTAGTTTGTCTTATCGCGAATGAATTTTTAGAGAACTTGTGGCTCTATATATAGAACCACAACGAGTAATTGCACGAAAAGGATAGTAAACTACTAAGTTGATTAAAGTTTAAATTTAATTTAAACGGTTCTTTTTAATTCAAAGATTTGTTTCTTTTAACTGTTTACACGATTCTTTTCAGAACTACCAAATTATTTAATACAGGAACGCTCGTGCACGCATAATTTTGTTATCAGTAAAATAAGTTGAACTTTGAGAAGTTATTTTTTCAATTCTATACGCTTATTCTTTCCCACGTTTCTTTCTATTATATTTACACATTTTTATATGAATTTATTATACTATATATGTGTATATATCTATCATTTCATTACTATTTTGCTGCAGAGACGTTTTTTTTTACGCACCGCGGAGGCTAGGCGGTGCACCACCATGCCGCTATAGAACGGCTTTCACGTTTTTCCCATACTCTGCTTCGTTTGAAAATTCCGCATTTATCTATTCTCGACGCGGCACAATGTCAGCGAGGAACGAGTAAACTGGTTTCGCGTCGTGTCCCAGCCGTGCTCATTGTAGACTCGGGCTGTAAATAATACCCGGCAAAAAGCCGGGCCCGGTCTGCCGCGTCGCGTCGCGACGCGCGCCTCATTTAACACATTCGTCCAGCGGTAATTATTAAAGCCACGATGATTTTAATCCCCGGGAACGCGCCAGAGAGGAGAAAAAAAGGAGCAGCGGGCTGTGCACAGCATGTACTGTGCCGGTGGCACAGCTCTGGAGAAGGTTCTCCCCCAGAGGGTGCAATCTCCAGAACTGAAATAGGGGCAGTTGAAATGGTGCAATTTACATTAATGCCTTACATAAACTCATAAAAGGATGTAATACATGTTGAACTTGAATCCATTAGGGCTTACCTTTGGAATTCCCTCTTCTGTCCGACTGTACCAATTTTTGAATTTTATAATTTTATTGAACCGCTTAGTTTTTCTTAATTAAATAAATGCAATTGACTGCACGCGAGATCACGTATTAATAAATATCTGATTCGGTACTATATCAGTAAACTGAAAAGGAGAGGATTATGCGATCTCTCTTTCTACAGTTAAGTCTCTAGCATTTAGTGAAACGCCATTTCAACAAATTACGAGATGTGGTCGCGGGGTACCGCCAAGGTGTCAGACTCCGACTCCATGCGTCATCATAAAACGAAAAAATTATATAACTACTTGCGGTTAATTTCCTCGAGCACGGTAAAATTAAACGTAGCGGTGGATTATGTCGCCTGATGGCATCGACCACGGCTCAAGTGTCTCTATAAATGCACAGAGTGAATGCGGGTCTGTGAGAAGAAGCTGGGTAGCTTTTGCTGAAGCAGCCGCTGGCAAGTGGCCTTGCATATCCACGTACAGAACTCTCTTTTTCTCGTTCTCCTCTTTTACTCTCTCTCTCTCTCTCTCTCTCTCTCTCTCTCTCTCTCTCTCTCTTTCTTTTCTCTAAGTAAAGTGGTGCTGCTGCTGCTCGGCTCGGTCGACAATGTGCCTTCCAAAGGAAGAGAGAAAGATGAGCGTAATGACTAAATAAAAGATGGGACGACAGATAGCCGCTCCGTTTATGTCAGCTTCGGCCTCCACATTGTGCGTGTGTCGATTTGGCTTGGTTTCGTGGCCAGCAGAATAAAATCGCGTACATCATCTAAAATCTCTTTCTTCTATGTACCGAGGAAAGCTTATCACGATTTCGATTAAAGTTTAGATTTGAAGGAATGTCGCAAGGAATATTTTTTGCGAGCTAAGAAATTTGACATTTGAATGATTAAAAATCACATTTCCTTAAAATAAAAAAAATTCTTTTCTTCTAGATTTGATGTCTCGTTTAAATGCCTTCGACATATGTTTACCCTATATTTTAGAAATTAAAGCATCGCCAAGCAAATACCATAATTCCTACACACACACGTTATTATCAATACTCTACATCTGCGAGATTCAAGTATTGTAGCTCGGAGAACCGCTGATCGCAATAAAAGTGTATCATTAACGCGAACGCCAACCGTTGTGTTATTTGCAACTATCAAATCAGATAGAGGTCGAGCGAAACTGCGAGTTACGTCTCTCATCTTCGATCGTAAAGTTACTCATTTCACCGCTTTGATCATTCGCCGTTTCAGCCGAGAGACTTTCTTAGTAAATTACTCAGAGACGATGCGCGCGAGTGTCCTCCCGAGGGAGCTCGCCCCTCCGCCCGCCTGGATCTCGCCAGAAGAAGATGCGAGATGAGGGGAAGGCGACAGAATCGGGACCGCATCTCTGAAGTGAGGATCCGCAGGGGAAGGGTTTGAAGAAAATGAAACGAATGGAGGAACGTGACGGTCGTGGAACGAGTCGGTACACGCGTTTCCGAGCCTCGTCGCGTCATTCGCGCGAAAAGAGCGGAATCGCCGCGTGCGAGGAAGCTTGCAAAGACAGGCAGGGTGAGGACGAGTTGGTTGAGGGTTGGTGGAAAAAAAGGAAAAGGGGAGCGAAAAGAAAATCGCTCGACGGATCACAGACTGCTAATTAAAAAAAACTCGGCGTCGCGACGCCCCAACTCGCTCCCGCGCGAAAGGGTGGCGGCCGCGCTTCCCTTTTTGCGAGGCAGCAGCGTAAGAAACCTTTCGCCTTCTCCCTTTCATTTCCCCGTCGGCCTACCACCCTCTTTCGTTCGCCACCCTCTCACGCGCGCCACACACCTGTCTCGCCCAATAGCCAATGAATTACGAGAGCCCATCTCTCTTTTCCCGAGGAACTCCGTGTGCAGTCTCTCTTTCCTCTCACGCGTCCACGCAGACCGAGAGGAAGGGTAAAAATATAGGGATCCCGTGTATGTTGCGTTATCCTTTTCACACCCTTCTTTCAAAGGCTTCCACCCTTGAAGAAGAAGAAAGCAAAAAAAAGGATTCTCCCTTTAGGATCCTCTTTAAAGGGAAATCCCTTAAACCGATTATACTATATAATAAAAGAGGCGCATCATTTTTGCGCGAAATTATGACGTCGATCTCGATTACCGTGTATGTCAAAGACTGATGATTTTTGTAAGATATCCATGTATAGCATCATGAGGAGTAAAAATACTTTATTCGTTATTTGCAAAGTTGAAGGAGAAAGCAACATTTATTTAATCATGTATTACGTACGGAACTATGTTGAATAAAAATCATGTTACGTGACAGTTATACTTATATATTTATAGAAAACTAAAACATATTATTAGTTAATACATAATAAAAATATTTATTATATAAATGTTGTCATTATTCTTACAAATAATAAATAATCAAAATATTATATGATCATTAATAATTCAATAAACCCTGTTGTTTGAAGAAAAATATCTTTATCAATTATAAATTACAAATTACATTTTTCTTCATTATCTGTCGTTCGAATATAATTTTGCTCGTTTCAGATTTTTTACTCTAAACTCGGATCAGTAATACATAGGTATAACAACGATACTTCTCTTAATACTTTAAAGACAGTCTATTGGAAACTCATTTAAGAGATAATCGTAATGTAAAACTGTAGTATCTTATACTGCAAGAAACGCATATGTGTGTAAAACAATTAGGAAAATTTTATAAGTATATTAACAATAATAATGTCACACAATTAATTGATACTATTAGACACTGATATTTAAACATTAGTTATCGAATAAAGATTAATATAATAAATATCGTTTATATACAAAAATACATCATTTGGAGCGTTCAATTATTAGAACGAGCTAGATGCAATCTTTCAAGAAGATTACGAAATGTCCTTAAGTAATTATTTCTAACTAAAAAATTAGAATGTTATACAACTTTTTTTTTAAATCATTTTCAAAATTTATAGGAAAAAAGACGGATACGTTAATTGATAAACGCAACTTTTTAAAGGCTAATAATTCTATCACATAAATATTTTGGATATTTTGGTCCAATGATTATCAATTTTATGATGATTACATTCATAGAAAATAAATCTTAAAAATAGCTATTTATATCTGAATTCGTAAAACATGATCAGTTAGATATTGATAAATGAAATGTGACTCATTGAATCAAAGATAAACCTAGAAAAGCGGCTAGTGGAAGGAAAATTGTTACATACATAAAAATATAAGCGCGCAAGTATTTACAATATATATACATGTTAAATATAAAATATATGTATATACATATCACACACAATAAATATATATATGCTCACACACACACATACACATCCTCATTTAAGTGTGTGTATTGCATATGTATGTATATATATAATATATATATATTATATATATACATATGTATATATATATACATATGTATATATGTATATGCATATGAGCATGTAACATGCACAGTATATTAAAAAGTGCACTTCATAGTATTATATATACATATATTATATATTAAATATTACATACACACATACATACTCTCTTTTTCTCTCCCTTTCTTTTTCACATACACACAGATATATTACATTAAATGTGCATGCATGAGCATATATTACTTTTATTTGTACCCTATGTAACTCAAAAGGAAAAAAATTGTATATTATATGTAACTATTATTTATATTTTATACCATTTATGAGTAAGATATGCTCATCGATGCCTGAGGTAATTCTACTTTTCAATCAAGCGGAAATCTTGAATTTTTAACGCAGTGTGTCTATTAAATTTTTTTCAGTTATAATACTTCTATCTGTTTATCTTTATTCCATGAGTCTTTTTTTTATTATGGTCTAATTTATAAGCTAGAAAATAGCATTTCTTCTATTAAACACTTTTTTGCAATCGCAAACTGATCTGATTTCCGTCGTTTATACCTGTGTCGATAACCATCGTTCCTTGTTAAATATTAAAATTCCTTTAAGTATCAGGATTATTATGGTCGAGATAATTTTATTTTGCAAACAGTTGGGATTTTTGCAAGTTCGCTGTCGTGTCGTATTACGAATTTATTCAGCCATACATGGTCTACACGCTGATTTGTGTCCCATGATAGAGGATATGGATTTATCTGCCCCCACGCTCTTTCATAAGCTAGCAATTTTAATTCTTCCAATACGCACGATACACAATCGCAAAATCCTTTTTCTGCTAGTTCTTTTACTTCTTTCAATAACGATAGTTCCTCCTCCATTGTAAAAATTTCTTCAAGTTCCTCCTCGAATGTAAAAATGTCTTCAAGTGGGGACCGTTGTCGGTTCGTCGTCTCTTGAGATAATTCTGCTTCGCAAATAGGTGATAATTTTAAAATTTCATCTCTGTTTCTTTCTTCAAAGCTTTTCAGCCAGTCACATCCCGCCTGTTTGTCCGTATCCCACGACTCTGGATAATATTTCCCCATTTCGCGAGCTATTCTATAAGCTTCAACTGCTATTTCTTTCATTATGCAATTTTTGCAAATGCAATTCTTTTTTATCAGTTTTATGTATGTCAGCATCGCTTGTTCTTGCCCAAATGTAAACATTTCTTTAGATGAAAAATGTTGCTCACTCATCAACGCCTGAGTAAATTCTACTTTACAAATAGGCAAGAATAATTCTGTAATTTTATCGCTGTGTCTGTTTTTAAATTTTTTCAGCCACTCTGAGTTTGTCTGCTGATTTTTATTCCACGATTTAGGATATGGCCTTTTCTTTTCACGGACTACTTGATAAGCTAAATTTTTTAGCTCGTTCATTGAACAAGATACGCACATGCAAAGTGATTGTCTACATTTCGTTATCTGCTTCAGTAATGACACTTCTTCCTCCTCTGTGAAAACTTTTGATGTAGATACATTTTTTTCGTCTTCGTCCATTTTCTTTTCGTGGATTATTATAACTCGCAAATATTTTCAATACAATAAGAAAGATGATCTGTTCGTCGACGACTGGGGGTTTGTCGTCTTCATTCAGTAAAATTTCCAATTCTAATGTAGTTGCAGGATAACTGCTTTGTCATGTGTCTCAACAATAATTATTTCCCCTCAATTATGAAAATATTTCGAATATATTCCTACCGTGTGCACACGTTTCCTGTCCTGCGTCTACAAAGATGATTTTGTTTTACTTCAAAAATCAAAATGCTTCTTTATGTTTGCTGTATCTTTGGATGCTATAGCCTCTATATGAAAAAAAAAATTAAATAAATAAAAATTGTATCAAACTGTATCAAAATAAAAGTTTTATAATTATATATAAAAAGTTATAATATCGTAAGAGGAAAATCGTTGGATGTTTACAATATATATTTTATCCATGACTATGTAGGCACTCAAAGATATGGTCGGCGTCAAAATGATTCAGCTCTCGTTTAGTGGTTCTACTAACGCGTTATCTGACATTTGATAAGAGAAAACTGTTTCCTATTTGTTCTAAAAGACAATTTTTCCAATGGATATCGGATCCATTTGAAGGACTGTCCAAAAAGAGTGTCTCAACCATTTTAACACGACGTGTCACTGAGAGAAAGAAAAAGGAAAAGACAGAAAGAAAAACAACAAAACTTCATAAACTTATAATATATAATTATATTATAACTTCAGATCTTAATTATTTTATAATATGTATAAATCTTTTCATAGATATTCCTTAATGAATAATTAGAAAGATTTAAAAATGTATGAGATGTGTATATGCTTACGAGATAAGGCGGCAAATTAATTTTGCTGATCAGCTGAACGCAGCACGTATACGTATGAACAGACAGCGAGTGAAATGTTGGAAAGGTAACTAGAGGTTTTCGCTCGCCTCTGTTTATTTGGTATGGAGACGAAGGTTATTCGAATATAGATAACTAACGTTAGGATTGCTCTGTTTGTGTTCTATACCCTAATACATCACATAACATATATTTTGCTTTTCTATAGGAACGGTAACTGCTTGTAATCTTGAAGAAGCATGCGCACGCGGAGCGAGAGATTGACGAACTTTAAGGAACCTTCAAGTGCCAATTAAATCGTTATTCGCAAATTAAGTTTTGTAATTATGAGTGGGCTTCGAGAAGTGGTCCCGACGTAGAAGGGTTGGTTGGTTGATTGGTAGTTGGGGATTGCAACCGACGTAACTCGAACTTTGCAACTTCTCAGTCGCTTTTTGTACAACTTTTCTTGTTAAGATCGCGATTATAAATTTTTGACTCGAAGCCAAGTATTTCCGACAGACGTATATAACGACATGCACGATTTTTTTATAAAGAATTTTTAAAAAATTCATGAAGAATTATAGTTATTGGCATGTACGTGTATATATAGTTTTACAATAAGTTGTATTTATGGAATAAGGAAACCGTAAATGCATGGCTCCTGAAAAATGGAGAAAATTATTTTTATTTATTTTAGATAATCAAATATAAGAAAGAATTATCAAATGTCAGAAGTATATCGATATGTTGATATTGTAAGATATTTAATTATTATGTTTTCAAAAGGTATCAAGTTATCGTTGACAAGAATATGGGACAGTTCTTCATAATTTATTGATGTTGCAATATCAAGAATGCGGTTGTTTTCTTCAGATTTCTCGAATTTCAATTAATTTGTTTGTAAACGCTTAATTGATTATGTTTTCTATATCTTAATTAATCTTATGGAGGCGATGTCTCGGTTCTAAATCTAAATCTAAATCTAAAATGTTATATTAAATATCAACGCTTTGTTACTTCCGTTGGCTTCAAAGAAATCCGTGAGAAAAGCTTCAGTTTCGCGTTATGAAAAACGCATCATTAATAACTCGTAACATATATATGAAACATGTTAAAGCGTGTTAAGCCTCATACAAAACGTTCAACACCATCGCAGTCGCCCAGCATCAAGAGAGGATCAAAAAGTGTCCCTATCACGTCGCAACTGGGATATTCGACGAGCACGCGGAACGTCCGAGGAACAACCGTTGCCGCAACGTGAAAGGGAAAAAAAAGGAAACAGACAGACGAGAGAGAAAGGGACAGGGAAACAGCGGTCACGCCGGGTGCAGGCGGGATGCATTGTGCAGGTCGGAGCGGCGGCGGCGGCGAAGCGGAGCAGGGAGAGTCCGCTCGGTCCCTCGCATTTTCCTCCTTTTTCCCCCACGCTCGCGCGTCCTTCGCGTCTTCGCTCTCGCCTCTCGCCTCTCCGTCGCTCGCGGCAAGCCGCCGTCGCCGCCGATACCCCACAGAGTGGCACAGAGTCCCTTCGCCTTCGGTCCTATCTTCCACACGCCGACTTTGCCGCCTCGCTGCAACCGCCGCCGCGCCGCACGGTCGTCCCACGTTTCCACCGACCGCCTTTTTCAATCCGCTCTTTTCTCGCGGTGCATCGCATCGCATCGCATCGCGCCGCGGCGTGGCGCATTTTTCCGCCCCGCGGCTTTTCCTCGCTGAAACCGAAGAGAGGAAGCGGCCGTCGGATAGAAAACCACATGTTGCGGTTTTTCATGCCGCTCGTTCTCTCTCTTCCTCTCTCTCGTAACGCGCGAGGTATCTCCGACGTGCCCTCTCCTCAACCCCATAGGTAAAACCTAATGGCATTTTTTATTTCCCCGGCTATACGAGCTGGGCGGGTCTAATGAGAATCCGACAAGCCTTCTATACGCGCCGAGTCGATCTTTTCAGAGAAATGCGCTTTTTTTTTTATCATCGCGCGTTTGTCGAGCGGTTCTTCCTCGTGCAATTATTTCCGCGTTTAATTCACAAATCGCTGCGAGCTTTCCCCCGTCCCTCTTCGATTCTATCGCGGGCGTAAACTGCATTACAGTTTATTATTCGGTTCAACACGCGTGCGTTCGTCAATATCCCACGCCGCGTGTAAAAGGATCTTTTTATCCCGTTCGCGAATAAAAGTGTTATTTTATCAGAAAAAAAATGCCGATTCTTTTTTTTTGTACGACCCAGCCGAAAATGATCGAATCGACGTCGATTTGTGATATCGACGATGAATGGTCGCTGTCGGATACCGCCGCGGTCGATATTTTTAATCTTATCATAATTGTTTTGAGCGTTCTGTAAAAAGTTACAATCAAAAATACATCACGTCGATATTGAATTGGCCGCGTCTAAAATCACAAAATTATAAATCAATACCGACATTCGATATCGGCCGTATAATCGATGTATCGACGTCGATTCGATCTAATCGTTTCTAGCTGGGAACTCTGGGCAGTGACGAGAGAGCGAGCGAGAGAGAGTAAGTACTGTCGAGAAATCGTTCCTTTTGTCTTTCTTATTTCTCGATTTCGACAATTTGCTACAAGGATGCCAAGGATGTATCGTTATAGCAGCAACTGTAGGACACATTGCATTCAAATGCTTTCTCCTCTTCGCTCCTTCCTTCGTTGTCTCGGCTAACATCCTCTTACGTCCGTTTTGCTTCCACGAATGGAAGATAGCTCCGAGCTCCGAGTTCCGAGCGTTCCCTGCTCTCCTACGTTTCTTCCTCCTCCCTCCTCCACCACTTTCCGTTCTCCTCTCTCGTTCGAATCTACGCCTATTCCGATTTCGGAATTGTCTTCTCTCTCTCTCTTTTTCTCTCTCTCTCTCTCTCTCTCTTTCTCTCTCTCTCTCACACACAATCTCTCGCTTTCTTCTTCGCGCCGCGCTTGGATGGTCACACCGTTCATGCTCCATTGCTCTTTCTCACTCTTGAATCACGCGCGGCCGTCTTCGTCGCGCGCGCGCGCTTACCTTCTCCCTCTACCCCACCTCTCTCGCTCGCGCCCGCGCTCGCCTGCGCAGTGCTTCCCATTCCATCGTGCTCGCGCGGCCGGCACTCACTTCAGTCCACATCGAGTCGTCGCGCGTGTTGGTCGAGATTCTTTCTCCGCTCCGCTGCGGCGTGTCGCGCGTCGTTCGTTCGCCCGCTTGTGTTCCGCGTGACGAAACGGTCGGCGAAAACTTTCGCTAAGTACTTTCGGTAAAGACGCGTTCGATTTTGGGACGTAATCGTTTAAACCACCGTCGCGATCGTCGTCGTCGCCGGCGGCGGCGGCATGGATCCGCGGGGTGACGATCCGGCAGCGCGTTCCGCGTGAAGTGCGTCGCTCTCGATTTGGCCAACCGTCGCCGGATCGGCCAACAAGTGACTCAAAGTGAGACGTGAGCGTGAGAGACGTTCAGTGACGAGTGTCGGTTGTCGGCGCGCTTGACCGCTCCTCCGCGTCGTGGCCGTTATTGTTGGTTGTTACTTGCTCCGCACCGCTCCGCTCCGCTTCGCTCCGGAGTCCGGCCTGTTGCGTCGCAGTTCATCCTGTGACACGGATATTTCCCGGGATCTTGGAGGATCGTCGGTTATCGGACAGCAGGACCGTCGACCAGACGTCGGGCCGCGCGACATGGACTTCGTAATATTAAAGGTAAGTTCTTTCCTCTCTTTCTCCCCCCTCGCTCTCGTTCGGTTCGCGGAAGCGCGCCGCGTCGCGCGCGCCACGCATAAAGGACGTCGTCCACCCTAGGCCCTAGGACATTCTTACTATCGCGACAAGTCGCGACGTACGTTTTTTTATCGCCGCTCCGCTATAGGCGCCAAACTAATTTTGAAATATCGCCGCACGTCGTTTGTCGTTCGTCCCCCTACGCGGAAAAAAAGTGTCAAATCAAGACTTACGGAGACCGTATGTACATACGTACAATGTATAATCTCGAAACGAAACGAGGCTAGCTTGAATAAAATCATTTATATAATTAAACTAAGTTAGTTCGACCAAGAGAGAAAAATTAAAATTCTTATAAGAAGATTATAGATCGTTGCGCATATACGAGTATAAAAGTTTTGATTTGACACTTTTTTTTCTGTGTATTTGAGATAATCCTATCTCTCCAAGTGCATTGATATAAGCTAACTTGATTCGAGAATACTGCAGCGCGTAAAAAATGTGCGTGTTCCATTTAAAATATTCTTGCTATATCGCGATATATCGTGACATGCATTCCTCTTATCATCGTGTTACCGTAGTTATTTTAAATTGTTAAATTTAAAATATCGTTGCGCGTATAAATAATTTGTCTGCCTGTTCATATCACAATATTCCTCCCATCGCGATTATACGTTTTTCATTAATACAACTGCATCAATAGGATGCTATTTTGGAAAATTTTCGCCTGCGCTTATTCCACTTTAGTCGTATTACACGTATTTTATTACCCTCACTTTATACTATAATAACAAATGAATGAACGATATATGTAATGAGTTGATAAATAATTCTTTACTTGTGGCTGTTTATACATATTTATTGTTGGGATATATAGCTTTAATTACATATCAATAAGAAGTACGTGATTTTTACAACTGTCGTCGTTTTTAAAAGTGTTGATCCTGTCGCGGTCGAGCACCTTTTTTCCGCTATCTCCGCAATACGTATCGGAAGGAAAACCGTTTCATTTAGCGAACGTCGCGTGGAAGCCGAATCGTCGAGATCGTCGTCCGTAGTCTGTTGATCTCTCAACGAGCAAACGCGACAAGAACTTGCCCTTGGAGGGCAACGGGACGCGACGCGACGCGCGCGTTATATTCTCGAGTGTTCATCGCGCCAAACGTGCCTTATCCTCGGTCCGTATCGCGGTACTCGAGACGAGTCGTGCGCGCTCGGCCTGTGTGTAGGAAGTTACGAACACGTTGCGCGAACAAAAACGAGCACGCCGCCCGTTAACTCGTTTGTATCGTGCCGGGCGCGACGCGATATCGAGCCTCGGTGTCGGTTACTATATCGAAACGCTTGTACGCCAAATTTATTTACTCCAGCAACGCGCTCCGTTCATTCCTTTGTACGGCTTTATTGAAATTTGTGCGTATTAACGTACTCTCTCTCTCGCTCTCGCTTTACTCATTTGTTTTCTAAGAAAAACGAGAAACTTTGAAGGCGATTCAGAAATAGACTATCACTTGAGAATGAGCATCGTAACGGCGATACTCCGTTTCGCAAATTAACGCGAACGAGAGAAAAATACATGTCGTATATTGAGAAAGTTTACGTTATACTGTTAATTTTGCAGGAGAGAATGGTTAACTGTAGACATTTTTATATACGGCTCGCGATAAAATTGCGGTTTTCGCGCGTGTGATCGCGAACGTGAACGAGGGAGCGAATATGGAGCGTCACATTTCGCGGCGTGTCGCGCTGTATTAAGCAACAGCGTGTTATCAAGCGCCGTTGTTTCGAACGTCGACTGTGTGTCGGCGTTAAAGGCCGGCCCGGCCGGGCGCACCGTAGACAAGGACGAAATCGATTAAGCGCTGATCACATCCATTTCCGCGTACTCGGTTCCGCGTTGCGATTTCAATGACGGTCATTCGGTGACACGTCGTCCATCTCGACGAGATTACATTTTACACACACGACGTGCGCGCGTGCGCCCCGCATGCATCCCCAAAGTGTTCCCGGCCCGGCGCGGCGCGGCGCGCAACGCATTACGATGCATTTACATCGCGAGTAATAATACACATGACGTTTATAGACGTAAATACCGCGGTCCAGACGTAAATACCGCGCCATTAAGCGACCCGCTGCCATTGGCGCGCCGAATAAGCTCCCGAAAGCGCGCCGATATAAAATGAATATTTGTATAACGTATTGCACAAATACGAATCGTGAGAGATCGGTGACGAGTGCCGCCCGCGCGCGCGCTTTTCTCTCTCTCTCTCTCTCTCTCGAGTTATATATCGGATCCAATATACCCACCTACCGCCCGCGTAGCTTGCCGAGAAAAGACCCGACCTTATTTACCTTTCGCCAGTTGGAAATTGACACGGCTCGCCAGAAAACTATCGTTACTACGCGGTGATACAGTTACGGCGGCGCACGCGTATGCCGTGACAGAAAAATATTGGACGGAATTACCGTGAGATTGATGCATTCGATAAAAATCGTCGCTCGTAATGGAAACTCTCCTATTTCCGTTTCCTTGCGAGAACGATATCTTGCGTAAATGTTCCGGAAGCAATTTTTGTGTAAATTCTCTTCTGGCTATCTTTTACTTCTAAAAGATTTTTGTTCAACATTCTGTTTACCTCTATATACATTATGTTTTATATTAGAAATGAAATTTTTGAAATAGAGTTAATATTATTCATGCCACGATTAATTATAGCGCCAACGGTTGATATATTGATGTGTTAATGTGTTTAACATATTAAAGGTTCTATTCTCTCATTCATTTTAATTCTATCCATCCATGCATGGGAAGGAAATTCCAGAGTTCTTATTGTTGTCTCCGTGCCGTTTCTCTTCGAACTCGACCCGGATCTTCGCGTGTATTTTTTTCCTCTACGTAAAAAAAGTTAAGGTGATCCAGATCTTGTGGGTGGGCGCGGCGGCATCGCTGGGAAGGGTTAAAGGTCCCAAACACGCGATCGTTTGCGTCGATGCGCGCCGAAAACGGCCGTTTCCAGACCGCGGTGCGAACAAGGGGAACGATTTTACGTCCCATCGCAGATAAAACGGTCCTCCGTTGGGTGGGTCAAGAGGTCAGGGAGCTCGCACTTTTCGTTCTGCCTGTCCTGCCACCTCTCCTTTTTTTTTCGTTAATTCTCTCGTGCGCACACCGCGGCGTAATTACTACCGACCGGACAGCGCGATGCTCCAGTTATCGTTGCATTTCCCGTCGGAATTTCTCCACAGCGAACATCTGCGTTTTCGGATAACGCGTTTCGCCCTCCCGTTCGCGCGCCGTCGCTAATGTATATTTCATGGAAAGCCCGGACAGTTTCAGTAATGTTACACAATTTTTTGTTCCTCGTGGAATCATGCGTGGAAATATTTCTGACACATGAGCTTTCGAAATGGTGAAAAATTTGCGTTAAATCCAGTTGCATGCAGAAGTGCCGAGGGATAATTTTATATGAGCACTTGGTTGAAATTTATCACCTCGTACTTCACTTGATAAAAATAATGCCACGCATTACGAAATGATAATTAGAACTATTTTAACATCTTTAATACTTTATTAACCAGCTTATGCAACTGATGCTCAACTATAATTAATACTTTATAACCATTGAATTACATGACACATCAAATTGCGCAAGTTTTAATTATAGAATACTCATAAAATCTTTTATACCATTTTTATAAATACTTTTAACCGAATATTATTTTGTTGGGTTAAAGCGATATTTTTGAAAGAGTATGTTTCAATTTTTGCAAAATGATTATAATATTTTGAGCCATAATAAATTATGGAACAAAAGAACCGAATAATTTTTATAATGCTATATACACTCTTTATGATTTTAAAATCAGATACGATACTGCAGAAACAATTCTCAATAAAATATATCGTAATAATCATGTTTACGTTATATTTAGAATTATGAATGCTATAAGAAATAGATATCCGTGATATAAATTAAGCTGTTTTGATTTTTAATCTTTTCTGCTTTTAAATTCTTTCAATACTTTTCTACGTTTGATCGAAATGAAATTATAAAAGTAGCTTCTTATTTTGGGAGAAATGTTAGAAACGTTGAATGTTTTTGAATTATATATTATTTTAGTTATATATTTCCTTTTCTTCTCTGTCCTCGGAAATTATCTGAAAATTGTCGATACGAAATTAAACATTTCATGTGGAACGACCTATGACATAGATGAAAGATGAAAGCTTGATTAATCACGGTTAATTCTAAATGACATTGATGCATCCCATTCTGACATTTTCCATAAGCTATCTGTAATGCATGTTTCGAGATATGGTTATATGTGTAACTCGAAACCAAAGTATCACATATTTCCCCCAGCAGCGACTTTCCAGTTTTATGGATATTTTCGACGCGCCCCTCGGCAAGTCGTTTTGCGCTACCAATACCTACTTCATTTCCAAGGGGTGCTGCTCCCGGATATAACCGCGAAAGTTGGTCGTACCGTCAGCGACGACGATGATACCTCCTCAGCGAGTTTGCGAATCCTCCCTGCAAATTTCTCTATAGTTGACGCGAACGGTTCTTACTCTGAAGGAAACGAGGAACGTACGCAAAACTTCTTCGTATAATGTGTCACAGAAATATCGCGATGCGATATTTTTGTGACATATCGTTCAGTACAAATTATGGGGATGTACGCGTTGATTTATATTTTAAAATAAATGAATATCATAATATCACATTACGTCTCTGAATTTTACATAGTCTTGTTAACTAAATATATTCTATAATATATATTTTTTTAACAATACATGTTAATATAGTTTTATTATAATTTTACTTGGGTGGGTAAGAAAGATATATTTATTTGACAAAATATTTAAGTAAATCAATAACTCGGTGCAATTAGAAGAACATGAACTTTTATTGCCACTTTTTTACGATCAAAATAAAATTTCTTTAATGTTAAAATTAAATAGATGTGATATTTTGTAT